AGCCCCAGCACCTCGCCGAGGCTCGGCAGCGGCCCAACTGGTCCGAGTGGGAGAAGGCGATGGCGCGCGAGTACGAGTCGCTCGTGGCCCACGGCACCTTCGAGGTTGTGCCCCGTCCACCGGGCACAAACATTGTCGGCAGCCGTTGGGTCTATAAGCTTAAGCTCGACTTGGCGGGCCGAGTGCTCAAGTACAAGGCCCGACTCGTGGCCAAGGGGTTCACGCAGACGGAGGGCCTCGACTACGAGGCGACTTTCGCCCCAGTGGCGCGTCTCGACTCGCTTTGGTTTGCGCTCGCCATCGGAGCGCTTTACGGCTTCACCTGGCAGCAGCTCGATTACAACTCCGCATACCTCAACGGCGACCTCGAGCACGAGGTCTTCATGGCTCCGATCCCCGGATTCCCGGTCGCCGACGGCTGCGTTCTTCGCCTTTGCCGCTCGCTGTACGGCCTCAAACAGGCCGGCCGTGAATGGAACACAAGGAGCCGTGCGTGTACGCACGCCGACCCACTCCCTCGTCGTCCGATGCCGATCTCACTATCCTCGTTGTCTACGTCGACGATCTCGCCATCGGAGCACGGCGCAAGGAGGATCAAGAGTCCGCCATCACCGATCTCTGCGCCCGCTTCAAGGCCGCTCAAGGCGGTGCGCTGAATTGGATGCTGGGGCTCCACATCGAGCAGTCTGTCGTCAACGGCTTGCCGCACATCCGCATCTCGCAGCGCGCCTACGTCGAAGCGCTCCAGAAGCGGTTTGGCTTTGCTCGGGACAAGGGCAAGCGCAAGACGACGCCCATCGTTGCCACTCAAGACCGCCTCGTCTCTTGCAATGTCGCCAAGGAAGGCGAAGCCACGCCGGCCAAACGGCACAAGTTCGCGTCACTGCTTGGAGCCCTAAACTGGCTCGGGCAGTGCACGCGACCCGACGTGTGCTACGCTTTATCGAAGCTTGCTCGATTCACGCAACAGCCCACTCAGTCGCACATCCGACTGCTCAAGGGTGTGCTGCGCTACGTGGTCGGCACGATCGGCTACGGCATTGAGTATGGCGGCAAGCAGCCAGGCCACGGCGTCAAGAAGATCCTCGCGCATTCCGACAGCGACTTTGCCGCCGCAAGCAACCCAAGCGCCAAGTCCATCTTGGGCTACGTCGTCTTCATCAACGGCGGCGCTGTCTCCTGGCGCTCTAAGCTCCAGTCGCTCACGGCGCTGTCGACGGCCGAGGCCGAGTATGTTGCCCTGTGCAAGGCCGCGAGAGAAGTCAAGTTTCTCGCCGACGTCGTCCAGTTCCTCGGTCTCTCGCACTCGTTTGGCGCCCCGATCATCATGGGCGACAACGAGGCGGCGCACAAAATTGCCAACGACCCCGCGTTCCACAGTCGGACCAAGCACTTCGACGTCAAGGTCCACTTTGTCCGCGAGCTTGTCGCGCGCAAGGAGATAGTGCTCCACCAAGTTGCGACTGCTGACAACGCTGCTGACGTCCTGACAAAGCAGTCGGACCAGAAGCGATTCGCCGAGAGCGTTTGCCAGCTCCTTATCATCGATCGCCGTGCCAGCGCGCCCGAGGCGTAGCACTCCTCTCCTCTCTCCTCACTGTCCGCCCCGTCATCGCCGAACATCACTCCTCGCAACATCACACTCCTTTTGCTTCTTTGCCGCTGCAGCAAGTGATCTTCGACGCCGCATGCCTCTCGCCGCACTCTCCTTGCCGTCTGGAACGGCCTCTCCGTCCTCTGCCGCTCCTCCTTGTCACCGTCGTCGCTTTGCTTTGCCTCCTTGAGCCGTCTCCATCCGGGGCTTCTCTCCCTCGTCGCCGTCGTCGCCAACCTCGATCTTCGTCTTTGACATTGGCCTCGACACCCCGACCACTCGATTGAGTGGGAGAATTGTGATCAGGGCTGCGCGCGCCTCACATCGCAGAGTCCGTGCGACGCCACGGCTTCGTTGCCGTCGCTCGCCGGCCCCTGTCGCGCAGCCCCTATAGAGCGATCTTGCGGTCCGTGCCGACGCCGCTGCGGGACGCACGCGCCGACGCCTCATTGTCGCCGACAACTGCGCCCTTTCCTGCGACGCCTCGCATCGCCGCCACTCGTCTCCTCACCGCCGCCTCGTCTCGCCGAGCGTTCTTGTTCCAACAATCTTTGGCTCGCCGCTCCGCTTGCCTCTGATCCCCGCGTCTCGTCATCTGGAAGAGGTAGGGGCGATCGCGCTGCTCACGCTTGTCACAGCCGGCGCCACCGCCTTCGCACACGCCGCTGCGCAACGCCCAGCAACCGATCACCGCCTTCGTCGCCGCCGCGCATGGTTCATCCCGCGTTGGCTCCTCGACCTCTTCCTTTCACATCACCCCCTCCATCACGGCGGGTGTCGCAGCGATGATTGCCAAACCTACCCTGATGCTGCGAGCACAGGCAGGACGTAGGCATCGCTCGCACCTAGCGCTCGCGTGCGCCCCTTGATGCCGCCGGCTCATCACCCCCTGAGCCGGCGGCCGCCCCTCCTCGCCGTCCGATTTTGACGGCTCCTCTCTCAACACTCAGGCTGCGCCTAGTGTCTCTCCTTGCGCCATGCGCGACGCACCGCGCCTGTCTCGCTCCTCGACAGGCGCGATCCCCTCTTATACTCACGCGAGCCAGCCCCCGAGCGCACACGTCACCCAATTACTCCCCTCTGTCTTTACATTGCCTCTCACAGCAATTGACTCGTGCGCGCTCTCTCCAGAGTCTGCCCTTGTTCGCTGAGCCGCCGTCACCAGCCCCGGTGAGGCCTCTCTGCCCCCTTCGCGAGCCGCCGTCACCAGCCCCGGTGAGGCCTCTCGCCTATCGAGACGCGTCGCCAGCACCGACGTCGCATCTCGATCGAGTCGCTTCGCCAGCCCCGGCGTAGCTCCTTGGACCCGAGCCGCCGCAGTCTTCATCGACTGGGCCTCTCGGCGCGTCGCGTCTACTCGTAGACGTCACGCTCGGCTTCCGCTGCCCGTCACACGGCTGCGAAGGTGTAGCGCTGCACAACAGCGCTGCCTCGATCGACACCGGCACTCTCACCCGTGCCAGTGTATTGTCTTTGTCTGCGGATTTGTCACCGCAGCACCGAGCTTCCGCTCTCGGTCTCCGACCACCGCTCCGAGTGCGCTCCCACGCCTCTCCCGGCCGGTAGCGCTACTCCGCGGCTTAGAGCTTGGCGCTCCTCGCCGGCCGAGGTAGCCCCCCAAACTCAAGTAGAAGTCCATTGTGGTGAGGGTCGAGAGGCAAGGCGCGTGGGAGCAGCAAGTCCCGCACGAGACGCGTCGCCCGCGCCCCTCTCCCTGCGGCGCTTAATTGAATCTGCCGCTGCGCTCGCCACAGCACCTCCGAATTTAGCTATACTCGCCGCAGCACCACGAGAAATGCTATCCTCGCGGCTGGCTGCAGCAGCCGCTTGCTTTTGTCGCATCGGCTGCACAGCGTCGAGACACAAGCGAAGGAGCGAGACGCGGCGTCTCCGCAGGCGGCGGCGGCGCGCGGCGCGTGCGCACGGTCCGCAGCCAGGCACCGCGGCGCGCGCCGGCACTTCTTGCGCCCACGCCGTTCTCGTGCTTCACCATCTCCACCACCTGCTCCTTCTCCCCGCCGGCCATCCGCCGCGCAGCACCCGCCGCACTCGCCGCTCGACTCCGCCGCACCTGCCGCAGCCGTCGCTGGTCCCGCACGCCTCGCCGCGCTTCACGCCTCGCCGCACTTCACGCTTCGCGCTTGACGCTCGGCGCTGACGCTCACGCTCGACGCTCACGCTTCACGCTTGACACCCGACGCTTGACGCCCGACGCTCACGCTCTCGCTTGACGCCTCGCGCTCCACGCTCGACGCATCGCCGCATCTCACGCTTCACCCCTCAAACTCCACCCATCGCCCATGCCCGTGCCCCTCTCGCCCGCGGCGGCGTACTTCGTGCCGAGCGTGCCGCTGCTGCCGCCGGCGTCGTCGATCTACACGCCGCTGTTCCAGTCGGCCGGCTACCTGCCCGCGCGCGCGCCGGCGGCCGGCGGCGGCTCGACGCCCGCGGGCGATGCGCACCTCTACTTTGTGCTGCAGCGGGCGCGGCACACGGCCGAGAAGCGGCGGCTGATCATCTGGTGGGTGTGATGCTCCGACGCCTTGGACACGTCGCTGATATGCTGCAGGTTCAATGGCGGCCCCGGCTGCTCGTCGTTCGACGGCCTCATGATGGAGATCGGCGCTTTCCGGCCGGACCGCAAGGGCGGCCTCGAGTGGACGACGCCGGGCGGCGCGTGGAACGAGTACGCCGATGTGCTGTTCCGTGAGTGGCCCATCTGCAGGCACCGCCCATCGATTCGCTCTGCCGTGCTGACTGTGGTCCAGTCGACCAGCCCGTGGGCACCGGCTTCTCGTACGCATCGACGAGCGCCTACGCAAGCAACCTCGAGCAGGCCGGCGCAGAGGTCACGTACGCGATGCAGCGCTTCATCGAGATCTTCCCCGAGTACGCGGCGGGCAACGGCGTCGACACGTACCTTGCGGGCGAGAGCTAGTGAGTGTGCCCCCGAAGTCCTGCCGCAGAGCTCCGCTGATGCTGCACCCATAGCGCTGGCCAGTAGTGCGTTCGCAGATCGAGCGAGGCCCGCGCATCGCTGACATGCCCGCAGCATCCCGTTCACGGCGGCGAGCCTGGTCAAGGCCGCACAGCCGCCGCTCGACGTGCGCGGCATCGTCATGGGCAACCCGTTCATCGACCCGCGCGCACAGGCAGGCTCCGAGATCGAGATGATGGTCGAGGCGAAGCTGTGGGAGAAGGGCGGCAAGGTGCGCGCCGCATCCCCCGCCAGCGCACTTGGTTGCTGATGCCTGCTGCAGGAATGGACAGAGGCCAACCGAGTCTACGAGGAGTGCCAGCACGACCTCAAGAAGGCATCGAGCGACCCGCGCGAGGCCGGCGCCTGCGGCCGCATCCTGCACAGCATCATCGACATCACCATCAAGACGACGCCAAAGTAAGTCGCCAGTCCCTGCGTGGTTGCTCCCGTCCTCAAATTCCCTGCAGAGTGCAAGGCAAGGACATGTGCATCAACATCTACGACGTCCGCCTGTCCGACACGTCGCCTGACTGCGGCATGAACTGGCCGCCGACACTGCGGCCGACGTACGACTACCTGGCGCGCGCCGACGTGCGCAAGGCGCTGCACGTCAACGAGCAGGCCAAGCCCGAGGCGTGGATCGAGTGCAACCACCGCGTCAGCTCGGCACTGCGCGACGAGCGCAACCCGCAGAGCTCCAAGATCCACATCCCCGAGCTCCTCGACCGCGGCGTCAAGGTGATGCTCTTTGCCGGCGACCAGGACCTGATCTGCAACCACATCGGCGTCGAGCGCGTGCCGCGGAACCTGCACTGGTCGGGCGCCAGCTCGTGGGAGGTGCGTCGCCGCACAAGCGCTTGCTCCTCTCTCACTGACGTGCCGCGCAGAGCAATGCGGTCAAGAAAGAGTGGTTCGTCAACAACACCCTCGCCGGCTACTGGCGCGAGGCGGCGAACCTGACATACGTGTCCGTCGCCGGCGCGTCGCACATGGTCGGCTTCGACAAGCCGGTGCAGTCGCACGACATGATGCTGCGCTTCATGGGCGTGGATCTGCTCGGCGCCGCGGGCCCGAGCAGCCGCATTCCGTCGCGGCTCGACGGCGAGCCGGACCACATGCTCGTCGTGGGCGGCGGGGGCGGCGTGACCGACGACCGGCCCATGATCCCCGGCGTGGACGGCAAGTCGGAGGAGCAAGTCAAGCAGGAGGCCAAGTGGGCGGCGTACTAGTGAGCGCGCACGCGTCATGCCAGCCCAAATCCATCACTGACGCCTCCGTTCAGCGACGCTGGCAGCGCGGCGCTCGTGATCCTGCTGATCCTCGTGGGTGCCGGCGCCTACATCCTGCTGCGGCTGCGGCGCAATGCGCGACGTGCCGGGAACATGCTGGGCCGCGGCGCAGGTGGCCGATCTGTCGCGCTGGACGTCGAGGGCGATCACGAGCTGGAGCACCTCGTTGCCGAGGAGGATGTCACGCCTCGCGGCCGCTACTCGGACGAGACGTTGCGTACCGGCGCAGAGGGCAAGGGCAAGGGGCGGGAGCAGGTGCGCGACGATGATGAGGTGTTCCATGTCGGCAGCGGCGATGAGGTGGAGAAGGAGAGGTAGACGTCACGAAACGCACGAACTTATGATATTGCCATCGTCGCTTCACGTTGGCCATGGGACTGGGCTGGAGTCAGACCGGCCGCGCTTGACGACAGCGGTCCTGTGGGCCAGCTGCAGAAGTGTCGCTCCGCAGAGATGACAGCAGCACGCTCTTCTTCCTTGCCCCTGCCGCAGCGGGCTATAGCGTCTTATCGCGGACACTGGGCTGCTCGAGCAGCCTCGCGGTCCGTCGGATCATGTCTAGCCCCAGGCCAAGAGGCAGAATGACAAACGGCACGTAGCCCGAGAGCAGCGCCCTCATGTTCGCCGCAGAGAGGCCGCTCCGATCTGCGCCCAGCGTGACGGACACCAGGCACTGCAGCGTCGTCGTCGTCGCTGTGAGCGGTCGTCAGAGTGGTCCAGGCGGTCTGGTTCGCTAGCCTACCTACCGAGCGCGGCGTATGCGATGAGCCAAGGGTAGACGCGAGCGTCATCTGTGGTGGGCACGGGGCCGGATCAGCGTGCGAGCGCATGCGCTGCGGCCCACTCCAAGCCTGCGAGCTTTCCCCACTCCGGCTTTGCGAGTCGAGGCTGGGGACTATGTTGGAATCGCGATCAGTGTCCCGCCAGCGGTGGCCTTTCTGATGATCGTGAATCGCACTGCGGCGAACATTCGATCGACACTTGCGAGCGCACTCAGGCGTCTGCGACCGACTGACACGACGCGCTCTGCGGCACCGACCCGCCGGTCCGCTTGTCCTGCCTGGGAAAAGCCCTACCTCTACCATCCCCCCCACCCTCCAAGGCTTTTGGGCACTCACCCTTCCACAGACCCCAGATTCCCGCGGCAAACGCCGGGCACTGCACGCACAGCTCGAGCGCCAGTGCAGTGATGAACCAGGCGTACGACGGGTCGCGACGCAGCGCAGCCGTGATGAGCGGATCGCGGCTGTCCGCAAGGTACTGCTGCAACAGTCTCGAGAGCGGCGCCGGCACCAGACGCCGAGGCACAAAGGCCTGCGAGTCGATCAGCAGCGAGGCGCTGAGATGCAGAGCGAAAAAGGCGATCCAGAGAATGTCGAGCGGCCGTGAAGCGAGAGGACGACGCAAGCCGGTCCTCAGGCCAGACGCCGCCCGGGCCGTGCCTTGTGAAGCCATTATCGATGCCGCACCTTGAGTGTCGCCGATGTGGTGCGCGCTTGTCGAGCCCCAGGCCGTAGAGCTGGCAGAGTGCCGGGTCGCCGTCGCACCGAGGCTCAACGCAACGTGCGAGCTGCGTGGTCGGACTGCCTCCGTGAGTGTGCTAGGACAGACTGGCCAGGGACGATGTAGAAAAGCGACTTGCCTCGCGCTTGAGCTTGGGCGGGCAGCGACGTGCTGTGGTGTGCGGAGGTTAGGAAGTACGGAGCCTCGCCGGGCGAAAGATGAGCTTCACACGCGCCAGATGCACGGGCCAGCGCGCGGCCGCAGCGCCGTTGCAGTTGAGCCGAGGCGAGCCTCGAGGGACGCGAGGATCACCGCGAGCGGCTTCCCTCTTCACCACTACCACAGCCCATTCAGCAGCGCCTCACCCTCGCCAACAGCAGCCTCGGGTCCCCACGCCGCGCCGTGCGACAGCCGCAGCGTGCCAGCGGCTGCCGTGCCACGCCCGGCCGCACGCAGCCAGCGTCTCATCGCACCCCAACTCTCACCCCCACCCCTCCACTGTCACCCCCACCCCTCCACTCTCACCCCCACCCGTCCTGGCCGCGATGGCCTACGTCGAGCAGGGCTCGCAGAGCAAACGGGCACCGCCCATCGCCGCTGCAGCCGTCCGCTCGCAGGCGCCTCGCAGCAGCTACTACTTCGGCCCGCCATCGGCGGACAGCGCCTTTGGCTCGCCGCCCGTCGGCGTCATCGGCAGGGACAAGCCACGGGAAGTCATTCGGTGAGCAGCAGATGCCTTGTAGCGACGTGCTGCCATGGCCTACCACGTGTCATCTAGACTCACCCCACACCGACGCAGCGTCGAGCGCGACTACACCGTCGGCGAGCTGTGCCAGTTCCACTCTGCCTTTCCGCTCGAGCTTGAGGGCCGGGTGCGTTGTCCGCTGCAGCGCCCAGAGGCGTGCCCGACTCACCCACAGGCTGCAGATCCACCCGTCCACCTTCGGCGACGCCATCAACGACATCAACGAGGTCCTCATCCGCGCCAACAGCTCCGGCTGGGCGTGCTTCGACAATGCCCTGGCAGTGATGACGCTCTGGCTCAGCCCGCTGCTGCTCGGCACCAAGTACAACCGGGTCAGCCATCGTCCGCCGGCTCGGCGCTCGGACACCCAGCTGACGCTTCTCACTCCGCGCAGGAGATGGCCGCTCTTCGGGCGCTGCTGGCCAGCGCCAACCGCGAGACCTTCAACCCCGCAGGCCTCAACATCCGGGATCCTGCCGAGTCGGCCTTCCTGTTCCTGGAGGTGAGGGTGACCAGGCAGACTCCCAAAGCGGCCCCGCCGCTGACCCTCGCGCCCCCACCGCCGCGCAGATCGAGTACTACTAGCCCAACAGCGCGCCCGCATCGCGCTTCATCACCCCAACGTTGCCGTGGCCCCCTACCATACCCCTCACATCGCTCTCTGTGCCGTATCAACAGCGCTGTGTGCTCTCCACGCCGTGCGATGCTGGGCTCGTGCCCTGCGGCTCGGTACTGAGGTCTGGCTCCCTGTGTATGCGTGGCAGCTGTGCAGAAAAAGCGGCCGCACGTTCTCGTCTCGCTCAGTGCAGGGCTACATGCGGCAGTGCTGAAGGTGACACGCTCGCATGGGCTGCCAGCTTGCCTATGCCGGAGCTGTGTCCCCTCGGTCCGGCACTCCCATGCCGGCAAGCGAGGAGCAATGCGGCGCGGCGCGGAGAGGCGATGGGCTGACACATCTGACCGATGCGCTCGCGCGCGGACATCCCCGTCTGGACGGTCACCAAGCCGCAGCTCGAGGTAGCATTGTGCCAAGCGGGGCGCTAGAACGAGTCTGATCGCGGAGGAGGCCGAGGGCAAGCTCAATTGTCGCGTCGAGAGGTTCCGGCGTGCCGGCTTTGGCAGAAAACACGTGCGGCTGCGAGCTGTCTCTGCATCGCGTGCGAGGCGTTTTTGTGCCGCGCAGTTTTCATCCCCCGCGGACACGCTTGCCAGCACTCGCGGGTGGTCCGCAACCTCCTGCTGGAGCTGCTAGAGGAATTCTGCGCTGCACGCTGCCGCAGAGCCAGACGAACACGCAAGGGATGCGTCGAAGTAGCTCTGAACACTCTTTGAGCCGCTTGGAGTTGCCGTGACTACAGTCGCCTGGGGTACGGCTAACATCTCGCAGAGTCCATAACTGGCCTGGTACTGCTTCGTGCGTATGCCTGCAGCGGCCAGGAATCTACCTCACCGATCCCTGCTCTGACACCCGAGGTGACGCGCCGACGTAGTGACACCCTGCGTGCAAGGGCACAGACACCAGTTGTGCTGGTTGACAGGCGGGGCGGTATGAGACGCAGCGTGATGGAGCCGACTCGACGCTACAATGAATGCAGCGCCCTGGCGGAGGCACGATGCCTCGAAGAGCCAGCAGGCGGCGAAGCAGCAGCGCGAGAGGCCATAGGCGCGAAGCGCGTGGCGCAGCGCCGCGCGGAGCGCCGCGGACGGCCCAAGTCACGTGCAGCCCCACGCGCGCGCCGCGCCGACTTCTCGTGCGAGAGCGCAGAATAATTCTGAGGCTGGAGGCGCGGCTCGCGGCCGCGCTCCTGCTGGAGCCGGCCCTCCTCTTCCTCCCGACCTGCAGCACCCCCATCACCCTCCACCCGACGCTGTTCCTAGCTCACTATGGCGGCCGCACAGCTCGCGGCGCCTGCGCTCGACGTGCCGACGCTGCTCTCCTCGTCGCCCGCCCGCCGCCGCACGCACACGGGCCCGACCCTGCCTGGCCACGTGTTCCGCGTGCCCTCCCTCGGACTGGCAGCGGGCGCGGCACAGCCGGCCGAGGCGTCGACCTCAGCCGCCGTCGCCTCGGACGATGTTGAGCCCAAGCGCATCCGTGGCGCCGCCGTCTGGGCCGGCGCGGGCGAGGTCCACGTCGTAGAGGTGAGCTCGTCTGACCCCGGCATTGCGCGGGAAGCTCATCGCCTTGCGCTCGCAGCACGAGACCGCCGATCCCATCTCCACGCACCTCCTCGGCTCCATCGTGCCCAATGCTGCTGCGCCCGTGGTGCTGCTGGGGCCGGAGCGCCGGCAGCAACTCACCTTCCTGGCGGCGCGCGACGAGAAGGGCGAGAGCCTGTTCCGCTGGGCCGAAGTCGAGGGGCAGGTCACACGCACATCAGTCGAGGTGAGTGGCCCAGCTGCGGACTAGCAGGGCGCTGCATCTTCACGCCTTTCCGGCGGCTGACACCGCCCTGGCCCAGCTGTCCGCCTCGGCAGCATCGCTGCATGCCACAGCCACCGCGCTGCTCCTCAGCTACTCCTCGGGAGCCCTTGCATTCTACTCGCTTGCGCTTGAGCCGCTGGGGCACTTCGACGCGCCTCTGCCCGCCCGCCAGGTGTCTGTTCTGGCACACAGCTGTGGCAAGTCTGCCCTCGAGGTGGTGCCCTCCCTGCCGCGTGGGCACTCGTTGTTGGTCACTCTCTCTTGCGACGTGCCTGCTGCCGAAGTCAGGGGCAGCAAGAAGAAGGGCAGCAGTGCCGATGCGGTCGCGTCCGCGGCCAGCATCGTCGTTCAGCACGTCGGGCCGCAGGGCGCCTCTGGCGTGCTCAGGGAGATCCCGACGGGCCTTGCCCCGTCCGACATCGTCGCCGCATGCGCTGGCGGACGCTTCGTCACCCTGCTGAGTAGGTGTGATCCGCGCACAACGCCACTACATGCGACTGACGCATCCTCTCGCTGCAGCACGGACAGGCGCGCTCCAACAGATCGAGCTCGTCGCCAGTCTCGAGACCCGCACCACAACGCTGCAGCTGCTGAGCGCGCCGACGGCCCCGAGCTTGCTCTCCATCAACAGCTTCGGGACCGTCTTGCTCTACTCGGCATCCTCCCTCTCTCTGATCTCGCCGCCGCACGGCGCCGTGCTGGCTGCCACGGACCTCGATCTGCCAGCAGCGCTGTCCACGGCGGCGCCCGAATCGACAGTCGTGTCGCGCATTGGCGGCGGCGCACTTCTCACGCTCAACTACGCGTCGGGGGCGCGAGCCGTCCTCTTCGTGCCGGCCGAGGCGCACAATCCTTCTCTTCGCTGGGCGACGTCGTGCGTCGAGCTCACGCGCGCCGCAATCGCGGGCCCAGATGCGGCTCGCAGCACCTCGCATGCGGCCGTCGCCGCACTCAGCAGCGCAGGCAAGGACGGCAGCGCGATGGACGAGGCATGGTCCAATTGGGTGCGCGCAGAGACGGCGCGGCTCAAGAAAGACGCTGCAGACGAGCAGGCCGCGAGTGCTGGGCAGAACGGGGTCGCGCCCGAGTCTGATGACAGCGATGGCGACGAGGAAGCATCGGGCGCCGCACAGCAAGCCGCGCAGGCCAAGGTGCGTGGCGCCATGGAGTCTGTTCGCCCGCATCGCTGACGTGCTCGCTCTTTCGTTCAGGCCCGCGCATCGCTCAGTCCGCACCTTACGCACGACATCGTCTCTACCGTCCTGGCGCTAGCTCTGCCGCTGCAGAACGACGGGCCGTACGCGCGCAAGACCGTGCAGTACCTGCTCATGCGCCGGGCGGTCAGCGAGCGGATGATGCCGCAGGCGACGCCGTCGATCATCGCGCGCCTGCTTGCGCTGGGCGACTGGGAGACCGCGCTCACGGCAGCGCGCCTGGTGCCCGACGTGTCCGAGCAGGACCTCGTTGCTCTCATCACCGGCTCGCTGCGGACCGAGGCCACAGCCTTGCCTCGCGGCAACACCTTGCCCCAGCTCCCAGCGACGCTGCCCTTCGTCCTGTCTGCACTGGCGGTCGCGCCTCTCTCGACTGCCGTCATGCGCACGGAGCTGCGACGAGCAATCAGCGACGCGGCCGAGGTGCACAGCATCCTGGCGGTCCTCAACGGCTGGCTGCGGCTTAGAGCAAGGCTGCCGTTCAGCGCGTCGAGCTTCAGCGGCCCGGAGACGAAGAAGGGCGCCCTGCCGGGCCGCAAGAAGAAGCAGACCAAGACCAAGGACCGCGGTGCCGACGGTGCAAGCGTGCCGCGCCTCGAGCAGGTGAGTCGTGCCGCTCAATCCTGAGCCCAGCACAGACATGCTGACCCTCCCCGATCAGCTCGTCTCCCTCACCACGCTGCTGCTCGACGCCTACTTTCCCCTGCTGCTGCAGACGGCGTCGACGCACGCGCTGCTCGCGTCGCTGGGCCGCAGCCTCTCGCTCCACCTCGCCTCCTGCACGCAGCTCTCGACGCTGCGCGGGCCCCTGGCCGCCTTTGCGCGTCTCGAGGCGGACACGGCCGCGCTGCGCGAGAAGGAGGCCGCCAGCCGGGTCCTGCGGCGCCAGCGCGGCCTGCGCGAGGCCAAGGCGGCGCGCCAGAGTGCGGCCGCTGGCGTCAGCGAGACGGGCGGCGGCCTCGGCACGCAGCCGGAGCGCAGTGCCCGCAGCCAGAAGTACGAGGCGAGCGCCCTGGTCGGGCCGTACGTCGCCGAGGCGCTGCAGCTCTGAATGCACCTCTTGCCCTTGACAGACGCGCGAGCGCTTCGTGTGTCGTGCCGGCTGAACATGGGCGTCGGCTTGCCTGAGAGGCGGCATGTCCATGCTTGCCTGTTCTCCGAGAGATGAACGACTAGACTTGTGTTGCGAGGGCGCCCTTGGTCCGTGCCGGAGGGAGGCGAGCCTGCCGAGTCCCGCGGTAGCGTCACGCATGACGCGCGCAGGCGCGACCGTGCGCTCTTGAGCCGGCGCGCATGTCTGAAAGACGCGCCCTCGCCGGCGTCGCGTGCACGCCGTCACGGCGCTGCTGGCTGCTGTCGCTGTGCGCGCACCATTCGCGAGTCACCACGCTGAAGCGATTGCTCGCGGCAGGAGATATCGCAGCGTGCGGGACGACGAGCTCGGCGATCCTGCGATGTGCGAGTGCCGCGGGCGGGGGCGCGACTCACGGACTGGGGGCAGCGGGAAAGGGCCCGGCCGCGCGCCGCGCTGCCTCCACCCAAGGCCGGCATCGGCTGCGCTGACGCTGCGCCCGCTGGCTTGTGGGGCTCACGCCGCGGCGCGCAGCGGCCCTTCCCTCCTCCCTCCCATCCCCGTCACAGCCGCGCCCACACTCCCGCCCGCACAGTCTCTCCGCGTGTAGCATCCCTGGGCACGCGTCCAAGGTCACCTTCTCACTTGCGCGAGGCCTCGGCTTCTGGCGGGCCATCCGCTCGCGGTCGACGGAGGGGACCAGCACCTCTAGCGCTTCGAGCAGCACACCTCGCTCTCTGCGCTCTTCGTCTGCTGCCCGCTGCCTGTCTGCAGCGACGGTTCCTCTCCCTGGTCGTCTAGTCCCCTCCTCTGGTCGTCTAATCTCTCTGCTGCGCCCGGCCGCAACTCCGCCTGCCCAGCACCGACGAGCGCCATCCTGCCACACGCTGCCCAGCATGCAGTATGTTGGCCGCCTTGTCTCTTCGGTCTACAACTCGGTGCCGTCGATCAACCCGGCGACGCTGAGCGGCGCGATCGACATCATCGTGGTGGAGAAGAAGGTGGACGTCGAGGAGGATGTGCCCGACGACACGCCGGGCGCTCTGCCGGGAGCGATGAAGAAGCGCGTGCGCTCCACCACTGAGCTCAGCAGGTGAGTAGCATCTTGTTGTCAAGTGTCCGCGAGGCGACGCCGGCGTAGCAGCGGCCTGTGCGTGGTCCGGCTCACGATGCGGCGCGGTGGACGCCCAGGCTCGCCTTCGCTACAACTGACTCCCGCTCTCGTCTGCGCGTGCAGCACGCCCTTCCATCTGCGCTTCGGCAAGATGTCTGTCCTTCGTCCGGCAGAACGCAAGGTACGCATGAGCAGACTGCAGTCGGGGGGCGAGACGCTGTCTGACGCGCGCTGCAGGTGACTCTGCACCTCAACAACTCGCCCGACCCTCTTCCGTTCGCCATGAAGGTCGGAGAGGCAGGCGAGGCTTTCTTCGTGCTGGAGCTGGACGAAGACGAGTCGCGCGAGGGCATCCCCGACGATCTGGTCACGTCGCCGATCCTTTCCGCGGCGTCGAGCCCAGAGCTCTCTGCGGACTCGCTAGAGCTGCCCGGCGAGGACGGCATGGAGGCGCTCGACCTCGGAGCCAGCATCTCTGCTGCCACGGCGCAGGAAGACGCAGCCAGTGCTGCCACGACCTTGCCTAGCCAGACGACCGAGAGCGCCGGGGTCACACAGCCCACGAGCCGCGCTTCCTCGGATGCGCACTTTGATGGAGAGAAGAAGGGCCGTGACGAGCCCGAGCAGGACGAGACTCGTCCTGACGACGACTCGCCGGGCACGCTCGACGTCCCGCCAGACTCGGGCGCCACTGGCAGCGGCCCAGCCGGCCCGTCCAGCGTCCTGGGCCAGGTAGGCGCCGTCGTCTCAAAGGCCAGCGGCGTCATCGGCGGTGCGGGCCGCTCGGTGGTCGCGCCGCTGACCGGCGGCAGCAACAAGCTGGAGAAGATCCGCAAGGCAGAGCAGACGGGCGACGACGGATCTGCGCCGCTCGCCGGAGGAGACGGAGCCGGCGGTGCCGTGCCTCTGGAGTCGACGAGCTCGAGCAGCGGCCAGCGCAGGATGCAGGCGGAGGACGATGCCACGCCGCCCACTGAGCCGCCGCAGGCCGACGACACAGAGACCGACAAGCTCGAGATGGCCATGAAGCGGCGGGCCGAGCGTCTTGTGGGACAGGCCCGTCGTCGCTCTTCATCGCCTTCCGGCGAGCGTGACGACACGCGCGGACGCCAAGCCGATTCCATGCTCCATGCCGACGAGCAGGAGGAGGCCTACCCCTCTCCGTTTGGTGCTACAGGCGGAGGGGTGTCGTCGTCGCAGCACTCCTCTGAGTCCGCCGGCGGCGCAGCGTCTGCTAGCGAAACACGGCCGGCCGCCCAGTCCGACCACTCCGAGTTCCTCGCCGGACGCCGCCTTGTGCCGGTAGCGAGCGGCCTCGGCACCGTGCAGCTCTCCGCCAGCCAGGTGGAGCCTCGCATTCTCAAGGAGCGTCTGGGCCATTCGCCGTCGGCGTCCGAGCAGAGCACAGCTGGACGTGATGAGCAGGACGATAGCGCCACGACGAGCAAGACTGCGTCGCGGATCTCAGGCACGAAGCGCAAGGAGGGTGAGCATGCACCGCCGTGCACATCTCATACATCCAAGCTGACACTGCCTTAGATCTCCAGTACATGCTCGACATGGACGGCTACAAGATGACGGCCGACGGCGAGGACCTGGCGTTTGCCGAGGGCAAGCGCTTCTCCGAGGAGATGCCGCTCAGCAGGCGTCACGGCGGCTCTGGCCGCCACGGCCACGGCGAGCTGATGGCACACCCGCATTCGCCGCACTCGGGAGACGAGCTGCGCCGAGCGGTCGCGCAGGGCACACGGCCTCGCAGCGCGAGCAGAGGTGCTTCACCAGATGCAGAGAGCGAGCAATCCGATCGACCGCACCTGGGGCATCGCCGCAACTCGGCGTCAAGTGCTTCTATCGCATCCGACTCTCTTCGCCGAGCCTCATTCACGCCCGGCAAGATCAGCACGCGCGGTCTGCCAGACGACACTCCACCCCTCTCTGCCGCAGCAGACGGAGACTTTGGCGCCGACGAGCTGAGCCTCAGCCGCGATCTCGTTCGCCTGACGCGTCTGCTGCGCCCTGACACCCTGGCTGCCGGGCCTGCTGAGGGAGAGAGCGAGGAGGCAGATGTGGCGCAGGACGACAAGCAGCGCGCCGAGCCGTCCAGGCGTGCCAAGCGCCACTTCCAAGACACTTCGCTCAGCGACACCGAGGCAGAAGTGGGCTCGACCTCGTGGTCTCAGCATCAGCGCGCGACGAGTGCCGACATCGAGTATAGTGCTGCCCGCCACCGCACAGTCAAGGGCGACGTTACGCCGCCGCACAGACCCGGCGGGCTCGACACCGATGCGCTCCTGCGCTCGCCCGAGTACGAGTGGGGCTGGGGCGAGCTGCCGAAGCAGAAAGAACGGGCGCAGCGGAGAGTGCGGCACCAGAGCACTGCCGGTGCAGGCGGCTCCGAGTCGGCACGACGCGCTTGCGCGATGGATGCCGAGCATGGCGCACTCGACGGCCTGGCGCCGGACGTTTCCGGCAAGCTCTGGAGCTCCGAGGAAGAGCCGTACATCTTCAAGCTGCAGCTCGACGACGCTGCGCATGACTTTGAGCTCAGCCTGTGCTTCTCCGCAAGCTTCGGCGCGGCCGGCTCTCCGGCGGCAAGAGATCAGGCCTCGTCGGCGTCCGACGAGGATCGGTACAACTTCGAGGAGAACCGCATCAGTTTCCAGCGCTTCCTCGACGACGAGGGCGTGGTCAACGACGACCGCCTCGTCGTGCGCTACCATGATCGCTTCCTGACGTGGGAGAATGCTTCTGCTGTTCTTGCGACACTGGCTCTATACCGCAAGACCCTCGCAGCGAGCCAAGCAGGCAGCGCTGCAGCTTCCGCGAATGCCGACGCGGATGTCGGGCCTCGCGCAAGTGTTTGGTCGCGCTGGTGGAACCGGAGCAAGACTGCGGAGCTGGAGGCGGGCAAGACGCCAGATGGCGCTCCGCTGCGTAGCTCCGACGATCTGGCTCCCGCAGTGTCGGCGTCGGTACCTCGCCCTCTAGACCGTGCGCAGACAGACTCGGTGCTCGAGGTCAATGCGGAAGCCATCAAGATTGCCACCGCCGCCAGCGCAAGCAGCAACGTCGCGCCCACGGCGGCTCAGCAGCGCAAGCCGCAGAAGACCTACGCAAAGACGTTGAGACTCACCTCAGAGCAGCTCAAGTCGCTCAACCTCAAGAAGGGCGCCAACAAGATCACCTTCTCGGTCACCTCGTCGTACTCGGGCGTGGCCACGTGCACGGCGCGCATCTTCCTGTGGGAGAGCACGCACCAGATTGTCGTCTCAGACATCGACGGCACCATCACCAAGTCCGATGCGCTCGGACACGTCTTCACCATGATCGGCCGCGACTGGACGCACGTCGGAGTTGCCAAGCTCTACACAGACATCGCGCGCAACGGCTATCGCATCATGTACCTGACGAGCCGTGCCATCGGGCAGGCCGACGCGACGCGCGACTATCTCAAGGGCATCAAGCAGGCCAACTACCAGCTGCCCGACGGGCCCGTCATCATGAGCCCAGACCGCCTCATGGCCAGTCTGCACCGCGAAGTCATCCTGCGCAAGCCCGAGGTGTTCAAGATGGCGTGCCTGCGCGACATTGCGCGCCTCTTCGGCGCCGACCCGCGTGCCTCGCAGCCCAAGAACATCGGCCCCGATGCGGCGGAGCGCTGGCCCGGCGTCCAGGCAGACTCGCTGCGCATGGCGGGCAATGCCGCTGCGGGCCGCATGGACAGCCCGTCACAGGGCGCTGCCACGGCGCAGGCAGCCGACTCGGCCGCGCAGTCGGCGCTCCAGACCTCGCCGTTCTACGCCGGCTTCGGCAACCGCATCACCGACGCCCTGAGCTACCGCAGCGTCAACATCCCGAGCTCGCGCATCTTCACCATCGACTCCAACGGCGAGGTAAAGATGGAGCTGCTCGAGCTGGCTGGCTACAAGTCTTCGTGAGTGCTGCTCATCAGACCCGCCGGCGGTCGCCTGCTAATGCGCGCCGCAGATACATCCACATGACCGACCTTGTCGACCAGATGTTCCCTCCAATCACCGTGCGCTCGGAGGCGGCGGCCATCCAGCCGCAGTACAACGACTTCAACTTCTGGCGCCCGTCCATCCCGCAGTTCGAGCTGCCGCCAGACGACGAGCTCCTGGCGACGCCGCCCGTCTCTCCCGCACTGTCGGCACGCAGCGGCCGCAGCGTCCGCAGCACCGCCAGTGTGCGCAGCGGTGGCGGCGAGAGCTCAAAGGACGATGAGCCGCGCCGGAGGAGCAGATTCGGACTCGGCAGCCTTGGTCTCAGCCGGCGGACCAGTGCTCAGACCATCGCCAGCCCCGAGGGCGTCGAGAGCAAGACGCCGCAAGCGCCGAGCCACTCGCAGACTCTGCCGTCGAGCACGTCGGCGCCCGATCTCACCGCCGAGGCAGCGCTGGCCGATGCACGCACACGGCCGTCGGCGTCGCATGGACGATCCGACTCACTCGAGGCGGCCACATCCAGCAGCTACGGCTCTGGTGTCACCTCGTGGACCGCACCCTGGCGACGCCGTCGCGCGGCTTCGCCCGGCGGTGACGGCACGACGCAGGCGACCTCTCCCCTCGTGGGTCCTGTGAGTCGGGCCCATGCCTTGCCGCCTCAGCCGCAGCATGCTCACTCCCGCACAGGTCATCACGGCCGAGCCGGACTCGGAGGACGAAGGCGAAGGCATGGCCTCGGACGACGACGTCAGCCTCTTCGACTTCAGTGGCGCTGGCCAGAAGAGCAAGGCCGAGGGCGCCAGCGACGCGCGTGACGAGGAAGACGACCGCGGCAGTGAGGAGGATGAGGACAGCGAGGACGAGAATGCGGGGGACCAGGTGCTGGAAGACGACGAGCTGCTCGCCGGCGGCGAGATCAAGTTCGACAGCTGGTGACGGGCGCGCACTGGATACAAATGCAATTGAGCTTGGCAACGGATGGGCTGGATGGCGGAGCTGAGACGTGCTCTTCTGCCACGCACGCGTCAGCGCATAGTGACAAGCTCTTGCGGCGGAGAGCGGTCAGCAAGCAGCACGCCACGCACGCACAGGAGACACTCACCCTCGGACGACGTCGGGTGGATGGCCACCGTGTTGTCAAAGTCCTGCTTCGTCGCGCCCATCTTGACGGCGATGCCGACGCCCTGCATGATCTCGTCGCTGCCGAGGCCGACGATGTGCACGCCGACAACCTTCTCGTTCTTGCCCTGGCACACGAGCTTGTACGCCGTGGGCTGCTTGTGCTCGAGCATGCCAAAGTACATGGCCGTGAAGCGGCTGCTGTAGATCTTGATGTCGTCGTCGCCGAACTTCTCGCGCGCCTCGGGCTCCGTGAGGCCGACGGTGCCGCTGGTCGGGTGCGAGAAGACGACGGTGGGGATGTTGTCGTAGTCGAGCTTGTCGTTGCGCAGGTGCTCGGGGCCGTAGAGGCGGTTCGAGAGGCGGCGGCCGGCCGCAATGGCGACGGGCGTCAGCAGCGCCTTGCCCGCCACGTCGCCGAGCGCGTTGATCGAGGGCACGTTGGTGTTCTGGTACTCGTCGACGACGATGTTGCCTGCCTTGTCCGTCTTGACGCCGACGGACTCGAGGCCGAGGTTGTCGGTGTTGGGGCGGCGGCCGATGGCCCAGATGAGGCAGTCGACCTCGAGCTTGCCGCCCTTGTCGAGCGTCAGCGTCAGCGGGCCGCCCTTCTCGCCGTCGACGCGCGTAATGTTGGTGCTCTGGTGCACGTTGAGGCCCGTGTTGCCCATGTACTCCTGCAGCGTGTCCGAGATGATGGGATCGAAGTTGCGCAGGAACTTGTCGTGGCGGATGAGCAGGTGCGTCTCGCTGCCCAGCGTGTTGAGCACGCCCGCCAGCTCGACGGCAATGTAGCCCGCGCCGACGACGGCAACACGCTTCGGCTGCTCGCGCAGCGCAAAGAAGCCGTCCGAGTCGATGCCGAGGCTCGCGCCCGGGATCTTGTCCTCCGACGGCTGCGTCGGGCGGCCGCCCGTGGCGATGCAAATGCGCTTGCCGCGCACCGTGTGCGTGCCGGCGTCGAACTTGCCGCTCTCCGAGCGCATCGTCACTTCGACCTCGTTGGAGCCCGTGATCTTGGCGTGGCCGGAGATGTACTCGACCTTGTCGTTCTGCAGGTTCTTGTCGTAGATGCCGTTCAGGCGACGCACGTAGGCGTCGCGCTTCTCGACAAAGTAGTTCCACTTGAACTCCGGGATGCCCTCCTTGGACAGCGGCTTGCCCTGCGCATCGCCGAAGCCGTACTCGGGCGCCGAGCGCAGCGCATCGGCCATGTCGGCGGCGTACCACATGATCTTCTTGGGCACGCAGCCTGTGCGGAAACAGGTCAGCATACTTGCTGCGGGCGGGCGGTGCACGATCCTGCGCCGCCTTTCCGACACACCACCGCACGGCCGAGCGACTCACCGACGTTGACACACGTGCCGCCGAGGCGGCCGTCCTCCTCGATCATGCAGACCTTCTGGCCGTACTGAGCGGCGCGGCGGCCCATGCCCATGGCGCCGGAGCCGCCGCCGATGACGACGACGTCGTACTCCTCCTGCGGCTTTGCGACGGGCGGCATGCTGGCACGTGCGCTGGAGGCGAAGGTGCGGAGCGGCGGCTGGGCGAGGTGCGCGACGAGGGGTGCGAGGCGGCGGGCAGGCGCGGCCGGAGCGAGATGCGGCGAGGGCGGCAGTGCGGCGGAGCGGGTGGCGAGGCGGCGGAGCGGAGCGGCGGGTGCGAGCGTCCACAGGGAGCCGGCGCGGGAGGTGGTGGTGCGCAGCAGGGTGGGCGACGGAGCGGGCGCAGGCGAGGCGCGCGGAAGGGTGCAGCAGCGGGGGGTGATGGCGGGAAGAAGGCGCGGCGCTCGAGCGTGACGTGACAGCGGCATCGCAGCAGCAGAGCGCAGCGCAGGCACGCGCCGAGTGGAGGCCGGCCGCATCGCCTCAGCGGCGATATTCGCGATTGCGCGAGAGCGGTGAGATCGCAGCGCCACACGCCGCATGGGCCAGCCTAGCAGCGGGGCATGGCGAGGCCGTCGCCGCCTCGATGGCCTCCATGAGCGACAGCAGCAGTCAGGTAGAGAGCGTCCGAGTGCATTCGAAGGCAGCTGCGCAGGAGGTCGCATCCGAAGTGGGCTGCGCCGCATCGCCTGCGGGAGAGGCGATCCGGACGTACGCGACTGCAGGCCGTTGACGCACCGGCACCTGAGCGTCTTGACAAGCTTGCGCACGTCCGTCAGCACCATGAGCGAGGCAGTATTCGGTGCAGCGCTGCTCAACGAGAATATTGAGACCATCTTGGGCGCGCCTGCTGCATCGCAGATCGAGGTGACGGCGTGCCGAGGGGCAGGCACCGCCCACGCGCCGCTTACGGGCGTAAGCCGCTCCATGGCCCTCGGCGTGCAGCACTCGCTCGAAGCGCCCAGCAGCAGGGGCGCACATGGAGGCGCTTGCGCGGCCCGTCGAGGTCTCTGCATGTCTCTCGCCCTCGCTGTATCTGCCGCTGCCTGTCTCATCTCGCAGCCGGCCTTGGAGGAGCACAGAGGCCGGGCGCGTGCTGCGCAGCCGGCCGGCGACGCGCGTACAGCACACGGCGGCGCAGCGTGTGGCGCCATGAGATCTGCTGCTGCGCCAAGCTGCGCCGCGCCAAGGCCTCACAAGGCCGCTGCTCCACACGACATCTACGCCGCACCCGCCACCCCCACCTGCGACATCACCCGCGCAGCCTCACTTTGCTCGCGCCTCTCCACGCACGATGGCCGCCAGCAGCAGCAGCAGCGCCGCCGCAGGCCCCACCGACGCATCGCTCCTCTTCCTCGGCCAGCAGTGCGCGCTGGCGGCGTGCCGGCAGAACGACTTTCTGCCGCTGCGCTGTCCCTTCTGCACGCGCCACTTCTGCGCCAGCCATGCGCGCGCCGACGAGCATGCGTGCGCCCACGCCGACGACGCCGACGTGCGCCGGCCGACGTGCGGGCGCTGTGGGCGCGCGATGAAGTGGCAGCGCGGCGAGGCCGTGCAGGAGACGGTGCGCCGCCACCTCGCCGGCGGGCCGGCCAGCGAGTGTGCGCGCGGCGAGCAGCAGGCGCCCAAGGCCGAGGTGTGCCACTGCAGAGGCTGCACGAAGCGTCTCGTCGTCAAGATCACAGTGAGCAGCGGAGCTGGCGGACACGCACACGACGTTCTCGAGCCGCCGCGGCTGACCTCGTGTCCTTCTCAGTGTCCGGCATGTCATCACAACTTCTGCCCCTCGCATCGCGCACCGCAGTCGCACACCTGTGCCGCACCTGCCCCTGCCGCTGCGGCGTCAGGCGCTGCAAGTGCGCGGCAGGGCAAGCCGCTCGCGGCCACGTCTCGCCTGCTCCGGCCGAACGCATCGAGCGCTGCGGACAAGCCGCCATCAGAGAGCAAGGCCAGCGCCCCGTCGAAGCCGGCTGCGCTGCAGGAGGTGCGCGCAGACATGCAGGCCGGCGTGCGGTCGGTCGGCAAGACACTGGGCGTGCAGAGCAAGGGCGACAAGTGAGCGCAGCGGCTGCGGCCGTTGCCCCTACAGCGGCTGACACTGTCTCTCAGACGAGCAGCGTCGGAGCAGGCGTCCATGCTGCAGGCACTGCAGACGCGGCAGCGGCTCGGCGTCCTCTCGAAGGCGGAGGAGGTGCGCCTCGCCGAGCTTGTGGCGCTGCGCGAGGGCGCCCGGCGGCGCGGCACCAAGGAGGGCAAGGACTGCTGCATCTGCTAATACCATTAGACTGTCACCGGCCATGAACAGATCGATGATCGTGTCGGGAGGCAGTCTGCAAGCTTGCAGACTCTGGCCCTCTGCGGGCGGCGCGGCTCGTGCTGCCGTGTGAGAACGCGCCGCCGCGCCCTTGAGCTGCAGCAGCGCTGCACTCCTCGCCGTCGGGCCTGTATCACGCCAGCCATGCTCTGACTGTGGCGCTTGATGGCTCTCGCGAGGAGTGATCAGTGCAGGATGCTGTGACAGGTGCCCGCTGCCGGCGCTGGCGCCGCGCGCGGCGTGTTTGTTTGGACGCGTCTTGGGCGCCCCGTGCGCCGAGAAGCACACACGCGCGCGGCGCGGCCGCAGCTGCCGCCGCCGCCGCGCGCCGCGCGCGCGCGCGGCCGCCGCCTCTTCGCTCTGCTGCGCCAGCTCTGCTGTGTCCGCCGCGCCGCGCCAGCAGCAGCAGCTCACAGGGCTCGGCTGAACGACGCCGCGCGCGGTTCGCGCCTCTTTGCGCACCACCTCAACACCCTTAACCCGCCTCACCCTCAACCACCGCACACGATGGGAGAGTCGCGCACAGAGCTCATCCAGTGGCTCAACGAGCTGCTGCAGATCCAGTACACCAAGGTCGAGCAGTGCGGTAGCGGTGAGTCAGGCGCTCGGCCTCTCAGTCCGGCGCAGCGCTGGCACGGGGCGCCGGCCCTGCTGGCTCGCACGTCGCCCTCTTGCCTCGGGGCCGCGAGCATGCCGCAGAGCTGCCGCAGCACTGACGCCTCTTTCCAGGCGCCGCGTACACGCAGGTCATCGACTCCATCTACGGCAATGTGCCGCTCGGCAAGGTCAACTTTGCGGCGCGGGCCGAGTACGAGTACCTGGCCAACTACAAGGTGCTGCAGGAGGCCTTCAAGCGGAATAAGATCGACAAGGTGCGTGCTGCCCGCTGCGTTCTCTGCAGCTCGTGCTGACTCGCTGGCACAGCCCATCCCCGTCGAGCGGCTGGTGCGATGCAAGATGCAGTGCGTTGCTCTTGCGACGCTGCGCGTCCTGCTCGTCCTGACGCTCTCGTCGCAGGGACAACCTCGAGTTCCTGCAGTGGCTGAAGAAGTACTGGGACACGCACTCGCCCGGCGAGGTCTACGACGCCGAGGCGCGGCGGGGCGGCGCCGCTGCTGCGCCACCACCGCTGCTGGGTGCGGTGTCCGTCGGCGTGGCGCGCACGTCGGCGGCGGCGCCTCGCGCTGCCGCGCGTGCGCCAGTGCGTGCGGCTGCCCCGGCGGCGGCGCGTGCGCCGGTCCGGGCACCGGTGCGCGCGGCACCAGCGGCCGGGCGGCAGCAGAAGGGCATGGAGGAGGAGATCCTCAACCTCACGGGCCAGATGGACGAGATGAAGCTGAGCGTCGACTCGCTGGAGAAGGAGCGCGACTTCTACTTTGCCAAGGTGCGTCCGAGTAGCGTGCCGCGCGTACTCTGCGGATTGCTCATTCACCGCGCACAGCTGCGGGACATCGAGGTGCTCGTGCAGCAGCGCTTCGAGGTGCTGGAAGGCGGCGGCGAGGAGGCAGCTCTGGAGCTCGACACGCTCAAGCAGATTCAGGCCGTGCTGTACTCGACGGAGGAGGGTTTCGAGGTGCCGGAAGGCGGCGAGGTGAGTTGGTGCAGTCGCGGGCGCGACGCGTCTCCTGGCTCACACCCTTCCCAGGCCGCACTTCTCGGCGACGAGGAGGAGACGTTCTGATGCGGCATTGCCAGCGCACAGCAGTGCCGCCAATGCACTCTCTTGCTAGACGTCAGTCAGGCCGCAGGCGCACGCACGGCCGATGCAAGATGCAACACGAGGGCTTGATTGATGGTGACGCAGATGGAAGGGGCGATGCAGAGGCATGCGGGGCTCGGACATTGATGGGTGAGGTATCTCGTGGGCGAACGTGGCGGGATCAGCTGTGGTGGCGGGGCTCTTGAGGTGCGCAGGACGGCCTTAGCGGCGCGCAAACTGCGCCCAGAGCGAGTTGGACGTGGTGCATCCGGGAGACGTCGTAGTCATAGGCAGGACGCTCTGCTTCTTCTTGCGCGAAGACGACGCCTCGGCGGGGCGCGGCACAGCAGTGCGCGAAGAGGCGCCGACGAGCGGCGGCCTCGACGGCGTCGTCGCCGACACGTGGCGCCGCAGCAGCGGCGCACTGGCGCCTGCAGCACCTGGAGACGGAGAAGTGCCGAATCCCAGCGAGGCTGTGCGCTTCAGCTGCATGCCGTTCTTGGTGCGCTTCGACTGCTGCTCAGGCAGGAGCGCGGGGCTCTGGACGGCGGCACCCGGCGAACAGAGCTCGAGCTTGCGCTTGCTTCCAGCGGTCGCCACGCCGAGGAGCGTCGCATCGCCGCCCTCGTCGGCCGCTGCGAAAGTGAAGCGCGAGCGGAGAGAGTCGCCTGCTTGCGCAAGCGGAGCCTCGTCTGCCTCGTCGGGGATGGCGGCGAAGGACAAGTGCAGCGGCAGCGCAGATGCGTTTGCCATCCGGCTCTCGCCCAGAACTGATGCGGTCGAAGCCTTGCTCTTGCTCGTGCGGCGATGCGCAGCAGCCCGAGTCGGCGAGGCGTCCAGCGGGTCCGGCGTGGGCGGCGAGCCGCGCGCCCAGGGTCTCGTGCCATCGTCACTCCTGGCAGAGACCGATTCCGGGCTCGAGATCGCTCCGTCATGACCGCCGCCTTCCGACACGAGCCGAGCGCGGTCGCCAGCATCGATGCGGCTGAGCATGCCGCCCATGGTGCCAGCATCTGCGCTGGGTGCCGAGGATGATACGTTCTGCAGCTGTGAGAAGCCGCTGGCGTACAGCGCCTCGACCTCGGCGTCGTCCTCGCCTGTCGGACCGGGGCTGGACGAAGCAATGTCCTGCGGCTCTGGGCTGCGAGACTCGGGCGAGGCGCGCGTGGGAGAGCTCTTGAGCTTGAAGAACTTGCTCCGCGTGCCAGTCGCCAAAGGCTCGCTGTCGGAGCCATCGGCGTACAGCGCAAGGCATTGAGCTGCACTGCGACGCAATGCGGGCTGTGCGCGAGACGCGACGGGGTCGTCTGGTGCGTTGAGCGATCGCGGCTTGAGTGGTGACGCGGACGAGGCGACAAAGCCGGAAGGCCCGCTGGAAGCCTGCGCGGGACGCTGGCTGGCGGAGGTCTTGGCGAAGAACTGTGCGATGCCGCGCTGTGCTGCGGGCGGCGGGCCAGCCTGAGCGGGCCGACTAGGGCGGCGGGCTGTGGCACCTGCCGGCTTTGCTGGTTCGTCGCTCGTGGACGGCATGAGGTCGACCATAGCGCGGCGGCTGATTGGATCGATGTTACCATCCGCAATGCCGCGCGCCTCCTCGCAGCTCATGGGAGCTCCGATGCACGGGTCAGCGTCTACTGCCGCGCCATCGGCCGCCAGCAGCGGAGAGAGGGTGACGATCTGAACGCTGCCATCTGGCGCACGCGCAAAGACGCGCTGGAAGACGAAGGTGCGCTCGGCGGTGGCACTGCGGGTGCTGGCCTCAGCTTGCGCATCAGCAGCCTGGCAGGAGAGATGACTCACAAGTCCTCGTGGTACGTCTCAGGCACGCGCATGCCCTCCATGCGCACCGCCTGCAGGAGCTTCGGCACCGTCTGGTACTTGCGGAGAAGGCGGTGCGCAGTCTTCAGGCCCATTCCTGAGAACCAGCATGAGTTCAGCCGGGCGCGCGCTGCAGTAGCATCAGTGCTCACCAGGGATCGAGTCGAGATAGTCACAGCCGCTCAGGATGGCCATCTGGCGGAACTGCGACTCGGTGAAGCCATGCAGCGGCAGGCCGTGGCTCGACGCCAGTCGGTCATGGCGCAGCTCTACGCACGAGCCATTGACGTCAAGCTTGTACAGCACCTGTGGAGCTGGGCTCAGCTTTGCAGCGCGCGCTTTGCAGAGGAGAGAAGCTCACTGTGCGGCAACCAAACACCAGCAGGTCCGAGTCCTCCGTCACCACGGCGTCGATGACGTTGCAGCGCTCCAGATAGGCCAGCTGCGCGTCGGCCTCGTAGGGCGCCACGATGTAGGCGACCTTCTCGCGGCGCAGTGCCTTGATGAGCTGGTAGGCCATCTCTGGCGTCACGTCGACGCATTTGGCAAAGATGTCGTGGGCCATCTTGTCCTTGCCCTCGGCCAGCAGCTGCCTGGCGCGCGCCTGGCTCTCGGCTCGCCGCCTGCAGCGCTGCGGTGAGCACTTGACGGACGCACGCTGGGAATCCGCAATCAGTACTCACGCCTCGCGGCCCTCCTCCGTGCGGCTCTTTGCGGGCAGCCGGTCGCCATCAAAGACGATGTACGGCTCCACGCCATGGTGACGCAGCATGCGAATGCGCGCCATGGAGTAGTTGATGTAGCTGCGATGCGAGTCAGCACGATGCAGGCTAGAGACGGGAAGCCAGCTCCGTGCGATTAGGTGCCAGGTCCGGCAGAGCGACCTGCGCATCGCATGTGCGGCCCGCGTCCACTGCACATCCCCCAGCCCTGCCCAGTGCAGCACTCACGCATCGGTGCGCTCGCCGAGCACGAGCTTCTGTGCACAGCCGTACGCGCCGCGGTGCAGCCAGACGTAGGCGTCGATGCCGAGCGTCTGGCCGCGGTAGGCGGAGATGTGGCGCGTGACCTGCACGTCCTTGAGCGCCGGCAGCAGGCCGCTGATGCCCATCGTGGCCGGGCCGGGGCTGTGCGCGCAGCCGGTGCGGGCGAGGGGGCGTGCAGTGCTGCCGGCGGGCAGGTGCGGCGGCGCGAGTGGGATGGAGGTGGTGGTGCGGGTGTTGGACGGCCGGCGTGCGGCGGGTGCGGCAGCGGGCCGCGGCGCGTGGAGAAGCGCGTCAAGAAGCTCACGCGCGCGTCTGGCGCCATCATCGTGCCGCGGCCTGACTCTGCTCCAGCTGCTCTCTCGCGCATCCCGCGCGCCGCCTGCCGCTCGTTCTCGACCCCCGCACCTCCCACCGCTGCCTGCCGCTGCCGCTAGGCCATGCCCCTGTCGCTGCCGCTGCAAGTGCCGTGGCCGCCGCTGTCTCTGCTCGCCGTGCTGCTGCCGCTGCCGCTCGCCGCGCTCCTCATGTTCTCCTTCGCCAGCACGCGCCGCTGGCAGCCGGCCGGCAAGCATGTCCTCATCACCGGCGGCAGCTCCGGCCTCGGCCTGGCGCTCGCCGAGCTGCTGGCCAGCCGTGGCGCCAGCGTGACGCTCGTGGCGCGCAACCAGGAGCGCCTCGATCAGGCAAAGGCGCGCGTCCAGGTGCGTGCGGCTCTGGCCGTCGAGCATGCTCGAGTGCGGACGGTGGCTCGGCCTTGCTGACGCACTCTGGACCCGCTCAGGCCGCTTGCATCGCACCTCCGCAGTTCGTGCAGGCCATCTCGGCCGACCTCGTCAGCTTTGCAGGCTGCCAGAAGGCGCTTGCGCAGGCCACGGAGCAGGCTGCGGCCCACGCGCCCACTTCAGCCAGCACCGACGCAGCGGCGCCGGCCCACCGCGTGCCCGACGCCGTCTTCTGCTGCGCCGGCGCCGCGCGCCCCGGCTGGTTCATCGAGCAGACGGAGCACATGTTCCGCGAGGGCATGGACACCGACTACTTCACCGCCGCGGGCATGAGCCACGTGAGTCTACGGCAAGGCGGCCCTTGCGCCCGTGCGCAAGAGCCTGACGGCCAGCAATCGAACAGGCTGCGGCACAGGCATACGCAAAGTCAGGACAGACCGGCGGCAAGATCGTACTGGTCTCGTCGACGCTGGGCTTCATGGGTCTCGTGGGCTACTCGCAGTACTCGCCGGCCAAGCACGCCATCAAGGGCCTGGCCGACTGCCTGCGCTCGGAGCTCCAGCTGTACGGCATCTCTGTGCACGCGTACTTTCCGGGCACGATCCTCAGCCCGGGGTACACGCGCGAGAACGAGACGAAGCCGAAGCTCACGGTGCAGATCGAAGGCGACGGCGAGAAGGACGGCCTCTCGCCCGCGGCGTGTGCCAAGGGTCTGCTGAGAGGTGCGCCGAGCCGGTGCGCCGCAGCCGCGTGCGGATACCAGGACTGACCATGCGCCGTCGCAGGCCTGGAGAAGAACCAGTACTTCATCACCACGGACTTCCAGTCTGAGCTCTTCCGTGCGAGCGCCCTGGGCAGCGGCCCGGGAAACGGCTGGCTGATGGACCGACTGAAGGGCTTCATTGGCGCGGTGAGTCGCTCGCAGCTTTCCGGCGCCCGTGCGAAGCTGATGCCGTAGCGTCGTGCCCAGATCGGCATTCCGCTCTGGCGCATCTTCGAGGCAGACGCGCTGATCAAGAAGCACCGCGCGGAGCACTACAGGGAGCTCGGCCTGAACGGCGGCGTGGCACCTCGATGACTGAGGCCGCGCGGCGTCACCAATGCAGACAGATGCCAAGGACTCATTGCGCCGTGGCGGTCGTGGGCTGTCTTCCACACTCCGTCTGTCTAAAGCCTCGGGACTCCGTCTGTCTAAAGCCTCGGGACAGCCAATAAGTCGCATTTCCCTGCTGCGCGCCGACCCCGCAGCCACGCGTGCGTCTGCCTGCTAGCATCGGCCAGCTTGCGCTTAGCCGGGGGGCAGCAGGCTGGCGTCGACCTCGGCGCGCTCCTCTTCTGTCATGTCCTCCGAGCCCGTCCATGCAGATGTGATGGGAGAGCGCGGCAGCACCATCGTGCCTGGGTGGAGCAGTGTCAGCTGAATGCACGCAACATCGCGCATCGCCTGGCAGCAAGCCGACACGTTGCTGTTCGCAGACGCTTCCTGCGCGCGCACGCCAGAGACTCACCACTGCGGGCACACTCCAGCACGCCAAACGGCCGCACGAGCTTCAGGAAAGCGTCGCAGCGGCTCGTCTTGCCCGAGACCTCGATGATGACGGCCGTCGAGCTGATGTCGACGACGTTGCCCTTGAATTGCTCAGCAAGCGCGACGATGGAGCGCATGTGGTCATACTTGACGCGCAGCGCCTCCGTAGGCGTCAGCGGCGGCGGGTGCGACGCGCCGCCGGCGCCGGCCGCGAGCTCAGCATCCGTCTCGCGCTCCGAGACGAGCTCGGGCGCAGGACGACTTTGCGCACCGGCCAGGCCGGCATGCGCGTCCTCGAAGTACTCGGGCCCGAGGATGGACACCTTGACGAGCATGAGCTCGCGCTCGATGACACTCGTGTCCGTGTAGTCGAGCACGGCCCACACGGGCACGAGGTCCTCGAGCTGGCGGCGCATCTGCTCCACCACGCCGTCCTGTCCGCGGAGCGTGATACACATGCGCGACAGGTCGCGGTGCTCCGTGGCGCACACCACGAGCGAGTCGATGTTGAAGCCGCGCGCGGCGAGCGTGCCGGCAACGCGCGACAGCACACCCGGCTCATTCTGGACGAGCGTGTTGAGGATGTGTCTGCAGCGAGGAGGCATGAGTGGGTGCACAAGGCGCTGCGCTCAGTGCTCGGCAGACAACGCAGCCCCGCCGAGGCGACGCAGCAGCGGCACTCACCGCTTGAACGGCTGCTTGCTGGGCGGCGGCGTGTTGTAGAGGATGTTGCTCACCGCCTCGCTCGCATCAAACGTCGGCGGCTCGAGGCTCGGCAGCGGCGGCAGCTTGCGCAGGCGGTGCGAGAGCTTGTACTCGAGCGCCGCCGAGGCGCCGCGCGTGCCGTCGTTGGGCCCGCCGTCGGCGTCGGCGTCGGCCTTGGGCGCGGCGCGCGGCGCGGCGCTGGAGAAGAGGCGCTGCGGTGCTGCGACGAGGCGTGCAGCGGGCCGCAGCGCAGTGCGCGCAAGAGGCGCAGCCATAGCAGACAGCGAGGACGTGCAAGGGCAGCCTCGCAGGTGGAGATGGGTGCGGGAGAGGAAGGAGGCGCGCCGCCGCGCGATGCTTGAGATGCAACATCCGCGCCTTCGCCGCGAGTCACGCGGACGGCCTTCGGGCACGGCGGCGCCGGAGCGCGACCTCACATCGCGGGAGGATTCAGTTATCGCGCGGCACTCGGCGGCTGCCACACACACAGTTGCAGCAGCCTCTCACAGCAGCAAGCACGCAGCAGACTGCGCTCAGCTTGCACTTGGGCTGAGGCACCGCTGCACTGACGGTGCTCGCGCGGCCGGCGAAGCCCTGGCCGGCCCGCGTGGGAAAAAGTTGCTATCGCGGCGGCTGCGCGGCGTGCGCGACTCTCGGCTGCCTGCGCGCCGCCGCCTGCCCTTCCCACGCCGACAGCACGCACCGCCGAGCCCACGCCCGCTCGCCCCAACTCCTGAATCTCGGCGCTCACGGCGGATGACGTGTGGCCGGTTTGCGCTCCAGCGCAGCACTGCAGCGAGAGAGGAGTAGAGGTCATCACATTCGAGGCGTGGGGTAAGAGAAGCGCAGCACGTGGGCTCGGAGGCGCGTCGAGCGCCCTCGAGGACGCAAAGACGTGGGGTGATGAGTAGTGGTAGCATTCAGCCGCGTACGGCGAGCTGACGTCGGGTAAAGGCGCATCGCATCGCATCGAGTCGGGTCGGTAGAGTAGATGAGGCAGAGGCAGAGTGGTAGAGGTCGTAGATGAGCAGCACGTCGAGCGAGCCCGTGCGCTGTCGAGAGCGAGCAGGGGCCGCGGCGGCGACGAGGTTGAGTCGCCGAGAGGCAGGCTGAAGGCTCAGTGCGAGAGGATGAAGCCTGGGCGTTTGTGATGAGCGTCAGTGTGTGGTCGACAGTGGAGAAGAGAGGGAAACAGGGCTCACCCTTGTAGCCCTGTGCTGCGCACTCCTCCAGGCTGCCGAGACGAAGAGGGCGAGTGTGAGCAGGTGACAAGCGCGAGCGAGGCAGCGAGAGATGCGAAGAAGCACGCACTCCTTGATGTAGGCCGGCTGATGACGACGACGACGACGAGCAGGAGGCATCAGCACATGATGACAGGCAGGGGGAAGGACGGAGGACTCACGATGCCGCCAGTGTAGTTCAGAGGCTGGGCCTTCTTGCCCTTGACGTTGCTGTGCGTGTCTCATCAGCCGCTTGCCCCCTTTCTTGACTGCTCGCCGCGCTACTCACCGGCCCATGTACCAGCCCTGACTGGCGTGGAACAGGCTCTTGGCGCTCAGCTCCTCCACACGATCACACCACGCCTTCTCCGCCTCGGGCGTGACGTCGAACGAAGCGATGCTCTTCTCGCGCATGTGCTCCATCGTCTGCGTCAGCCACTTGGCCTGAATGTCGATCGTCGAGGGGCCGTTGGAGTAGGCCGTGGGCGCTGCGGAGAGGCGTCAGCAAGGAGAGCCAGGGGGGGGGGGGCGAGGAGCGACGGACCTTGGGCACCGTAGAGCTGTGACGACGATGACGAGGCATCAGCGGGTGAGTGACCAAGCAGCAGCGAGTGTACGCACGTAGAAGAGATTGGGGAAGCCCCGGATCGTCATGCCGAGGTTGCTCGACACGCCGTTCTGGAGGCTCCACTTGTCCGCCAGCTTCTGCCCCTTGACGCCGGTAATGTCGATCTTGCGGTACACGCCGCTGTGCGTGTCGAAGCCGGTGGCGCAGACGAGCACGTCGAGCTCGACGACGCGGCCCGACTTGAGCTGCACGCCCTTCTCCACGATGCGCACGATGGGGTCGGAGCGCACGTCGATGATCTCCGCCTTGGGGTCGTTGAGCACCTCGTAGTAGTTTTGCTCGAGCGAGGGACGACGCGTGCCTGCGAGCGGAGCAACAGGCGTCAGAAAAGAGAGAGCCTGACGGGCAGCAAGACAAGCGCACCGAAGGTGTGGAAGGGCTCCTTGGGCGCCAGCAGCTCGCGCTTCTTGGGGTCCGTGACGCGCTCGGCCACCTTGCGCTGCCAGAAGTTGTAGGCCCTGTGCGCGGCGATCGACGTAGGTAGAGGTAGGCAGGAGGGGTGGGGGCGGCGGAGGCATTGTCAGCATGCATGCCAGTCACACGGCGATGGCATGCAAGTGCAGCATCTCCCTGCCACGCGTCACCTCTCTCGCTCTCCACGCGCCGGCCCACTCACTCGCGATTGATCTCCTCGTTGAAGTAGACGTCTTGGCTGACGACAGAGGAGGGGTCAGCGCTCATCTCAAGCCACACACGGTCGCGGGCGCGACGCGCGTCAAACGCACGCCGCGTCGTGCGACGCCTCTTGCGAATGCAACCACCACAGCCCCCGAGAACCTCCTCAACACTCGTCCGTCCACTCACTAAGTGCCCAACCAATACGTGAACCCACGCTTCGCCCAGATTTTCTCGAAGAAGGCCTCGCGCTGCTCGGGGGTCTGCTTCCGCCAGTCCGTCGTCGTGTCAAAGTCGTAATGGAAGCCAGCGAACGTGTGGCTGTTGTGAGAAGAGATGGGAGGTGAGCGTGGGGGCAAAGAGAGGCGAGGGGAGGGGAGAGGGGTGGGCAAAGAGAGGCGAGGGGAGGGGCGAGGGGTGGGCAAAGAGAGGCGAGGGGAGGGGGGAGGAGTGGGCAAGAGCGGCAACACGCACCGACGCTTCTCCAGGATGTCGGCGTAGACGGCCTTGAATGCCACTTGTGCCTCGGGCGTCAGCTGTGCCTGGCCCATGGGCAGGCAGAGGTTGGGTGTGCGCTGGAAGAGCTTGAACTCGCTGGCGACCTTGCCGAGCTCCTGCGCGACCTGCACGCCCGACGCGCCCGTGCCGATGACGCCGATGCGCTTGCCAGTGAGATCCTCCGGCGCCACGCTCTCGTCCCAGTTGCCCGTGTGGAAGATCTGGCCCTTGAACGTCTCTGCTCCCTCGAATGGGTTCATTGGCGCCGACGCAAAGCCGAGGCACGAGATGAGGAAGTTGGCCTCGAACGTCAGCTTGCCATCCTTGCCCATCGCCTCGACGTGCCACGTCTTGCTCTTCTCGTTCCACGTCGCCTTGGAGACGCGCGTGTTGAAGTAGGCGTCCTTGGAGATCTGCATCTTCTTGTCGGCGTGGTTGAAGAAGTGACGGATGCCCTTCCAGCCCGGGTAGACCTCGGACCACGTGAAGTCCTCCCAGATCTCCTCGTGGTCCAGGCAGTATAGCGGAATCGGCGAGTCGACGCGAGCGCCAGGGTAGCGGTTGAGGCTGGAGACACAGAGAGCGGGTCAGCAAGGGCGTTGCGAAGAGAGAGAGAGCAAGTAAGGAGGCCTCCGACACAGCTGCGTGACGCGCCAACACTCACCTCCACGTGCCGCCGAGGATGGGACTGGCCTCGACAATCTTGGCCTTGAAGCCGGCCTTGCGCAGGCGGACTGGTGCAGAGGAGCTTCAGCGTCAGCATGGCAGCTTTCTTCAGGCAGCTTCATCTTCAGAGAGCGAGCCAATCCGTGCTTCGCCTTTCCCTCGGCCTCCGCCACTACGGCTGCGCCTAGCACTCACTCAGCGAGTCCACACCGCCAAAGCCACCGCCGATGATGAGAGCGTCGAGCTTCGTCGACATGCTGAGGGTTGCTTCGTGTGTGTGATGTGTAGAGCGAGGTGTGAGGAGTGTGTGTGGTAGGAGGGAGAGAAGGTGTCGAGGTAGAGAGTGCGGAGAAGAGGCTGCTTATAGGCGACCTCATCATCCGCTGTCCCCGCCTGCCGCTCCGCCGAGCAGAAATGAGAGGAGGCTCGTGCACTCTCGGCCTCCACTGTCCGGCCACCGGCTCGCTGAGGGCGCTGCAGCTGGCCGAAGCTCTCATGCACCGGTGCGCAAGAGTGTTGCACTTGAGCTGCCTGCGTGCGGCGGTGCGGCAGCGACAGTGGGACAGTCGTGTGGGTCTCTCCATCTCTCCTCCTCTCGCGGCCGGCCGGCCGGCGGATGCACCCTTGACGGCGAGGGCGAGGCTGATGCTGCGCTGCTGTTGGTCTGGGACAAAGATGGAGGCCGCCCGCGCGCGCGGCCGGCGAGGCGCCTCTTCCCCGCACTTTGGCGCACCTCCACGCGTCGCGGCGCGCTAAAGTTTACGCCCGGCGACCGGCCGCGCGGCGCTCCTCCGCTCTCGCTCTGGGGGCATCGGCGCACGGGCGCTCGTTGCTGCGAGCTACCCCACACTCGCACTCCGCCGCACGCCGCGCCCGGCCCGAAGCGCCGGATGGCCGATGTCGCCGCTCGCAGGAGAGCAGAGGAGCATCTGCAGCTGAGGCACAAGCCTGCGACACAGCGCAGAGCGGCAAGCTCGACCGCTGCACGCTGCTGAGCGCCGCTGCTGCGGCAAGCCGCCCTTGCGACTGGCTGCGACGCTGCAGCTGCAGCGCTGGCGGCCGAGTGCTGCGCTCCGTCTTTGGCGCTGCGCTCTGCTTGCTTGCTTCGCTTGGCCAGCCAGCTTTGCGCACCGCTGCAGCGGACAGAGCAGCTCCGCCGTTGCGTGCTCATCGCGCTTGCTCTCGCTGCGGCGGCATCTCATCGCGCCAGCAGCATGAGGCGAGGCTTGAGCGCCGCATCGGCCTGCGAGACTGCCTCTGAGCAGCCGCGATATCCTCTGGTGCTGCATGCTTGTCTTCCGTGCTGCGCCTTGCGCCGCAGCGGCGGAGCTTGCCTCTGCCGCAGCGAGCTCGCCTCTCCTCTCGACCTCTGGCAAAGGCAGCATCCAGATGCAGCAGCAGAGTGCTCACTCTGACGAGAGAAAGAGACGGAAAGGGGTCAATCCGGGCGGATGTGGAGCCTCACAGCGGCAGTGCGGCGGCGGCGGAGAGGAGGCGGATGCGGGGCTCTCGCGGCGCTGCAGCGTGCACAGACCATCAGCGGCGCGGTCGCGGCGGCGGCGAGAGCAGGGGCGACCTGTGCGCTCGTCTGCCTCTCATCGCCGACGTCTGGCAGACGTAGGAGAGGCGACACAGCAGATGTAGTGTGCTCGATGTGCAGCGGCAGCTTGCCTCGAGCATTCTACTCGGCCTCGTCAGCTGCCTCGCTCAGCGCTTGGGCGAGTGTGTCTGCGGCCAGAGGCAGGCCTCGAGCGGAGGAAGCGGCCTGGCGTGCTCCCACGCTCACTGGGCAGGCCGGCGAAAGCAGCTCTGCAGCTGCTCCCACGGCTGCAGCTCGCATCCTCTCTCTCGCTGCTCGCTTTCCGCCCAGAGCAGACACGGTTCTCTGTCTCACAGCCAATGCTAGGCTAGCAGAGAGTGACGTCGCATCTGCCATTGCTCCTGCCGTCCGCGCATGTCACTTGGCGACCGCAGCGGCACCCTGGCCCTTGGGCATCTTGCGCCCCGCCGGCCCCTGCTTGCCATCGATGTCGGCCTGCGTGTACACGTGCTTGGCGACCTCGAGCAGCCACTCGGACTTGAACTCCATGCACTGACGCAGGTACTGGCGCGACGTCTCGACTGTGCAGAGAGAAAGGTCAGTGGAAGGAAGAGAGGGGGCCAAGGGGCAGTCGACGCACCGAGCTCGTAGTACAGCAGAAACTTGGGCGGCGGCACTTGCTTGAAGAGACACGAGCTCGGATCTGTCCATCTTCTCATCAGCTCTACATCTTCTCTCGCTGCACGGCACTCCAACTCACGGATGTGCACGGTGGCGTTCTGCTTGAGTGCCCGGTAGCTCTCGCCGCCCTTCTGCAGCGTCGCCGTGGACATGAAGAAGCCCGACAGGAGCGCCTTTTGGATCGGCGTAATGTCGGAAGAGTCGAGATTGGCTTGCGGCTGCACCTCGGCGCGCTCGGCGAGCTGCGCTAGCTGGTCGCGAATGTCTCGGACGCGCGCCAGGACCTGCCAAGAGACGTCAGCCTCTGTGCAGTAATGTGAGAGGAGGGCACGCACCTTGGGCTGCACGAAGTTCTCCATGCAGAAGCTGTACGAGTAGTTGCTCTCCACCCACTGCTCCCACACGTTCAACAGCGTGAAGTGGTCGCCTCCAGGGCGCACAAACGCCGCGCGCGCCTTGTCGGCATGCAGCTTCTTGTCCTTGGGCCGGTAGAAGAGCGAGCCGGACTCTTGCAGCATCGAGACAATCGAGAGCACCTGGCGCGCGGATGCGTGAGCTTTGAGAAAGAGGGAACCAGGGGAGACGGGGGACTCACCTCGTCGGTGCACTTGTACTGCTCACTGGCGAGGATGGCTTTGCTGAGCGCCGGATCGACGGGAAACTCGGCCTGTCTTCTCCCCAGCTTCGTCAGTTCGCCCTTGTCGTTGAAGCTGCCGAGGGCGTAGAGCAGCTCAAACGAACGCATGAGCGTGTCGGTCGGCGGCGGATCGAGAAAGTCAAAGTTGTAGATGTCGTCGATGCCGACGGACTTGAGCAGCAGCACGACGTTTGCGAGATTGGTGCGCTGGATCTCGGGCGTCGTGTGCGCGTCCATCTCGTTCTCAAACGCCCACTTCGTAAAGAGGCGGAAGGCCTTGCCGGGTCCGACGCGGCCGGCTCGACCGGCTCGCTGATCGGCCGAGGCACGCGAGCACTGCCAGTGGCGCAAGGGCGTGAGCACGACACCAGCTCCTCGTGGCTCCCCACCCTTCCTTCTTCCCTCTCTGCGCGCTCATCTGTCGAGACTCACGGGCACCACGGTCAAGGACGACATGCCCGTGCGAGGATTGTACGAGTTCTGCTTGACGAAGCCGGGATCAATCACAAAGACGACGCCGTCGATGGTGATGGAGGTTTCTGCGATGTTCGTCGCCAGCACGACCTGGAGGCAGGAGAGGGCATCAGCGTGCGGGCGGAGTCCGGCGGGATAGGCCGCCGCAGCTGGCTCTTAGCTCGACTCACCTTCCTCGCTCCCTCCGGCGTCGGCTCAAAGATCTTAGCCTGCATGTCGCTCGGCAGATTCGCATAGATGGGGCAGACGATCAACTCTGCAATCTTGCTGCCCAGCGCCCGGGATGTCTCTGCCAGATTCTCCATCGCCACATCGATCTCGTCCTGCCCCGTCAGGAAGACCAAGATGTCGCCCTTGGGCTGCGACGTGTGGATCTGAAAGACGGTCGTGATGGCGGCGTGCAGATAGTTGGCCTCAGGTTGAGGCGTGTAGTGGATGTCGACGGCGAATCGGCGGCCTGGCACTGAAGGCGCAAGGGGACGGACATCAGCTGACGCGCCCTCTGTGCCGCTCCGCGCGCTCTCTCGCTCACCGTAGAAGATTGGTGCATCGTCAAAGTACTCGCTGAACTTCTCGGCATTGATGGTGGCGCTCGAGATGATCAGCTTCAGATCCGGGCGGAAGCGAGCCACATCCTTGACGAGGCCGAAGAGACTGCGTGTGCGCCACGCGTCAGCGGGACCGGAGCGGCGGCGTGCGCGCCGACGCTCGTGTGAAACTCACATGTCAGTCGAGAGTGTACGCTCGTGTGCCTCGTCGATGATGAGCGCAGAGTAGCCGGCCAAGTCAGGCTCGGTAAGGAACTCGCGCAGCAACATGCCGTCCGTCATGTACTTGAGCACCGTGACGTCGGATGTGCAGTCCTCGAAGCGAATGCTGCGAAGTACCGCAAAGGACATCAGCTGCTTCGTTCCAACTGCCCGGTGCCCGGCGCCCTTGGACGGACGAAGCTAGCAGCCAACTCACCTGTATCCGCATTCTCTGCCCACTCTGACGCCCATCTCCTCGGCCACTCTCGCCGCCACACTCATCGCCGCCACTCTCCTCGGCTGGGTGCATCCCACCTTCATGCCCCCCTTTGTGTATCCCGCCTCATGCAAGAACTGCGGCAGCTGCGTCGTCTTGCCCGAGCCCGTCTCGCCGACCTGTGGAGTGATCAGATGAGGAAGGAAAGGGGGGAGAGGGGAGGAAGACGCACCACGATGAGCACTTGCGAATCGGCAATCGCCTCGAGCAGCTCTTCGCGCAGCGCATAGACGGGCAGGGACTTGCGCGTAGCGTCGATCGAGTCGGCTAATTTCGCGCGATCAGCACCGGACACCTGCCAGTTGCCTCTGCGCCTCACCTTTGCTCTGGGCCGCCTTGATCTGCTCCTGCAGCTTGGCGTCTTTCTCGTCCATGCCAAACGCATCTTCCAGGCGGTCGGCCTGCATGACAAAGTTGATGCGCTGTTCCTCGTCAAACACGTACTCGTACTCCTCCTCTTCTTGCCCTGCCCCAGCCCCGGCGCCAGCAGTCGGCAAGAAGTTGGCCTTCGTGAGCTGCTCTTGCTCGAACAGATCAATGTCGGTGATGTGTGTTGCATGCGCTGCGCGCTCGTTCTTCGAGTCTTCGTCTGTGGTACGCCCGAGACCTCTAGTTCAGCCTATCTCCCTGCAGCTGCACGGCCCGTCCATCGCGCGTGCTGCGAGCCGGACTCACAGCGCTGATACAGCGCCGCCTGTTTCTTCTTGTTGTCGAGCTTGCCTTGCTCGGTGATGTAGTCCTCGGGCATCATGTAGCCTCCATGCCCATCCTGAATGCCCTCTCTCTCCTCGGCCAGTCGCAGCACCTCCTTCTTGTACTCGAGATCGCGGATCTCTCGCTTCGTCGCCTTGATGCCTCGCATGTAGCGCTCCTCGTCCGCCACTTCCAGCCTGAGAAGCTCGAGCTGCTGGGCACTGCGCTTCGCGAGGTATTCCTGCCGCGAGCGATCGCGCAGGCCGGGCATGGCAGCGGCGCGCGCCTCTGCATCCTCAGCCAGTAGCCGTCGTGCGGCCACTTCTGGGTTCAGCTTCGAGCCTCGGTCCTCCACCAGCGCCTTGCCGCCCTTGTCGCGCTCGCGCATGCGCTTGGCAAACTCGTCGCGCTCGGCAATGTCGCGCAGGCGCTCGCGCTCCAGCCGCACCTCCTCTGGCTCGTCGGGCTCTGCCTCTGCCTGCTCCGAGGCACCGCGCGTGCGCTTCGAGGGACCTGCCTCGTCGCCCTCGCCCTCCTCCGGCTTCTTCTTCTTCTTCCTGCGCTTCTCTGGCCGGATTGCGAGCTGCTCCTGCGCATCGTCGTCGAGGATAAGGCCGTACCGCTGCGTCTGCTCCTTTGCCTTCTCTTGCGTCGCCTCGGCTCTGCGCGGCACCGACGCTTCGGGGCGCGGCGTCTTTGCGTAGAGCTGGCGGGCGAATGCCTCGCCCTCGGGCGAGGCTGGCAGGCCGAGGGCAGAGAGCGAGGCAAAGAGAGCGTCGGAGGAGGGCGCGGAGGCGGCGGTGAGGGCAATGTAGTCGATCATGCTGCTCTCGGACATGCCGAAGAACTTGATGCTGTGGTCGGAGATCCAGCGCCGCAGCGACGAGGAAGAGGAGGCCATGGTGGGCTCAGACGCCGCGCTGTGGCAGGGGGCAGGATGGTGGAGGGGAAGCAAGATGCGCAGACGCGGCACTCGGCCTTCTGCTGCTGCGCCGCGCCTCGCCGTCCCGCCGCGCGCCGCGCGCCCAGCCAGGCCTCGCCCCTCCGCGTTTCTCCTTCTCACTCTCATGGGCCCTGCTTCACCATGATGCCTCAGACACAGCAAGCACAACGAGAATGGCCACAATCTCATTTCACTCCCTCAACTCCCTCACTCAAACGCGCTGCCAAACGTCAGGCCCACCTTGCTCGCCACGATGCCCGCGCCCACCACCGCCATGACCAAGCCCACATGCAGCGTCGTCAGCTCCACCGCCGCAAGCATGTATCGCGGCGTCCAGAGCTTGAAGAGCATCAGATGGCGGCGGAACCACGTTGCAAAGAAGGCGGCGCCAAGCGTGACGACGCTGTGGTAGAGCAGCAGGCCGAGTGCTGTCGCGAGCAGATGGGAGATCGTCGGCATGCGCGTTGGCTTGGCGGCGTTGGGATCGCCACGCGGACGAGGCGAGAGGTTCCAGAATGCCAGCAACGGCATGGAGATGGCGGGCAGCAGCGCAGACGGACCAAACGAATTGAGCGCCACGAGCACGGGCGAGAGAGGATAGGCGACGCTGCGCAGGCCGACAAAGGCGACGCGCCACTGAATCGAGGGAAACGTGGCCTGGTGGCCCGTGGCGAAGAAGAGCACGCAGCCGAGCAGTGCCAGCGTCGTCGTCTCGATGAGCCGAGGCGCCACGAGCGGCGGCGGACCCGCAGAGCCGAGCGGCGCAGAGGCCGCTTCGGCGGCGGCGGCGGCAAATGAGCCGGCAGCTGGCGACGGGGCGGCACCACGCTGTGGCGTTGACGAGGCGGAGGCGGCCGACTTCTTGCTCTGCGCAGCCTCGAGGAATCGCGAGCGCAACAGCTCTGCATCGCGCTCGCTGTCGCCCAGCTCGGCCAGGGCCAGCAGCACAAGCAGCGCCGCCGCGAGTACGAGCTGTCCCATGGGCTGCGCCAGCAGAAAGAGCAGGCTTGTGAGGAGCGCCACGAGGAGCAGGTAGAGCGAGCCGAGACTGTTGGCAAAGCCCAGCACAATCATGCGCGTTTGAGGCTGTGCTGCTGCGCTCGGTGCGGTCGATGCCGTTGCGGCTGCGTCGGTGGCTTGAGGAGGCGCGGCCGGAAGCGTCTCCTGCTTGAGCTCGATGCAGAGCGGACTGAAGGCCCAAAACGCTAGTCCGACGACGCAGACGGCGACGAGATCCACACGTGCCACCGCTAGCTTGAGCCACTCGAGGAAGACCTGCGTGCTGGCGCCCCACTCTTCCGTCGCTGCCCAATCGAGGAGCCAGTAGCCGGCGCCGAGGAGCAGAGTAGGTCTCAGGACCCAGCTCAGGAAGACTGGCGCCACGCCGGCGTTGGACTTGGAGCGTTTGAGTGCCCATCCGAGTGCAGAAGGCAGAGTGAGGGCGACGAGGTAAGCGCCTCCCATGGTCCAGACGCTGTTGATGGTGGCGCCGCCGCCTGCTTGCCCAGCAGCGTAGAACGTCGTCCGGCAATGCGGCGCTTGTTCCTCGCGACACACTCTGCTGAACGCCACGATGCGCATGCCGAGTGCCGCGCCGAGGGCGAGCAGAACAAGCCGGTTGCGCAGCGCTGCCGTCGGCGCAAAGAGATAGGCGTTGCCTGCGCGTGCGAGCAGAGCGATGCTCAGAAGCACTGAAACGCCGAGATCCTCCCAATCAACGAACGCGACGGAGCCGAGACCCACGACGTGCAGCACGGGCAGGAGGAGAGCGAGGAGGCCGAGTGCAGTCGGACGAGAAGATGGGAGAGACCAGCCGCTTGTTTGAGGTAGTAGCAGCCCGAGTTGCGCGCCTGCAGAAGCGCCGAAGAGACTGAGGTCGAGGATCGAGAGTCCACCGAAGATGGCCGTCATGTGCGTGCTCGGAAGGAAGTGCTTCACGACGCCGATGCTCGCGCCCACGAGGGCACAGCTCGCAGCTGCACGAGCCGACGTGTGCGCGACGTGTGCCGCAAGCTGCTCGACTCCCTCTGTGCGCCTCGCAAAGCGCCGCTGTCGAATGCGCAATCTCGCGCCTCTGCGTCCCGGCGTTGCCGGCTGGATGCGTTCCTCTCTCCTCTCCCATCCCAGCACCAAGCCCTTCAGTGCGCCGCTGCGCAGCTGCAGAATGCTGCCGACGCTGAGTGCCAGGAGCACGAGGCCGGCGAGCATGCGATGCATCTCGAACTGGGCCCAGACGGAGCGCGCGCGAGAGAGGGCGGTGCGCGTGTAGAGCTGGTAGGCTGCAGCGGCTGCCCGCCGAGCGGCGATGCTCTGCGCGTCGCTGGCGGAGCGAGACGACGACGGCTGGGCGTAGGCTGCATCGGCCTGCATCGCCGTCTTCCAAGCGCGTTCCATCTCCTCCTCGAACGGCGACAAGTCGCTGGACTTCTCGGCGTAGCTGCGCAGATAGCGGCGCACCTGCAGAGCGTTGATGCGCAGTGCCCTCAAAAGCCGATCGGGCGAGGAGGAAGACGGCGGGAACAGCTCGGGAATGACGGTGCCGAGGGAATTGAAGGGAATGGGGACGCCGAGGAGCAGAGAAATGGAGGGGACAAGGTCGATCTGAGAGACCGATCGATGGCCTTGCGCCGAGAAGGGCGGAGACGGGAGAGGAGCAAAGGAGGTGTAGGGCGCGAATGCGTCGTGTCCGCTCGGAGCGGAGGAGAGGAGAGCTGCGACCTCCGCCTCGTGTGCTTGCCGCGCGCCAGAGGGCGTCTTGGAGTAGATCCAGATCCCTGCGCCCGTCTCAAGTTCTCCATCTCCCCCGTGATCGCCTCGTTCGTCCATGCCATGATCGCCCATCAGCATCAGCACTGCATCCTCTGGCAGTCCCTCGACCACGCTTTCCAACAACGCCTGCATCTCCCCCAGCTTTCCCTTCATCTTCGCGTGGCTCGCGCCGAAGCGATGGCCCACATGATCCACGCCCAGCGTGTGCGCCACGAGGACGCTCCACGTCTCTGCGTCCTTCGGCGAGTCTCCGGTGCGCCTCAGGAATGGCAGCAGTCTCGCCTCGACGCCGCGATCGACAGTGTCCAGATCCTCCACGTTGAAGCTGTCATACGGCCAGCTCCAGTCGGCGTCGAACATGCGCGGAAAGACGGCGCGCCACGTGTCGTCGCCCATCATGCCCATGCCCGCCCTCGTGCCGTTCGCCGCCGCGCTGCCGCGCAGCCGCAGCTGAGCCAGACGCACCTGGCGCAGCCAGCTGTCCTCGTCGATCTCTGCGCCGGCAAAGTTGGAGCCGGCATCGATGAAAGTCGGCAGAGTGCCCGTCGTCAGGCCCTTGAGACGCTGCAGCGTCGTCGTGGGCGCATCGGCGTGGAAGTGCGCGAGGAAGGACGTGTGTGCGGCGGCGCTCGCGTGCAGCTCTGCGGGCAGGCGGAGGATGTGGTGGTGGAAGGCAGAGGGCGCCCAGCTCGAGTCGTCGAGCGATGACGACGACGGCAGCGGCGCAATGAAGTCGTAGCGCAGCGCATCGATGATGAGCAGCAGCGAGCGGCTGTACGTCGCCGGCAGCGTGCATTCGGCATTCTGCTCCAGCGCCTTCTCCCATGCCTGCGCATCCACAGCTCCGTCCTGCCACAGTGCCTCGACGACCGGCATCTGCCAGCTCTCCCTCGCCGGCCGTTCGCAGCTGGCCGTGCCATCGAGCGTGACTCGCGACAGCAGAAAGCCCTGGGTGAAGAGATAGAGGCCCACAACCTGACAGGCAAAGAGCGCGAGCAGCACTGCCACGGCCGCAGCTACGGGGCCCACCGCCGAGGGCGGGCCGTTCGTCTCGCCGAGGAAGGCCTCGCGTTGACGCTCTTCGTGCGAGGAGTGCGAAGAATGCGAACTGTCGTGCGAGCCATGCGAGCCATGTGAGTGCGAGGAAGAGGCGCTGTCGGCCCGTTGCAGGGCTGGCCGGGGGGGAGAGGGAGGAGGCGAAGGAGGGGCGCCGCGCGGATAGGCCGAGGGAATGGGCGTCGGGCGCAGACGTGACATGATGAGCCGGCAGAGAGAGCGACGAGCGCTCTGCGTGAGAGCCGGCGAACAGCGAGCAAGGGAGTGTGGTGGGGAACGAAGGAAGAACGGCGAGCACGCACGGACAGCGAACGCAGCCTCCACTTCACCCGGCGCGCCTGCCAATTCCGTAGTCCTCCTTATGCCTGACTTCAACCTCGCGCTGTATTCCGCCCCATCCTCAAGCGCGCACAGACATCGCGTGCCTGCTGCTGCTTCCTCTCCTCATCACCGCCCGCCCTCCCTCCCGCACTCACCCGCATCACTCTCCCCTGCAAGACACACACAGTCATGTCGGCCATGGAAGTCGACTCTGCGCCTGCGCCCGCCAAGCCGCCGCGCTTCCAGGTCAAGAAGGTGCGTGCTGCGCGCTGCTGGCCCTGCGCGGCTGCGAGCTGCACCTGCGCCTGCGCCGTGCCCAGGCAGTGGCAGTGGGCAGTGCCACCACCGCACGCTGACGCATTCTGTGTGTGTCGACGCAGTGGAACAGCGTCTGTCTGTGGTCGTGGGACATTGTCGTCGACAACGTGAGTGGCGGCTGCAGCGGCGCGCTGGCTGCAAGCTTCTGCCTCTGCGTTGCGTGCTGACGGCGATGGCGCTTCCCTTCCGCTCCTTCACTCGCTCGCTCGCAGTGCGCCATCTGCCGCAACCACATCATGGACCTGTGCATCGAGTGCCAGGCCAACCAGGGCAGTGCCACGACGGAGGAGTGCACCGTGGCGTGGGGACAGTGCAATGTGAGTGTGCATGGGGGGTCGGGGGATGAAGACGCCAGGATGAGGAGATGAGCATGGGAGAGTTGGAATGAAGGGACAGCCGGGTGCGGGTGCGAGGCCCTGACGAGGAGGCGTGCGCGTCTTCCTTTGCCAGCGCACGCGAGGAGAAGGGGAGAGGGCATGCTGCGCCTGGGCTGGCCACCGAGCTTTGCGTCGCGAGAGCACGAGGGATGGTGCGACGGTGGGAGAGTGCTGTGCATCCATCGGCTCTAGGGCATTGGGCTTGCTTCGCTTCCCATTTGGCTGGCGCAGCTTCTCCTTACGGCCAGAGGGCAGCGACAGTAGGGGCGTCAACGAGTCGCCGGGAGCGGGGGGAGGGTAGTAGGTGGCGAAGGCGGTGAGAAGAGGGACCGGTAGAGAGAGGGCAGGATGGGGGAGTGACACAGTGCGAGGGAGAAGGCCGTCGTGCTGCTCTCCCTAGGCAGCGTGCGGGGCCCTGTCATCCCCCGCCGCAACGGCTGACATTCCCCCTCGCCCTGCCCGTCTGCAGCACGCGTTCCACTTCCACTGCATCTCGCGCTGGCTCAAGACGCGCCAGGTCTGTCCGCTCGACAACAGAGAGTGAGTTGCTGAACAACCCCTCTCCCCTCCTTTCTCTGGCTGCTGAGCTGACGTACGTCCTCCTCGTGTGACAGGTGGGAGTTGCAGAAGTACGTGCCGCCTCTTTCCTCTGTGCGCTGCGAAGAGACGAGCACAAGCTGACGCCTCCCTCTCACAGGTACGGTCGCTGAGAGAGCAGCGCAGCGCTCCTTTCCCTCCGCCTCCGCTTCGCCCTCGCACCTCCGTTCCCGGCTCTCGTCCCCAGCACTCTCTCTGTACCAATACCAGCCGACGCAGCGCGTCTGCTCATTCGCACCTTCACACACTCGACATGCCAGCGCCTTTCACATGATGACGCATTTGCATTGGCGTGGGGTGAGCGGCAGCCTACAGGCATATGCGAGTCAGACGGATAGCTGCGTCAGCGCCCACCGAGAGCAGCAATGGCTCCTGCTCCTCGTCTGCATGGGCGGATCGCTGCAACGGCTGCCATGCCAGCTCATGCACTGCCTCGGTATGATGAGCCTGCAGCAGCAGTGTCGTCGGCTCGCCTGCCTCGTGCCAATCGCCAGCGCGTGGAGGCGCGAAGATGTGCACGTCGCCGTTCTCGCATCCGAGCGCAGTTCGATGGTCATGAGCCGTCGACACGGCCGTGCATCCGCCGCCTTGTGGCAGACTGAAGCGTGTGCGCTCTTTGAAGCCTTCGCCCTCGATGCCGTTGTCGCGCAGGTAGAGGATGGCAGTCTTGTCGCGCGAGGCAGTGACAAAGCCCGAGCCGTCCGAGAGCCAGGCGACGTCGTTGAGCAGTCGCTTGTGCGCTCGTTCGTGCGCCTTGTACTGCCACCTGCCCTCGCTCAGCTCGTACAGCCTCCACGTGCGATCTCGGCTTGCCGTCAGTAGCGCATTGCCGTCCGGCGAGAAGCGCACAGCTGTGACGCCGAGCGTGTGACCTTCGAGGCGCGCCTCTTCCTTCCATCCTCCCTCCTCGCGCGTACGATGAAGATACACCACCGCGTTCTCCTCCGTCTTGGCCTGGCAAGAGCTGGCAATCAAGTTGCCCTCATCCGTCGCATCGAGCGCCAGCAGCTCCAGATTGTGACCGTAGATCTTGTGTAGTTCGGGCCAGAGGGTCGTCGAGTGCAGCTCCTCCTCCGTGGGCGGACGCGTCAAGGTGCCGGCGACGGAGCGCTGCGCTGTGCCGAGAGCTTGTCCCGAGGCGGAAGGTGGCTCGACGATGTCTTCGTCTGCCGAGTGCAGCGCACGGTTCGAAAGACCAAGCGGTGGAACACTAGCGCCGACGGGTCTTGAGCCATTCCTGCCTGCCAAGCGAAGGAACTCCTCTTGCTGTGCGTGCGCGCTGGCGCCGCTCGATGGCGAATCGGCCTGCCGCTTCGCAAGCCAGCCTCGAATGGCCGTGCTGCCCACTTTGGCAGCCGCGAGTTGCGCCGCATCGCCCTGCATCGACGTCTCTCCCTCTGCGCCAATCACGCCAATCACGTGGCGTCGCAGTTCGCCCAGGCCATTCTCTGAGCGCACCTTGGCGATCATGTCTGCTCCAGCCAGTGTCTCGTCCGTGACGAGCAGACCCTGAACGTCAGCATCTGTACCTGCTGGTCCACAGACATCGCTCAGCTGCACTACGTCTTGCACGAGGGGCGTCATGGTCGATCGGAACGCCGTCAGGAAGGCATCGACGGCAGCAAGACGCTCGGTGAGCGGCTCGAGCATCTCGGCGTGCTTCTTCTTGGCGAGCATGGAGTCGTCGGTGACGCCGACGATGATGCGCTCTGTGGCGAGCAAGGCGGCCATGCTGAGGAGAATCTTGTGCCCGACGTGTAAGTGGTCGAACGTGCCGCCGAGTGCGACGACGCGATGCTGTGGGAACGAGGCACGGTCGAGACTTGAGGCCGGCGTCGAGGAGGAGGCTGCGTCGCTCGGCGCCAGCGCTTGTGTCTCGATGTTTGCGAGAAGATGATCGAGCTCAGCGGCAAACGGCAGGGCCGCGGACGAGTCTGTGCGACAGGAGCAAAGGATCAACTGCTGTCAACGATCGCGCCGTGGGGCCAAGACTGACCATCGACAGTGTAGAAGCGTGCCGGCGGTGCGGCTGTGACGTGGCGCGCAAGCCACTGCGAAGCATTCGCAGAGCCCGCAAGCAGCACCTGCACGGAGAGGTCGAGCCTCTGGTGCTCGACCGCCGTACTCCACGCCTCGGCATAGCACCATTTGAGGAAGCGTTCGGCATCTGCAAACGAGAGCGCGAGGGGCTGTCCCTTTGCGAGACCATCAAAGAGCGGCGAGACGGCCACGATGGTGAGCTTGCGTGCAGCTTTTGACGAGGCAGTGGCAGCTGCAGCTGCCGCTTTACGAATGGCCGCAGCGAGGCGTTGCGGGTTGTTCAGGTGTGCTTCGTCTGGCAGGTGAAAGGCGAGCAAGGCAGCCTTTGGCGTGCTTGGCAGCTCCTTCGCCGCGGCGCCCGGCAGCACACCGAGTGCGAGGACGCTGCTGATGAAGCCTGAGGGAGCATCGAAAATGCGAATGACCTTCTCGTCTGCTGCGCTTGCAAGCGACAGTGGGTCGAGCCATGCAAGCGACTGAATCGCGTGCCCGTGCGTTTGGGGACGTGCAATCTCGTGCCATGATCGCACGGCGCGGCCGTCGAGGATCTGCTGGCAGGGCGCATGTATCCGAGTCGTGCGGTCGGAACTGCGCGGGTGGTCAGTCTGGCATGGCTGGACCGAAATCAGGCGCGGACCCCACTCACGAGCCAGTGGCAAAGTATCGACCCTGCGGCTCCCATCGTGCGCTCCTGACGCCCTCAAAGTGTCCCGTGCCGCATGGTCGTGCCTTCCACGCCGCCGCAGACTGCTCCTTGTCGACGGTCCAGAGGTGCAACGCGCCATTCCAGCCGTGCGCCAGGACTGCGCGCCCGCAGTCGCCAGAGGTGCTCGGCCACCAAAGAGCGCCCATGAAGCCTAGCGCCACGCTGCCCTGATTGCCGAGGTCGCCAAAGCGCTGCAGAGGCATCCAGGTGTCGTGCGAGGCGCTTGCTCCCGCTGCGTGCGCGCCGAATGAAGGCAGCGACGCTCCTGGTTCTGCACCAAGCGCAGACTCAGGGCCCCACAGGATCACGCTGTTGTCGGCGCTCGCCGAGAGCAGCGCTGCAGGCTGGTGGCCGTCGGCGGAGCGTGCAGCCCATCGCACTCCGGTCACCCAGTTGTCGTGGCCGGCCAGCAACGCATCGGAGCGCACGCTCCACTGCTGCTCACCCAGTGCGAAGCGCTGTGCTGCCGTGACGAGGTCTTGCGGTCGATCACGCGTGCCTCCCTCAAGTCGGTGCGCCATGGCGTCGAATGTGTCCGCCTCGCTCTCCTCAGAGCCTGACTCGGCCTGACTCTGGGCTAAGCGCCATAGCCGAATGGCTCCATCCTGCGCGCTCGATGCGAGAAGCAGCGCAGACGAGGACTGCTCTGGTGTGGCAAAGTCCAGCGACCGCACCCAGTCGGTGTGCCCCGAGAGGCCGCAGAGCGAGGAGAATTCAAGCTGCGAGCATGAATGTGAGTCTGAGGCCCCGCTGCCGCGCGATCTGCGGGGCGCTTGTCTTCGCTCGCTCACCTTCTCGGCGCTGCTTCCAAACAGCGTGATCTTCGCATCTGTACCGGCGACGGCCAGGAACAGATTCGAGCCCGACAATGCCAAAGCAGCGTCCATCGGCAGAGGCATGGCCTTTCCTCGCCCGGAAGCGTCCTCCATGCTGAGCTGCTGCAGCTGCTGCAGCACTCCATCCTTCAAGCTCCAGACGCAGATCTTTCCGTCCGCGTGCGCAGAGACGAAGACTGCCCGGGCCAGGCTGGCTGCGCTGTCGGGCCGCAGCACAGCGAGCGCCCGAGTCGGCGCGGCCGGCGCGCTGCATGCGAGCTCCGTCCAGCGCAGCGAGCGCGCAATGGCAGGCAGACTCGCGTGGAGCGACTGTTGGTGTGACGACTGCGGTGAATCTGCATCTGCAGTGACGCTCCAGATGCGCAACGAGCCATCCTGCGTCGCGGCGGCCAGGAGCGGCAGGGTGCCTGGAGCATGCGCGAACTTGAGCGCCGTGATGGCGCTGGGCAGCGCGGGCAGGAAGGCGTGCGTAGCGAGGCTCTGTCGCGTCTCGACTCAGCACTGATCAAGGGAGCCGCTGTTCCGCACTGCTGCTCACGTCTTCGGCGATGCCGTAGCAGAGCGCAATGCGCCGATGTGCCGCGAACGCCAGGAGGCGCAGCGGCGTGCCGGCGACGGAGAGCAGCACGCTGTCGGCCGTGTGGCTGCCGCGGGCGACGGACGCGGAGAGGTAGACATCCTCGGCGCCCGTGCCCGGTGCTGCGGCGTCTGCCATGGCGGTGTGTCGGGCGCGTGGGCCCGCGAGCTGCTCGAGAGGGAGTGGGGGTGCGGAAGCAGGAGGGGAGAGAGTGGAGGCCGGGACTCGGCCCGCAGAGGCAGGACTACAACAACGCCAATGCGCGGCGGAATAGCTTTGTAGTGGCCGCGAATACAAGGTGCGCTGCGCTCGGACCAGGTGCGGCTGCGGCGTCCTTCTCGAGCCCGGCCTCGCTCGCACGCTGCGGCAGCTCCACCACCTCAAGCCCGGTCTCAGGAGCAACGCAAGGCTGCAGCGCCGGTGTAGACTGCAGCTTCTGTCGCAGGCGTCACCAGCGATTCGCGCGCTCCCTTTGTGGCGCCTCTCCGCCGTGTAGAAGTGGAGGTGCCCGGCGCCTCGCCAGAGCGTCTTCGCCATGGACGGCGTGAGCATGGTCTCGCCCGTCGGTGAGTGCCTGTGCTCCGTCCAGGCACTTGCTGGGCTGACACGCTTCAGGCATGAGTGCCTCGACGTGTGGCTACTGCGGGCCGCCCGGTGAACGCTCTGCGGACAAGGGCAGCGTCTCCTATGGCATCTGGGTGAGAACCCAACGGCGGCGGCGCTATCCCTCGAGGAGACCTCTGCTGACGGCGTACTGCTGAAAGGCACATCAACTCACGCCGCAGGCATATCAAGACCTCATTGACCGCGGCTGGCGGCGCAGTGGCAGCTACTGCTACCATCCGGACAACAGCAGAACGTGCTGTCCCCAACATCCGATCCGGTGCGCAGCTCAGCAGGCGGACACGAGCTGTCTCTTCGCCTGTATCTGACGCTGTTCGCCCGCAGGCTCAAGGCCAGCTCTTTCAAAGCCTCAAGATCACAGCGACGAGCGCTCGCTGCGTTCCGCACAGCCATTGATGCAGAGCCTGCTTCGTCGAGCCCGTCCGGCTCCAGCTCCAAGTACAGCCAGCCCTTCGACGTCGTCAAGGCGTGGCAGGACATCGAGAGTGAGCCCGTGACTTCGACGTCGCAAGATGCGAAAGCGACACATCTCGAGCGCGGCAGGATTGCTCTCGAATGGCGAAGGGCGCGCAAGGCTGGAAGAGCAGACGTGCCAGTCGCTCCTACTCTGCCGCACGTGCATCCCGGCAAGCGCAGCGCACGACTGCAGGTGAATGCGGCTCAGTTGCGGCGCTCAGTCGCTGGGGCGCTGATGCTGCTCGCTCAGGTCACACTCGTGCCAGGCAGAGCGACAAAGGAGAACTTTGCGCTCTTCACGCGCTACCAGATGGGCGTGCATCGCGAGAGCGAGGACAAGGTCACGAGGAAGGGCTTTGAGCGCTTCCTATGCCAGAGTCCCATTCAGGCGAGTCGCCGGAATCTCGTGGTGTCAGGACTACAGCTCACTCCGGTCTGTATTGCAGGTGCCGGCCAACGAGAAGATCCTGGGCCTTCAGCACCACGAGTATCGCTGTGCGTGCCATGCGGGGCTGTAGCCGGCAGGCGACTCACGTCCGCGCTGCAGTGGACGGCCAGCTGATCGCCGTCGGCGTGCTGGACATACTGCCGCACTGCGTGTCGTCCGTCTATCTCTTTTACGACCCCGCCTTTGCACATCTGCAGCTGGGCAAGATCAGCGCGCTGCGGGAAATTGCGCTTGTCGAGCAGCTGAGGCAGCAGCAGCCCAGTCTCGAGTGGTACTACATGGGTGAGCATCGCTGTCCCGCGCGGCTCACGCTCGTCGCTCATTTAGGGCGATTCGACAGGGTACTACATTCCTTCGTGCCAGAAGATGGCCTACAAGGCCGAGTTCGCCCCTTCGCAAGTGCTCGACACGCGCACCAATGCGTGGCATTCGCACGCCGACTTTCTCGCTGCTCGCAGCGTCGCGCCTCAGCTGGAGAGACTTCCGCTGCCGAGCAGCTACGACGGCGACGACGAGGACATTCCCTGGCCGTCTCCGCCGCCGCTTGGCTTTCTGGAGCCGCAGAGCATCGAGCCGGCCGGCACGCTCGTCATGCGTGCCGGCCAGGCGCCGGCAGATTGCGACATCCGCGAGGTGTTGGCGGCCCTGCGCAGCCGCGAGGGCTTCGTGATTGTACTATGATTGCGTTGCATGCGTGTATATGTATGGCGGGACGAGACGGGAAGTGTGCTACAGAGGGCCGCAGCGGGAAGGGGTGGAGGATGATGAGAGGCAGCATTCAAGAGGGCGGCCAGCTGCTCATAGGGTCACGCGCCGGCACGGGGCCATCGAGGCCGAACCAGTCGAGCGGGAAGCCACTGGACTCCCACGGCGCCGCAGGGGCTACATCGGCGAAGCCACTCTGTGCTGGCTCTTCGCGCAGGGGACCCATGTGTGACGCAGGTGCCTCGCGACCGTGAGGCGGGGCGAAGCCCGTCGTCTGACGGACGCTGCTGCCGGACCAGGACATGCCTTGGTGCTGCCAAGCCAGGCCCGGCCCGCGGAAGGGGACACCGTACGTTGAAGCGTCCGAGTCGCCTTGCTGCGGCGCCGCATGATGTGCGTGATGAGCGCCAGGCGGGGCATGTCTAGCGTCGACGGGCGCATGGCGCAAGCGAGACTCGCTGCCCATCGCACCGGCCGTGCTGCTGGGACGCCCGAGCCAGCGCTCGAGCACGTCCTCCAGGTAGCACGCGTAGTGCCGTGGCACGTCACGCGGACAGCCTTGGAGGCGCACACAGATCGTCCGCACCAGATCTTCCACGCGAGCAAGGTCGACGAAGGCCATGAGCGGAGCGTTCTGCGCGCCCGAAGCGAGCTGGAGCCGGGGCACGCATCAGCGAGTGGCTCAAGCGCGGCAACAACACGCGAGGAACTCACCTTGAGGGCGAACACACACATGTACGTCACTGTAGCGACCTGTCCGTTGTCGAGATGCGCAAGCAGTGCCCAGCGGTCCACGACGATGGAGAGGAACGAGAGGGCGGCGGCATAGGCATCGCGGTAGTGCGGCATGAGCGTCTCGGGCATGTCCTGCGAGCCAAACTGCGTGCCGTAGAGAGGCAGAGAGAGGGCTATGAGCCGCGCCTGCTCGAGATGAAGCGGCCCGAGGATCTGCAGGGGAGTCGGATGCGACGCTGCGGGCGCAGGCGCATCAGCTACGCAAGTTCGAGCCACGCCACGATGTGCTCACATGCGCTTGACTCCTGAGGCGTCAGCCATTCGGCCTCCCAGCGCTTGAGATCAGCCAGCACCGTCGAGCGGAAGAAGTCGACTTGCAGCTCCCAGCCCAACGCGCCCTCGCCCGTGCCGAGGCTTGGCGGCTTGGGCTGGCCGTCTGTAGCATTGGGCGGCATGGCGCGGCGCAGTTGAGCGTGGAAGGAGTCCGTTGCGCGGCTCTATCGAGGGACATTGTCAGCAGGGACGAGGAGCGCAACTTCCGAGATAGACTCACGACGATGCGACGCAGTGCGATCGACGCGATCAGCCATGCGTCCTGTGGCGCGGCGTTCGGCCGCCTGTGCCAGCCGCCGCAGCTAGCAATGCTGCCGTCATCTGCCAGGCCCAGCCGCTGGCCAGTGTGACTGGAGATGTGCTGCGAGAAGAGCCAGAGGCCGAACCAGAGGCGTTCGGCATTGCGCGTCTGCCGATGCTGCTTCTCAATTTGCTGTGGCTGCGTGAGCTGCGGCGGCGGCGGGTCGTACGAGTAGAGCTTGAGGTTGGAGCCGATCTCGCAGAGCATGCGCACCGAGGTGCCGAGCAGCGAGAAGGTGGGGTCGTCGGTCGCGCTCTTGGCCAGAGGCGAGTACTGCGCGAGAATGCAGCATGCCTGTGAGATCTCCACGCTCTTGTAGCCGCCGCACAGCATGATGGGCTGCAGATGCTCGACGTGCTTGCGCAGACGAGCATGCAGGCCCGACGCCGTGTTTGGCATCACCTCTGCCGCCGTGGCGCACACGACGGTGAGGAGAAAGGCCGAGCGACGCTGAATGTAGTCGAACGTGCAGAGATCGCGGTCGAAGATGTGCACAAAGGTGGATAGGTTGTTTTGGAACCAGTCGACCAGCTCGACGCCTTGCTGCAGCGTCATGATGCCGCGTTCGATGGGGTCGAGGTCAGGGCCGACATCGTACTGCACGTTGAAGATGCCGCGCATGAAGTACGAGCGCCAGTTGATGCTGTCCGTGGCAGCCGCTCTGCTCGAGCGGCGTGCCAGCGGCTGCTCTGCGCTCTCCAGCTCTCGCCGGTGGCTCGACAGCCGGCCACGACGGCGATCTTCCTCCTCCTGTACCGTGTCGCTGGCTTGCGCGAGCAGCTTCAAGGGATTGGTGAGCGTCTCGATGGCCATTGGCACGACGCCCTGCGCTTCGGAGTCCTCCAGCTCGACCAGCTTGACGGCACTGCCTACGCCGCTGCGCGCGTGATGGGCCGGGCGCGAGTAGTACGCCTGCGAGCGCGCCACGACGCTCTCGCTGCTCTCTGCTACGGGCGGCGGCGGCGGTGGAGGAGACATCGTATCGATGCCTAGCTCTGTGGTCGACACGGCCGAGGAGGAGAGGACCTGGTAGCGCAGCGATCGCACCAACGCCGCACCCGACGTGTCGGCGACCGCGGACGTCTGGCGAGCGGTCGTCAGCTCTGCACGCACTTGTCAGCGCACGTCTCGACGCACCAGCTCTGCGAGCTCGTCGAGCAGCTTCACGAGCACCGTCCAGCGGCGGTCGATCTGGGCGTGTTTGCTGTGCGAAGGCCTCAGCCTTGCGGCGGCAGGCTACTCTGAGAGGCCACGCACACTTTGCCCGGGCGGCGTCCGCGCTTGTGCTCCTTGAAGACGCACTCGCGCTCCTGCCTCAGGCAGCGCACGCATGCGCCGGCGCCGAGAACGGCCCCTGCCGGCGGGATGCAGCGGACCTGCGCGGTGGTGGTGAGAAGCGGCATGGACGGACGGACATGCTCGCCGCTCACCTTGCTCTCGCGGCACGCCAGACAGCTCGTCTTGTTCTTCTTCTCCTCGGCGCCGGCGGGCCCGCTGCTGGGCGACACGTCGCGCGCCTCGGAGAAGCTGCGCTCGCCGTCGGCGATGCTGGCGCTCCGGTGGTGCGGCGGCGCGGCGGCGGCAGCCGCACCATCATGCTTGGCGTCGTAGTGGGCGCGCGACGGCCCGGCAGCGCCGTCCATGCTGGCGAGGCTCAGGCTCGGCTTGCCGTCGTGGCGGACTCGGCGCTATCGCGATGATCGGGCGCCCGGCGGGAGAAGGACAATCAAGAGAGCCCGAGTGCAGGAGGTGTCGGCGAGTGTCGGCAATCTGTGAGGAGGCCGAGGAGCTCGAGGTGCGGCGCCGTCGGCCTGCAGGTGTGGCACCGCAGAGAGGAGCTGGCTCACGTAAGCACCACGGCACACGGCCGCACCCCGCGCCGCGGCCGTATGTCCGCTGCCGAAGCCGCGGGGTGCCGATTAGCGCCCCCAGGGTGCCAAGCGGCCGGCCGATATCTTCGAGAGGAGCACTTTTCTGCGTCCTCACCACGACCAGCAAGACGACGCAGCTCGCACGCTCAAGGTTCTGCCTCGCTCAAGCACAGCAGGCCACTCCGATCCACGATGGCGTCCTCCGCGCCCGCCGCGTCCGAGCGCACGCCGCTGCTGGCCCCGCAGGCAGCACGCGCCTCGGCCGACTCCTCGTCCGAGGCAGTCAGTCCAGGCGGATCCACAACGGCAGAGCCGGCGCCAGCAGATGCCGAAGCCGAGCACGAGGCCTTCGAGCGTGCAAAGGAAGCACTGCCATTGTCCATCCTTGTACCCTCGATCCTCTCGCTCTTCACCGTCCTCTTCCTCGCAGCGCTGGACGGTGCGTGTGTCCTGCAGGAGGTCCAGCGGTCTCGCAGCTCACCATCCTCCACGCAGGCACCTTGACCGTCACGCTCGTCAGCTCCATCTCGTCGTCCTTCAGCGCCGCCGAGCTGCTGCCCTGGCTGGGCCTCTCGTACATGCTCTCCACCTGCGTCTTCTCGCCCATCTACGGCAAGCTTTCGGACGTTGTCGGACGCAAGCCCGCCATCCTGACTGCGTGCGTGTCACACGGGCTGGTGACTTTCTGCAGCGGCTGACGCTCTCTCTCTCGCAGCTTGGTCCTCTTCATGCTCGGCACAGGCCTCTGCTCAACCGCCACGTCGATGGCGTACCTCATCGCCGCACGCGCCGTGGCCGGCATGGGCGGCGGTGGGCTGTTGACGTGCACGAGCATCATCCTCACCGATCTGCTGCCGCTGCGCAAGCGCGGCCTCTTCCAAGGCCTCACGCAGATCATCTTCTCGATCGGCTCGGCCCTCGGCGGTCCCGTGGGCGGCTTCTTGACCGAGGCGCTCGGCTGGCGCGCTGCGTTCGGCGTGCAGGTGCCGCTCTTGGGTCTCTCGACGCTGGCGATCGTCATCTTCCTGCGTCTGCCTCCACACCCCTCATCGTCGGGTCCAACGTCGACCGCCGGCTTCTCCTCGCGCGCCATGACGCTCCTCGGACGCATGGACCTACTTGGCTCCCTCTTTCTCGTCACGAGTCTGCTCTCGCTGCTCTTTGGCCTCTCGCTGCTCTCTGCCTCGCGCTTGCCCTTCTCGCACCCGGCAGTGTACAGCTGCCTGCTCGCCTTCCCGCTGCTCGCTGCGGCTTTCGTCTACGTCGAGTCGATCGTCAAGGAGCCCGTGTTGCCGCTGCGCCTTCTACGCCAGCGCACCACGGTCTGTGCTTCGCTGTTCTACTTGCTCTCCTCGGCGGCGATCACTGGCTTGTTCTTCGTGAGTGCCCCGCCACGTCTGCACTCCGCTTCGCGCTCATCTCCCTCCAGCACCTGCCGCTCTACTTCGAGGCGGTGCTGCTGCAGTCCCCGCGCCAAGCCGGTGCGTCGCGCCGCTTCGCCGCCGCAGTAGCCCAACTGACAGTCTGCTCAGGCCTGCACTTCATTCCACTGTCCGTCTTCACGTCTCTCGGCTCCGTCGGTGCCGGACTGTACATGAAGTGGTCAGGCAGATACTGGTGGCTCCTGCTCGCCTGCAACGTGGCGACGGTGACGAGCACGGCGTACCTGGCGACGTGGAACGAACGTACGTCGGACATCGGCACGTGGCTCGGAATTACTCCCTGTGGAGGAGGAGCGGGCGCTTATACCATCATGCTCGGTGAGCTGGTATCGGCAATGAACAAAGGCACACGTCGCAGGCAGCTGACCCTGCGCAACAGTCGCGGTCATCTCGTCGCTGGGACGCGCGGACCAGGCAGGTGCGTAGCGGCTGTCAAAGACACAGCAGGCCCTCTGTTGATTTCTGTTCGCAGCCGCCAATGGCCTCATCTACCTCATGCGCGGTCTCGGCCAGGTCGTCGGCCTCTCGCTGCTCGGCGCGCTCTTCCAAGAGCTGCTGGCTACCCAGCTCAACGCACGCATCACTGGTCCGCACGCCCGCGAGGTGCGTGGGCTACGCTTTGGCTCCCTTGACGCATGCTGACTTGGCTATGCAGACCATCGAGCGCCTGCGGCATGACACGACGTACATCCTGCGCCTGGGCGACAAGCTGCAGAAGGAAGCGACAGCATCGTACGCCTTTGCGGTGAGTCAGCTTTCGCCTGAGTGCATCGCAATGCCATTGCTGACCCGCCCCTGCTGCCTCCTCCAGTTCCGAGGCATGATGCTCGCAGTGACGGTGCTGTCTGTGCTGTGCATCCTGCTCGGCATGGGCGTGCGTGAGCACTCGCTCGGCGGCGAGAAGAAGGCGGACGAGGAGGGCGCGCCGGCTGGTCCGGCGGCGGCGGCCTCGCAAGAAGAGCGCGCATAGATGCTGTGGCCTCGCTTGTCTATCAGAACGACCCGAATGATAGATTGTGATGATGACCCACGCAGCACAACTGTGCAGTCAAGAGAGAAAAGGAAGGAGCGGTGCGGGAGACAGGCAGGAGAGGGTGTGGCCAGAGTTTACCCGCGGCTCTGCTTGAAAGTTGCCGCGGCCTTCGCGGCGCCGGCAGATCTGCCTTGATGGCCCATGCACACGCGGCTCGCAACCTTCTCTCCGCTCCACATCTCGACTGTACCTCTCGCGTCTCATCATGTCGCAAGTCTGCGATTTCAAGCTCCCGGGCGCCACTTCCGGCGACGCCCCCGCCGTCGAGTCGCACTCGCACTCGCACGCCGAGCCCACGGCCGGCCACTCGCACAGCCATGCGCAGGAGCACGGGCACACGCACGAGCAGATGGAGCACGCGGGCAAGTTTGCCGAGCGCGACCTGCCCAACTACGAGGGGCGCAACTGGAATGAGCGGGCATTCACTGTGGGCATCGGCGGGTGAGTCCGGGCTGCCGCTGCTGCAAAGGGTGTTCGATGCTGATGGAGCGGCTGCTGCGGCAGCCCAGTCGGATCGGGAAAGACGGCTCTGCTGCTCGCGCTGTGTCGCGCCCTGCGTGACCGCTTCAACCTGGGCGTCGTGACCAACGACATCTTCACTCGGTGCGTCAGACCCGCCAGTCTCTTGCCCTCATCTGCTGACTCGCACCTCAGTGAGGACCAAGAGTTCCTGCACCGCAACTCTGCCCTCTCGCCCGTCGATCGCATCCGCGCCATCGAGACGGGCGGCTGTCCGCACGCCGCGATCCGCGAGGACATCTCGGCCAACCTGGGCGCCCTGGAGGCGCTGCAGGCGCAGTACGAGACGCAGCTGCTCTTCGTCGAGAGCGGCGGCGACAATCTGGCGGCGGCATACAGCGCTGAACTGGCCGACTTTCACGTCTATGTCATTGACGTGGCCGGTGGTGACAAGGTGCCGCGCAAGGGCGGTCCAGGTGCGTAGCACTGCACTGTTTCACACAGCATGCAGCAGCTTCTGACCCTATCACATTGCCTAGGCATCTCCCAATCCGACCTGCTCGTCATCAACAAGACGGACATTGCGCAGTACGTCGGTGCCTCGCTGGAGGTGATGCGTCGCGATGCGGCCAAGATGCGCGACGGCGGACCCACGGTCTTCACATCGGTCAAGCACAACGACGGCGTCGACGCAGTCATCGACCTCATTCTCGCTGCACGCGCCGCTGCGCCGGGAGCTGACAAGGCGGGCAAGCCGCTGGAGGCTTGAAGAATCTCGTAAATGTCACCTTGTTGTGCTTGAACGAGTGCCTTGCTGTGTGAGAGCGAGTCGGGGTATAGGTGGTGATGAGCTGGCAGAGCTAGCCCTCGATCGACCATGTGTTCTTCTCGAGCTGCGAGCGAGCAATCTCAGAGCCCGATGCAGACGCTTTCGGTCAGCTCTCAAGGCCTCACCTCAGTCTCGAGCTCGATGCGCATCCACTCGACGCGGTCCGTCGAGACGAGCAGATGTGTCTCGTCGAGATCTTGGATGACAAAGCGCATACTGCACACAGAGCACAGGCACGTGTGAGCCAGACAAGCAGGCACTGCAACTGAGGAGAAGCTGTGCCACGCACCGCTCGTTGAGCTGCAGAATGAGCTGCTTCACTGCCGGGTCGCTGAGCACGCGCCGGCGGATCAGCCGAGCAGGCGATGGGGAGAAGGCGCGGCGGGCTTACCAGGTGAGCAGGCTGCCCTTGATCGCCTTCATCCTTGCCGGCGGAGAGAGAGCAGGCTAGCGGCGGCCGGGGCGTGCGGGGGTGGATGAGGCTCAAGGGCGCGCGAGATGAGGCAGGTCGAGCTGCTCGGCGAAGATTGCCGTGCGGGCTTGCGGGGCGTGCTTCAGCGGGCTGAAGAGGAGCGGCTTTGTCCGCGCGCAGGGTGCAGGCCGATGTTGAGCGGCGCTCGTCGCTGCGAGCGGGCCGTTGAGAAGGTGTTGGTTGGGTGGAGGCGCATGCAGCGATGGCGGAGGAGAGGCACGGCAGCGCAGCCAGCACCAGCCAGCCGCGCCAACGCCTTTCACCCGCCGCGTGCGTGCCGCGGAGGTGACGACGCTTCACGCCTCGGCCGGCGCTCGGCACGCCGCGCCCGAGGCGGCCTCGGCGGCGCGCCACAGCGGCAGCGCGCGCGGCCAAATTTGCCGTGGGCGCAGGTGCGTGGAGAGTGGAGACGCCGACGAGGGGCATTCCCGCCTCGCGCGAGGGATGAGCTGGTCGGGCGAGGCAGCCTCGCGGCGTGCGAGATGCGAGATGCGAGGCCACGAGCGCCTTGGCAGCTGTCAGGGCGGAGCGGGCGGCGGGGATGATGCTGCGTGGACTGCTGCTGCCGGCGCCGGTTGCGGCGCGGGTGGAGCAGCGAGCGGAGCCGTCAGCGTTCGCAGCTGGCGCGCTTGACGGCGCGCCTGACGGCGCGCTTGACGTCGTTGCGCGCCGAGGCGAGCAGCGAGCGTCGGCACAGCCCCGCTGCCGGCGTGCCCATGCCGAGCCTCGCCGACGTCCCGACGGTTCGGATTTCGCAGCCCAGCGCCAGATGCGCCGCCGAGAGCAACAGCGGCTGCGTCTGCCGGCCGCCTGCTTCACACACTCGACTGCTTGCACTGCGTCTGGCAGCGGCTGCCGGCTCGTGGCTCCTGCCTCCATCACCCCTCTACCCTCCCCACAGGTACCCTCACCACGCACCATGCCGGTGCATCCCGCCTCGTCGCGCACGCCGTCGCCCGAGCTGCGCGTCGCCACGGCCACGGCGCCGCCCACGGGCCCCACGACGGGCAACCACTCGCCCGTGCACGAGGCGCCGTCTGGTGCCCTCGGCGGCACGGCGCACAGCTCCGGCCCGGCGTCGCGGCGCGGCGGCCGTGTGCACTGGGACGGCCGGGCGTCTGCGGTGGACGCAGCGCAGGCCAGCGCCCCCGCTGCCTCCTCCTCCTCCACCGCCGCACCCAGCCTCGCCGCCGTGCACGCCGCACAGCGCCGCGTCCACGCCGTCGGCGGCGGCGCCACCATCACCGTGCGCGGCGCCGCCAACCCGCGCCGCCAGCCGCCCATCATCACCTCGCCCGGCGGCGTCTCGCGCGCGGCGCACCCGGGCCCGCTGCAGCTCTCCGCTCGCCTCGGCGCAGACAGCGCCGCGCCTCCGCCGGCGCCCGAGTCGGCGCCGGCGTACGAGCATGCCGGCTCGGCACCCGTCACGGGCCTCACGCTGACCGGCAGCAAGGGCTTGGATGAGCAGGGGCTCGACTCGCGCGCCTTCCTTGAGCTGCAGCGTGAACTGCAGCGCCACGAGGCCGACATCTCGCCAAACGACGCCGCTGAGGGCCAGGGCGTAGGACGTTCCTCGTCGCCTCACCACGCCGACGTGCAGCAGCAGCAGTACCAGCGCCGCCGGCATGCCGCGCGCCGCATCGACACGCCCGAGTGGGCGGCCAGCGCCAGTGTCAGCGGCACCAGCACGCCCGGCGGCGGCGACTGGACGTCCGACACGGGCAGCTACGACCCGGCAAACGACTCTGACCTGGGCCACATCGACTTCCAGCCGGGCGAGACCGACGGCATGCCGTCCAAGCCGCGCCGCCAGAAGACCAACGAGGCGCTCGAGGCGGCCGAACAGCCAAAGGGCTGGGCACGGCTGCGGGCGATGATGGGCCGCAAGGGCGACGGCGACGAGGAGGGCCTGCCCACCACGTCGCTGAGTCACGATCAGGGCGGGCCCACGAACACCAAGAGCGTGCCGGTAGCCACCTCGAGCGGCGTGCACTCGGGGCCGCGACCGCGGCCGACCAAGTTCGAGCGCGACGCGGCTCGGCTGGTGCGCGCCCACCGCCTCATGGCAGGACAAGGCAGCTCGCTGGACGGTGCCGGGCCAGCAGCTGCGCTCGGCCGCCTGCCGAGCATCAACCGCAAGCACCTCGACTCAGAAGCGAGCACGCCCGATGCGCTCGACACCGCTGCCAACCTCGATGCGCGGCCCGTACACACCGGCGGCGTGCTAGGCAACCTGCTGCGCCTGTACGAGCAGCAGCAGCGCGAGGCTGAGCGCGAGAAGCGCGCCATGGAGAGTGGCGCCACGAGTCCACTTGACTCGCCTGGCCCGCGAGAGATGCGGCTGCAGCAGCAGGCTATGCGCGATAGCCACGACGCCAACATGTCGGACCTTGTGGCCGCTGAGCTAGCGCGCGAGCGTGCCCACACTGCACCCAGTGTCTCGACGAACAGCCGGCGGGATCGTGCGCGACGCAGCCTCTTCAGCAGCGGCACCTCGAGTCCGCGCACCTCGACGTACACGGCGGCCATTGCCGACACGTCGGCCAAGGTGGCCGGCGTCACGAAGAAGGTGGCGCAGGTCGCGGCGCGCGAAGCCGGCTTTGACGAGCCGCTCGACGACCGGCCAAAGGCCAGTCGCTCGGCTGCCGGCACCATCGGTGGCCTGATCGCCGTGACGGGCAACCTGATCGGCGCCGTCAGTCCTGCACACGCACAGCTCGGCCCCAATCCCAAGCGGCCAGGCTACACGCTCGACCGCTATCTGCTGCCCGAGATGAACGAGAAGACGTTGCGCAAGACGGCCGAGCTCGTCGCCGATGCGGCGCCACGGCCTGCACGTCGCTCTATCCCGGGCACGCCGGGCAACCGGAGCGGCACCACGAGTCCTCTGCCCGACGACACGACGGCGGGCACGCCTGACGGCCACCCGCACTCGCCGATCAAGGGGCGCGGCGGACGTGCGGCTGGCCTGCTGACGCCCGGACGGAGCCAAACGGGCGCCACGTATGCCAGCTCAGAGCAGAAGAATCACTATCGTCTCAGCAGCAGCATCGGCAACGTGCTGCACCACCGTCCCGGCATGGGCCGCCACGCCTGGTCCAAGTCCGTTGTCAACACGCCCGACGGCCTCAACGCCGACGGCGGCGACTACTTCGGCAGCATCGACCCCGAGATGGACGAGAAGCTGCAGAAGATCGAGTGGCAGCGCAAGCTCAAGAAGCGCGCCAAGGACAAGCGCAAGAAGGAGGAGATCTTCGTGAGTGCCCTGTGCCGACTTGTCACCGTGCATCGCCTGACCCATCGCTCCGCAGATCACCATGCACGTCGCTGCCATCCTGCAGCGACAGGAGTTCCTGCTCAAGCTCGCGCGTGCCCTCATGATGTTCGGCGCCCCCACGCACCGCATCGAGACGCAGATCCAGCAGACGGCGCGCGTGCTCGAGATCAACTGCCGCTGCATCTACCTGCCCAACCTGATGCTGCTCGCCTTCGGCGACGACGCGACGCACACGAGCGAGACCAAGTTCATCAAGCAGGCCGGCGGGCTCGACCTGACGAAGCTCACCGACATGCACGCAATCTACTGGAACGTCATCCACGACAAGGTCGGCGTGGCCGAGGCGAGCCAGCAGCTCGACGAGCTGATGCGCCGCAAGCCCGTCATCGGCCTCTGGCCCATGTGCATCATCGGCGGCTTCTGCTCGGCCTTCATCTGCGTCGGCTCGATGGGCTTCAACGGCAGTCTGCTCGACGCGCTCGCGGCGTTCCCGCTCGGCGTCTTCCTCGTCTTCTGCCAGAGCGTCATCACCACCGAGCTCTTCTCCAACGTCTTCGAGATCGTGTTCGCCGCCATCAACTCCTTCGTCGCCTCGGCGCTCGCCTCGACCGAGTACTTCTGCTACGCCGCCGTCGTGTCCGGCTCCATCGTGCTCATCCTGCCCGGCTTCATCGTGCTCTCCGGCTCGCTCGAGCTGCAGAGCAAGAACCTCATCGCCGGCTCCGTGCGCCTCGTGTACGCCATCATCTACTCGCTCTTCCTCGGCTTTGGCCTCTCCATTGGCTCGTCGTTCTGGCTGCTCTTCAGCGGCTCGCCCACCAGCCAGCTCACGACGTACGGCTGCAGCTCTGACGTGGTGCACCCGCCGGGCATCTGGTGGCGGCAGACGGTGCCGCTCTACTACGCCCTCCTCACCGTGCCTGGCTTCTCCATCTCCCTCTCGCTGCGCAACCAGGTCAAGGTGAACCGCAAGGAGTTCCCCGTCATGGTGCTCATTGCCTGCGCCGGCTGGGCGTGCAACCACTTCTCTGCCACGGCGCAGGCGCTCAAGGGCAGACAGGACATCACCTCTGCGCTCGGCAGCCTCTGCGTCGGCATCCTCGCCAACATCTACGGGCGTATCTTTGACGGTCGCGCCTTCGTCGTCGCTGTGCCAGGTGAGTCGCGCGACGTGGCCGCGTCTGGCATCTGCTCACCTCCCCCACTAGGCATCCTGTACCAGCTGCCGTCCGGTCTCTCCAACGGCGGCCTGCTCAACTTTGCCAACGTCGGCGAAGGCTCGAGCGCCACGCGCAACTTCAATTCGGGCTTCCAGGTGGCGCAGAGCCTCGTCGAGGTCGCCATTGGTCTCGTGCGTGCTACTGAGCTGCCGGGCTCTGCACTGCCGCTCACACCCCCTTCCCCTAGACCGTCGGCCTCTTCGCCGCCACCATGCTTGCCTACATCTTCGGCGGCCGCAAGATCCGTGGCGGCGGCCTCTTCTCATTCTAGACGGAATGCTCCCTTCACGCACGCATAGACAAATGCTCACTCACGTTGCAACGACGGCGCGCGCGTGTGGCAGTTGGGAGGCTGGAGACGAGGTATAGATAGGCATCGCGGCAGGTAGCAGGTACAGCAGTGAGGTAGCAGCCAGGTGGCAGTAGATAGCGGGAACGAGCTCAGGCAGCCATCTCGGCCTCGAGCTCCTCCTGCGCGTCGCGGAACGACTGCTGCGACTGCAGCGAGGGCACGTTGCTGATGCGGCGATTGAGCGAGCGGTCAGACGCGCGCGATTGCGAGAAGGTCGCCTCGGAGTCGGACGGCGCGGCGGGCAGCGAGAGGTTGGCGAGGCTCTGGTCCGAGGTGCTGCTGCCCAGCGACGTGCGCGGCAGGTAGCGCGGCTTGACGGGCGAGAGGCCTGCGTCGCGCTCGTAGGCCGTCTCGTAGTCCTCCTCACGATCCTCGCCGAGCGTGCTGTCCGACGGCATCGAGCTCATTGCGCCGACCGCCTCGTCAGCCGGCTGCACTCGGACCGGCTGCGCTTCGGCAACGGGGCCGGCCTCGCCGTCGAGAAGCCAGGCGGCGAGCACGCCGGACTGCTTGTACGTTGTGGACGTCTCGTCAGAGAACACGTCGTGGTCCGCCGCCATCGCCAGCAGGGGCTGCGGGCGAGCCTCGCTGATCGGAGCTGGCGAGGTCTGAGCAGCAGCGGCGCCCGCGAGCGAGTCCTTGCCGGTCGCCGGCCGCGAGCCGATCGTATGCAGCGGCACAGACGCCGAGCTTGAGCCCTCGTCGGGAATATCGCCGACGAAGGCACCTGGCGTAGAGGCGCCCGGCCGCGCGCGGAAGCCGCCGCTGCTGGGGTGCACTGATGCCGCAGCGGAGACGGCCAGCGCTTGGGCCACCAGCAGGCGGCACTCCTCGACGCTGGTGCACTCGCGCATGCGCAAGTCGAGGTCGGACAGGGCGCGCGTCAATTCGCTTCGGCCACCAGAGGCGGACATGCGCGGCGCGCCAAAGGAACTGCGTGCAGAGTCGCCAGACAGGGCACCGCCAGTGATGCTGCCCATCGCTCCGTGGCTGGGCGTCGGCGTGTTGACGCCCGAGGCATCCTCGCTGATGTGCTGCGCGTTCCATGCGCTAGGCGCGTGATGCTGTCCGGAGCTCGAGTGTCCGTCCATACTGCCGGCCATAGCTGCCGCGGCGGCGGCGTTGCGCTCGACGGCGGCGGAGCTGCCGGGTCTCCGGATGGAAGCGCCGATCGCCGCTGCGCTGCTCGTCGAGTTCCGCGAGTAGCTCCATGGCACCTTGCGGCTCGGCGGCTCGGTGCGCGGGTTGTTCGGATCCGGCGCAGGTGATGGCGGCGTGGGCGTGCGCCGCAGTGGCTCTTCGTACAGGCCGACGAGGCCTGATGCCGGCGCCTCAGCGACGTCCTGCTGCGGCAGATCAGGGAGTGGCGGAAGCGGCGCCTCTTTGGCCTGCGGCGTGAGGTCCTTCTCGATGGGAATGACAGGCGCCAGTGCTTCGATCTCGGGATCTTCGAGCAGCGTGGCTTCGCCGTCAGACAGCAGCGCACTGGGCGGGGTCTGCGGCGCGCCATTTCGATTCGCACGCGCGAGAGCAGCAGCAGCAGCTGTTTGCTGTGAGCTGCTCGAGTGGCCCGTCGAGCTCGCGACATTGTCCTCGCTGCCGTTCGTATGTGTAAAGCCGAATGGGCCGCTGCGCGCACTAGCGCTGGAGCCAACCCGCCGCGGCTGCGGAGCTGCGAACGTGCCGCTGACGCTGCTGCGCTTGGCGAAGACGGATCGCAGTCTGCCGCCGAGCGCGCTCTTGCGGCCCTCTGTGCCACCCTGCTGGCTGATGTCGCTCTGTCGGCTCTCGCGCCCACTGCTGATGGAGTCGAACTGCGGGGGCGAGACGGGGCTGGGCGGCGTCGTCTGGAGCAGGCTGACGACTTCCTTGATACCCTTGATCGAGGACGTCTGTGACTCGTCGCGAGGTTGCAGACGCGAAGTGCTGCCGCTGGCCGGCCGGTCAAGCTCCTCGTCGTCGACATCCTCGCCAACGCTGCCGCTGCCGCGTGAGCCCGAGTCGAGAGACCGTGTCATGTCTGCGGGGCCCCGATACGCCGACGGCGGCTGGCTGGAAGCCTTGCCGCCGCTAGGATAGCGGAGGCCGCCGTTTGATGCGCCGCGGAGAGAGCTCGTCGAAGTAGAGCCACTGCGAGTGGCACGCGCGACGCCACCACTGGCAGGCGGGGAAGGCACAGCGTACGGACCCTTCTCCTCGATGACGCTCGGCGTCGAGCTCTGCTGGCTGATGCGCGAGACCATCGTTGGCGCCGGCGAGATCGCACCTCGCGAGCCGCTCGACGACGGCACACCCAGCTCGCCTCCATCGCGTAGAGGCATTGTCAGAGTGCCTGGTCTCCGACGCGTGCTGCGCTTGCCGTCCTCCTCTTCCTTGGCGACCTCGATGGTCCGCAGTCGGTTCGGCGTCAGGCTGACCTTCATCGTCTGTCCGCTCATCATGAGAGCCTCGAAGTCATCGTCGGCCGGCTCCTCGTCACCTGCTTGGCGCGCATCGTTGGGCGAGAGCTGCTTGATGATGGGCTGCTGCGACGACAGGTCCTGGCTGCCCCGGAAGCTGCCGCGCCGACGACCGGTGAGGATGCCCCAGCCCTTGTCCATGCTCGGCCGCCGAGTCAGCGTGCCAAACTCGCCGGCACGAGACGTCTCGCCGGTCGACGCGCTGGCGCCTGCAAGGGAGCTGGCTGTCGCTGATGCCGAGGTCGTGTGCGTCATGCTCGTGCTGCCAGGGCTCTGCGCACCTGCGTCGCGCTCGCCGTGGCCCTGCGCGCTCGCGCTGTAGCTGCGCTCTGCGGCCTGCTGCTGCAGCAGTCCGCGCACAGCAGGACCTGCTGCTCCGCCGCCCATGTTCAGGCTCTGCCGCGCGAACTTCTTGCGGCCCGCCGCCTCGTCGAGCTCGCTGTCGTCCGGTACCATCCAGGGCCGCGCCGAGCCGCGCTTGCCGTCGGACAGCTCCCGCTCGCGCGTCTCGACCTCTGTGCGCGTCGCCATGCGGTCCCACCACGACGAGCAGCTCTCGTCCTCCTCCAGCGCCTTGCGCAGGTCGGTCAGACTGGCCTCGTCGGAGTTGTCGCGCTCGATGACGCGCCCAACGTTGCCGAGAATGTGCTCAGCCACGAACTCGAGCAGCGCAGTCACGTAGATGGACACTGGCGGCGTGATCGAGGCGATCGGGCGACCGTCGGCGGACATGATGGTCGTGTCCGAGGGCGTGTGCGGCGAGGGGTCCTCGAGCGAGCCGAGCGTGCTGTAGTACTGGCAGCGAATGCGCAGCTGGGAGGGGCGCGTGGTCAGCACGAAACGCACCCGGCTGCCGCTGCATCGCACTCACCGCCTCGTACGCGCTCTTCACCGGGAAGCCCTCAGTGCCGTCGAGCCGGCTCGTCGCGCTGAGCCCCAGCGGCACGCGGTTGCCCTCCTTCCGCATGCCGTCCACGTACGAGCGCATCTCCAGCTCCGCCTCCAGCACCGCGTTCTTGGCGAGCAGAGCGCCCGAGCCCGTCGAGCCCAGGACGCGCAGCACGCCATCTGTCTTGATGCGGTCGGTCGCCAGCGAGCGCGCCGACGTCAGAATCAGCAGCAGCAGCTCATCGAGCAGCCGGTTGAGGTAGTGCAGCGTGACGGCCTGGATGCGCGTCGGCCGCGAGTAGGAGATGAGCGAATTGGCGCTCCGTGCGGAGATGTACGACGGCGAGTCCGCCGCCAGCACGCCAGGCGGGAGGACAGGCAGCGTCACTGAGCGCGGCGAGCGCAGCGCATATGCGGAGCCCGGCATGGACCAGCGCGAGCGATCGGCGCCATCGTCAGTCAGTGTCGGCGATTCGACGAGCACGAAGCCATTTTCCGTCGGCGAGCGGCCAGCGTGACCCGCCGTTGTCGGGCGCGATGTGGTGGAGTTGTAGCGCAGGCGAGACACAGGCGCGCCGCCGTGCACCACGTTGAAGGGCGCAGAGATGGACGTGGGCGAGACGGACGGCGTATTCCCGCGACGAGGCGAGGGAAAGGGCATCATGCGTCACCAGGACGGAGGGATGGGAGAGGAAGAGGGGAGCGAAGCGAAGCGTCAGCGGCTTGCTATCATCGTGTTTGGGTGAGAAGGCTCGCGGCTGCGAGAACAAGCTCATTGAGCTCCTCCTGCGAGCAGGCCAGGAACCGGACCGCTCCTCTGCTGGCGCGAGAGTGCGCGCGCACGGAGCAGCCGCTTCTACTCGCGGCGTGCTGTGAAGTGTCTGCCGCCGGCACAACGTGGCACTCTGGCCTCATTGCAGAAGCCATCAGGACCTGTCCATGCGCGCAACCTTGCGAGGGGTAGCCTCCTGAGCTCGTCGGCGCGGCTTGCGCGCCGTACTGCGTGCAGCCCGAGCGGCTGCTGCCTCGAGGGACGCATATCACGCGCACGCAGGTCGTGGACGAGGCAGTGGTACCGAAACAGCGCTCATGCGGAGCGCTGTCAGGCACCGAAGGGTCGCGCACGCCCCTGCTGCGGAACAAGACCGCGCCAACCAGCCAAAGACGGGTGCAAGCCCGAGGCACGCATGCACCCCTCTCGCTTGCCTTTCCGCGCCCAAGCTGCCTGCTCGACTCCCATCGGCTCGCACATCGACTCGCAGCTGTGCCATCTACGCAACCCTCCAGACACATCGCTCACCCATGCAGCGCGTCGCCATCATCTGCGCCGCTCGAGACGCACCCTCGTCATCGGCCGGATCGTACGCTCCCGACACGCCGCCGAAGCTCGCCGCTCGCCTCTGCCGCCTTTGCGCCGCGGGCGTCGCAGCCAACAGAGCCGCTGCAGCCTGCGGCGCATCGGACGACACAGCCATCGCCGAGGCAGCGCGCACAGTCGAGCCACTAGGCTTGCGCCGCAGGAAGCTGGTGCGCGGCCAGACGGCACGATGGCGCGGCGGCTCAGGCAGGCGTGGCAGATCCCGCGCTGCCAGTGGCACAGACACGCCAGCAGAGGCCTGCTCGACGACGGAGGACATGCTCGATGGTGCCGCTGCGTCGCCGCTGCTGCCGAACGCCGAGTCGAGATCGGCGCTAAAGCGCTGGAGCTCGGGAGAGATGGAGCGCGCAGCAGAGGAGGAGGCCATGAGAGGCAGAGAGCGAGATGGCTAGGAGTGATGGACGCAAGTACCACCATAGCCGGCGCACCCTGACGCTGAGAAGTGGCGCAGCTCTCACCGCTCCCGCGATGGTCAGAGCGCCACTCATCACGGCGGATGGACGACCCAGCAGCGAGCTCCCGCACGGGTCACGGACAGCACGATCACGGACAAGGATCAAGGCAACGATGGGAAGCCGAGCGCAAGCGCACTCACGCATGATGACGGCTGCTCGCTAAGCGCCGGGATCGGCCCACGAGCAGGATGCGACAGCCAGCTTGCTGCTGGCTGGTGCGCACAACGCGCGCCACGCAGGTGCGCTCGGGCCGCGTGAGAGGCGGCGAGCAGCGGGCAGGCAGCGCTCGAGGCGAGTGACTGCACTAGACTGTGCCCGAGGGTGCGTCGCTGAGCTGCAGTGCGTAGACAGGTGCGCAGTCGAGGCGCGGAGCTTGAGGACGCTCGGCAGTGCCCTGCGTCAGGGGTGCGGAGCGGCGGCACGGGTGTGGGGAGAGAGGGAGGTGCAGGTGAGAAGAGGACAGGCCCGAGCGTGCAGATGCAGGATGGGATGGGAGTGCGATGCTGCTGCGAGGGAGCATGCACACGCACAAGGAGCGAGAGCGAGATCGGGTGACAAAGGAAGGAGCGGATGAGCTGGAGAAGCGCAGGACAACAACGCAGCTGCAGGCGGCCGGGACAGCAGGCAGCAGCTCGGCGACGCGCCGCGGCGGCGCGTGCTCCGCTCCGCCCATGCGCTCGGCGATGTGCCGCGCCGATGGAGCCGCTCCGAGCTCCCTCTGCGCCTGTCACCACCCCTGATCTGCACCGGGCTGATCCTCGCCCTGCGCCTGTCGCGGCGCCTGAAAGTGGACGCTGCCGAGCAGCAGCGCACCACGAGAGGCTGCCCCTTCCTCGCCGACGCCGTGCCGGCGCTCGCTCTGCCTGTCCGGCGCACGCTGCTGGCGGGGGGAGCGCGGCACAGCGGCGGTGCGCCACGCGCCTGCGCCTGCGCCAGACGCTAGCGTGCTGCGCCGGCCCTCTGCTCCGGTGCCCTCGCGCCTGCTCTCCGGCGCTACCGCGGGAGCACGGGGGCTGATCGGCATCCCCAGCCTCAGCACCAGCGCCGCAGCTCTCAGCACCGCACACGCAGCGCAGCAGCAGAGAGGAGCGAGGCATCCTCCTCGCCAGCGTCCAGAAGGCAGCCAGACGGCGTCGTTCTGCGCGCTGGGGCTGTGGCCGGCGTGCCGAGCGCTGATCCCGCGTCTGTGTTGTTCTCCTGCGCAGCGCAGCTTGCGCCAATCCGCCAAGCACAAAGCACGGCCTGCCGCGGGAAGCAGCAGAGTTGAGGCGGAGCTGCCGGCCAATGCAATCGAAGCATCGCATGCTCCTCGGGCCGCAGTGATCTCGAAGAAAACACGCTGCGGCGACGAGCCCGGAGGAGGCCAGGCGGTGAGATGCGCCATGGGGTGGACAAGGGCGCGACGCGCATGCCGTGGCGCGGCGCGGCGGAGTCTGCGGCGTCGGCACGTCGAGCTCGGAGCCGCGCCGCGACGTCTGCCTCCGGCACGGCTTCTTCGCGGCACAGCGCAGTCGCGGCAGAAGGAGAAGGATCCGCTTCGGAGCGCAGACATGTGCTGGCCGAGATGGAGCGGCGCTGCGCCCGCGACAGGGCGCTAGAACCTCGGGACGCCGCAGCGGCCGGCGCGGCGCTGTGCCTGCAGCGCCGAGCGCGCCGCCGTCTTCGGCGACGCTGCGTCTGGAATGCCCGCGATGGGGCCTGCCATGTGATGAATCATTTCGCAGCTTTGACGTGCAGCAGCGCAGACAGAGATCGCGATGCTGCCAGTCTGATCACGTGGATGAAGGAGAGCAAGGGTCGCAGCGAGGACGGCCCGAAGGGAGAGGAGGGCGGGACAAGCAAGCGTGCGAGCAGCAGCGCGGGAGCAGCCGCATGCCTCTCGCGCGAGAAAGGCTGCAGCGCGCCGCGGCCCTGCACAAGCCAGCGCCGCCTCCAACAGCTCTGCCCTCTTCTCCACTCCACCCTGTCTTGCCCTGATGGATCCCTCGTTCGCACGCCCGCAGGCGTCCAGCGCACCTCTGCCGCCGCTGCCTCCGCCAGGCCAAGCGCCGTTGGGGCCCATGCCCGGCGGGCGTGCACCTCTGCCGCGCGGAGGCGCACAGCCGCAACAGTCGCAGCCGCAGTCGGCTGCGGCGCGGGCGGTACGCAGCGCACTCAAGGCGGGCGCGACACAGCAGGAGGCAGAACGCGTGGGGAAGCTGTTCTGTGTTGTCTGTGCGAGTAACAATGTGCGTAGCTTGCGACGGCGTGTCGGCGCAGGCGGGCGGAAAAGGTGCGGGCGCTGCCGTGCGGAGAGTGCGTAGTCGGTCAGGCCCGCTTGCGTCGTGTGACGAGCTCGGCAGAGGCGCAGAAGCGACTCGTGCTAAGCGAACTGCAGCATTGGACCTTTCTGTGCGCTTCGGAGGATGAAAAGGGCGCAGAGAGCCTGCCGAGGCGCGGCCTCGCGCTGCGCAGCTCGAAGCTGCCGAGTCCGCTCAGCCAATGCGCCGCTGCCAGCTGGCGGCGCAGGACCGGAGCACACCTGGACTTTCCTGAGAGGAAGGAGAGCGCACGCAGGGAAGGACCGTTGCTGACGATTCGCCCCGCAGAATCGCTCGATGGAAGCGCACAACGTTCTCGCGTGAGTGTGCGGTCGGTGCGAGCGCCTTCGAGCCGTGCTGAAGCTCGCTTGTCAGACATGCTGGGCTGCGAGTCACATCTGCGGGCACGGGCTCGGCTGTGCGGTTACCAGGTCCGAGCATCGATAAGCCCAACATCTACACGTTCGGCACGCCGTACGACACGATGTATCGCGATCTGGAAAGCAAGGATGCGCGGCTGTGAGTCCGGCTGCGTCTCGACGAGCTGCTGCGTGTGCTCACGGCCCGCTCAGATACGCTGCGAATGGCCTCCTGCCGATGCTGGACCGGAACCGCCGCGTCAAGCTGGCGCCGGAGAAGTGGCACGAGACGCGGGCTGAGCCGGACATCGTCATCACCTGCGAGGAGCGCTGCTTCGACTCTGTCTGCGAAGGTGCGTCTCGTCTCGACGAAGCGAAGCGCCGCCTGTGCTCATACGCTCCCTCTGCTGCGGCGCAGATCTGCTCGCACGCAACGGCGAGATGAACCGCAGCGTGCACGTCATCAACGTTGAGATCAAGGATAACCACGAGGAGGCGCTCATCGCCGGCCGGGCGATCCTCGAGCTGGCGCGAGCAGTGAGTGCGCCTCTGACGGCTGGATAACATCGCTTCGCTCACACGCATTCCGTGCACAGATCGAGCAGGCCGACAATCTCGACGACGACATTGGCGGCATCCTCGAGATGCATCAGCGCAAGCATCCGCATGCTCTGCTGCACACTGTCAGCTTCTACTAGCCATGCCACGCACGCAAGCTCTGCAAACGCCTGCACTCCCGCCAACTCGTCCTCGCCCTAATCGCTCCGAGCATCATGTACTTGTATTCGGCACGTCCGCACAGGGCTGCCTCACTCATCAATCGACCATGTCACGACAGCTGCAGTCATGCATATGGGGTCCGTGCGTCGCTGTGCCTGCTGTCATTGGCGAACCGCAGCCTGCACAGGCGGAGCGCTGTACTAGAGGCAGCTCTCACTCAAGCGAGATGCTGCGGACAACGGCACGCCGTGCCTGCTCGGCGCCGGCTATGCGTTGCCGAGACGGCCGTCGAGCGCCAGAGCAGGATCGGCACCGGACTCGAGAGCCGGCAGCGGCGCCGGCCTGTAGCGCGGCGCGTCAGGGGGCATGCGAGGCCGTGAGATCTTCCTTCCGCACTCAGGGCAGCAAGCAAGCCCCTTCGGGCAGCAGAGCGGGCCGCCACGCCCGCCGGAGCCAAAAGCAAGCGCCTCCGCAGCACTCCGTGCGTGCCTGCGAGATCTGCTGCTGAAGGCGTGCTGGCCGAGGCCCGAGCGCGCAGGGGCCTGCTCACGCTACGCCAGGGGCGCAGCCTGCGCCAAAGGGGCTCATCACTCTCCTCGCGAACTGGGCATGCTTCTGTCAATCGATCGACAGGAGCGGTGTATTTGTGGCAGGCCCTAAAAGGGCGATCTCGCCCGCCTGAAGGAGCATCGCGTCGAAGGCGCTTCTTGGCGAGCTACCTCTCTCTCACCACTCCGTCCCTCCTTTCCTCTTTCCAGCTCTCGGTCCTTCTCTGCGCCATGAAGTCGATATCCCTTCTTGCCGTCGCCTCGACGCTGTTTGCCTCCGCGCTGGCAGATCTGAACAAAGCGCCGCTGTCCTCACGCCAGCTGCTCCAGTCCGGCGCGCTTCAGTCGCCCGCGCCCGCGCTCGCTGGCAAGGGTGCCCCTCATGGCACAGCCAGCAGCGAGGCCGTGTCCAAGCTCTGCGACGATCTGCAGCAGAAGCTCGGCGGCAAGGTGGTGCGGCTCCAGACGACGCTCGTCGACACGGCGTACTTCCAGTCCGTCGACCATGCGTACAATGCAGAGCAGCGCGCGTACAGTAAGTCACTTTTGCCGCACACGCTGGAGCGAGCAGCAAGCTGAGAAGCGCTCGCAGAGCCGACGTGCAGTGTCCTCGCGACGCAAGCCTCGCACGTCGTCGACACCTATGCGGCCGTCAAGGCAGCCGGCGCCGGCTATGGCGTGCGAGGCGGCGGTCACAACCCCAACTACGGCTGGAACTCGTCGCCCGATGTCTTCATCGACTTTGGCCAGTGGTGTGATGTCACGCTGAGCGACGATGGCAACACGGCGGATATCGCGCCCGGATGTCGTTGGGGCGAGGTGTACAGCACTTTGGAGGCGCAGGGCAAGACGGTCGTCGGCGGACGCGTGTCGAACGGTGAGCTCGACACGGAGACGCGGCGATGATGCGAAGTGCTGACCCTATCCAAGTCGGCATGGGCGCTGTTCTCGGTGGCGGGTGAGTGTGCCGCCGCAGCTGTGGAGTCCCCTCTTACTGACACGCTGCGCAGTCTCTCGCACCTCACGCCAGAGCATGGTCTCATCGCCGACAACGTTATGTCATACACCATCGTGCTGCCGTCCGGCGAGCTCGTGACAGCCGGGTCCGGGGGCGACTACGCCGACCTATGGTGGGCGCTCAAGGGCAGCACGAACCAGATGGGCATCGTCGTCAACTACAAGCTGCTCACCAAGGACGTCGGCGAGTGGTGGGGCGGCCTGCTGACGTTCCTGCCCACGCAAGTCGACGCGTTTGTCGATGCTGTCGCCGGTGAGCGTTGTGTGATGCCGGGACGGGCTTCGCTGATCTCGTGCCTTTGCAGAGTATAACGCGAAGTACGACTCGTTCAACGACACGAAGGCGGCCATCGTGCCCACGATTACCTGGGTCGACCTGCCCACTCCTGCGCTGCTGCTGGTCGGGCTCGCCTATCACGGCCCATCGCGCCCCAAGGGCATCTTTGACATGTTCTTCGACCTCAAGCCAGTGGCCGACACGACGAGAAAGTCGAGCTACGCCGGTGCGTAGAAGCATAGGGTGCATCCGATGCACAGCTGACAGCCGGGGCAGACATCAACGGGGTCTACGACTTTGGCTGTGAGTCCTCACCCCTCAGCTGATCTTTCACGCACTCACCCCTTCGCTCAGCGCTCTACGGCTCGTCGACGCACTTCCGCACCTCATCCTCGTATCTCTCGAAGACGCAGGCGCGTGAGATCTACGCCGCGTTTCAGGACTTTGCGACCAAGAATGTCGGCCTCTGGTGGAGCCTGAGCCTCTCCTACGAGAGCTTCACGGCCAGCGGCCTGGCGAAGGCTGCTGCCGCAGGTGGCAACCCGCAGGGCTGGGCCGCCGGACGTGGCTTCACGGCGCAGACGTACCTGGTGCAGTGGGTGCCGTCGCTGCCCACGCACAAGAAGCAGAGGCTGCTCGCCGCGGCCAAGGCGGCGACGACGGCGGGCTCGGACGACATGTGAGCCTGCTTCAGCAAGATTTGTGCTGCGCAGCATTGTGCTGACACCTGATGCAGTCCGCTGTTCATCAACTACGCCGCGGCGGACCAGCAGCCGCTGCTGAGCTACGGCAACCTGGACAGGCTGCGCGGCATCAAGGCCAAGTACGACGCAGACTCGTATGTGACAAAGCACACGGGCGGCCCGCGCTTCGAGGGCGGCGACTTCTGAGCGCCAATGCAGTGTGAGCAGCCCGCAGCGGCGGTCGAGTAATGTATTCGTGGTCCATGGAGGGCGAGTGAGGGTGTGAGCGTCGTGAGGCATGCCGAAAGCGCGCCATGCCAAGCCGGCACACCGCCTCGCCAGATCCCGCGGGCTCCAAGCTCCCGCAGCACCCTGACGCCGCTGAGGTCAGCGCTTGCTTGCGCTCAAATCGGCTGATGCTACGCCTGCGAGATGCAGCGCGTGCCAAGCCTCGGGCATGCGCCCGTCCGCGGAGCGCTTGCGGCCGTTCGCCTCGTTGCCTCCGTGCCGTGTCCGCTCCACCCTGCGATGCTCTCCTCGCCTCTGCCCTCGCCATGAGCTCGTCAGTGCCACCACCACCTCGTTGACCTCGCACACCCTCCGCCACGCCGCCGCCATGGCGCGCGTCCCGCTCCAGCAGTTCTTAGCCCTCACACGCAAGGAGTGGATCGTGCTGTGGCGGCATTGGCCCATCAATCTGCTGCGATGCCTCATCGTGCCCGTCGGCTATGCCGTGGTGAGTGCTGGAGGGCCGCTGCAGCCAGTGGCTGTCCCCTGATCGCCTCCCTGCAGTTCCTCGGCTACGCCAAGGAGCTGCTCGGCACGAGCAACGACCTCGGCCTCGGCCAGCCGACGCCCATCCGCCCGCTGAGCGAGGCGCTCGGCAGCTCGCCGCTCTACTACCTCATCAACGAGACGACACCCTCGGCCGCCTCCTTTGACGGGCGCGCCGTTGTCGATGCGCTGCGGTCCACGCTGAGCACGGAGCAGCAGGGCCAGCTGATCGAGTACACCTCCGACGCCGAGCTGGGCTTTGCCTGCCCGCAGAGCTTCGCGGGGCGGTCGGACTGCTTCGCTGCCTTCTCGGTCGATGCCATCACGCTGCAGGACTCGCGTCCGGCGGTCAACTACACGCTGCGCTTCAATGGCGCCGGCCTGACGGTGGTGCGTGCGCCCGACAATGACGGCGACTATGAGCGCACAGGACTGCCGCTGCAGAATGCCTTGGATCGCGCCATCATGCAGGTCTCGCTGGGTCTCAGCGACGCTCAGCTCGCCGACATTCCTGTGCCGCTCGAGCAGCCCTTTTCGCGGCAGACGAATGCGGAGGAGGATGAGGACAAGCGGCTGCAGTTCCTCAGCGGCATGCGTGAGTCGGCAGGATGGGCTGTGCGCGCACGCGCTGACCCAGCCGCACAGCATCCTTTCTTGTGCTGGCGTTTGGCATTCTCTTCCTCGGCGTGCCGTATCACCTGCCGGCGAGCGTCTCGAGCGAGCGCAGTGGCGGCATGACGGACCTGCTGACGAGCGCCGGCTGCTCGCAAGCCGCGCGGCTGGCCTCGTGGATGGCCGCCGAGGGCGTGGCCTATCTCCCGGCCTACCTCATCGGCGCCGGCGTGCATGCCACGACGCTCTTCACGCGCACAAGCGCCGCCGCCGTGCTGGCTTTCTACGTGCTGCCGGCCCTAGCGCTCGCCGCCTGGTCGCTCTTTCTCTCGACCTTCTTCCGCTCGAGCGCCCTCTCCGGCATCGTCGTCACAGGCATTGCGATCCTGGGCCTCATCGTCGGACTGCTGACAAACGACTCGGGCGACGGCGCCGCCGTGCCCATCGCGTTCGTCCTGCCGTCCAGCTCCATCACATACTCCTTCACAATTGCGTCGCGCTTCGAGACTGCCGGCCGGGCGACGAACCTTGTGCAGCGCGCGCCCAGCGACGGCAGCGGCAGCGAGACGATTGGCGGCACGCTGATCGCGCAGTATGCGATCAACCTCGTCGCCATCATCGTCTTTCCCCTGCTCGCCGCGGCCGTGGAGCGCCGCCTCTTCTACCGCAGCGCCTCGCGTGCCGACAAGCGCGCCGCAGCTGCCCGCGCCGAGGAAGGCGAGAAGGAGCGCCCTGCGCTGGAGATCACGAATCTCGTCAAGCGCTACGGGCGCAAGAAGAAGGGCGTCCTTGCGGTCGACGACTTGTCCTTCGAGGTGCCGCAGGGCGGCCTCACGGCGCTGCTGGGCAGCAACGGCAGCGGCAAGTCGACGACAATGGCCTGCGTGACTGGCCTCGAGGCATTCTCGAGCGGCTCGATTCTCGTCGACGGCTGGCCGCGCGACATGATGCCGCCGGGCACGGTTGGCTTCGCCCCACAACGCAATGTCAACTGGAGCGAGCTCAACGCGCTGCAGCACGTGCAGGTCTTCCATGCCATCAAGCATCGATCCGGGAAGCGATCCTCGCGCGCGAAGCACGAGGCGCTGCTGGAGCACGTCGAGCTGGCACACAAGATGAAGACGCGCCCGGGCGCCATGAGCGGAGGCATGCGGCGCAAGCTGCAGCTGGCCATGGCGCTCGTCGGCGACAGCTCCCTGCTGCTCGTCGATGAGGCCACCACTGGCCTGGATCCACTCGCGCGCCGGAGCATCTGGAAGATCCTGCTGGCTCAGCGCGGCACCCGCACGATTCTCTTTACGACGCATGCCATCGACGACGAGGTCGACGTGCTCAGTGACGACGTGATCATCCTCGGCGCGCCCGGCAAGCAGCTGGCGCGCGGCTCGCCCGTGCGGCTCAAGCAGACGCTCGGCGCCGAGGACGGCACGCTGGTGCATGTTGTGCTGCGCGACGCTGCGCAAGCTGCTGCGGTTGAGTCGGCGGTCGCCGCTGCCGTGGGCGAGGACGTGGCCACGCGCCGGATCGCGGCACCTAGCGTCGAGGAGGTCAGCCTCCGGCTCAGCACCCAAGATACGGCTGCTGTCCAGCGCGCCCTGGATGCCGTCGAGAAGGACAAGGAGCAACTCGGCGTGCTGCACTACGATGTGCACGGGCCGTCGCTCGAGAATGTCTTTCTCCGCCTACGTGCCGCGCACGAGCAGGCTGCCGGGCGCGAAGTCGAGGTGCTCGATGAGAAGATCGACGCGCAGGACTCGCTCAACCTCCACGAGGGCAAGCAGCGCGGCTGGTTCAAGCTCACCATTGCGCAGTGGCTCAAGCGTGCCGTCATCTTCCGCCGCTCGTGGTTCGCGCCGCTTGGCGCCATTGCCGTCGCGATCCTCGGTTCTCTCATTCCGACTTACATCTTTCTTGATGACCGGAATCCGTCATGCGGCGGACCGCGTGCGCAGCGCAACGTGCGCCGCTCGCTGTTCCTGGAACCGTCCGCGGGCAGCATCCTGGGGCTCACGACACCACCGCAAGACATCTTGCTCGCGCCGCCCGGCCCGCTGGACACGATCCTCGGCGCCTCGTACCCGCTGCAGGCCTCGTCGCTGACGCAGATCTCGGCGGCCGAGTACAACCAGACGTTCTCGTCGTTTGACACGGCACGCGACATTGGCTTTGGCGGCGCGCTGCTCGTCGAAGGACAGACGCCGCAGTTTGCCTACCAGGCACAGCCCGACTTTCTCGCTCTCCAGGCGCCGGCCTCAGCGCTGGCGAACCTCGTGGCCAATGCGCAGGCATTCCAGGCCAGCGAGAATGCGCCGATCATCTTTCCCTTTTCGCTGCGCATCTCGTCGAGCTTTGCGGGCACGGGCCTGGGCGATGCTCTGTGAGTAACGTGTGACGCGCGGCAGGGCTATGCTGACGCCCGCACAGCAAGTGGGCCGTCGTGTATGGCCTGGCGCAGGCCGTCTGGCCGGCGTTTGCGACGCTGTACCCCACGAGCGAGCGCGCCTCGGGCGCCAAGGCGATGACCAAGACAAACGGCATGCGCGCGCTGCCGTTCTGGTCCGGGCACCTGCTCTGGGAGCTACCGATCGTCCTCATCGCCACGGTGCCTGTTGCTGCGGCATTCGGCAGCCTGGAGTCGACCTCTGGCGCGTCGCCGTTTGCAGGCGTCGGGCTGCTGTGGGTCTGCCTCGCGCTGTACGGCATCGCCGGCACGCTGCAGGCTTTCGTCTTTTCGCTCCTCGCGCCCAACGCCCTCGCCGCCTTTGCGCTGTGCGCAGCGTGGTCCGTCATTGCGTTCCTGATCTACTTTGCCGCATCGCTCTTGACGCTGACGTACTACGTCGGCGGCAACGTGCTGGCCGCGCTCGACGTCGTCTTTTACATCACGGCGCTCCTCTCGCCCGCGGTGGCCGCGTCGCAGGCCGGACAGGTCAGTATCAACCTTTATTCGCGCCTGTGCAACGGCCGCGGCGGCGACTCGGACCTGCCGATGCGTGCTATCACGCATCTCGGCGCCCCGGTCCTGTACCTGGTGCTGTGGTCGCTCGTGCTGCTTGCCGTGCTCGTGTGGCGCGACGGCGCCTCGGCCGACGTGGCGCCGTTGGTGCCGTTCCGGCGCAAGCTCGGCCGGCCCTGGCGCAAGGCACGCAAGACGTCGGTCGACGACGAGTCGCGCCTGCACAAGACGGGCGAGGGCGTCACGGACGAGGCGGCGCGCGTGGAGAGTGCGGCCAGCGACGGCGACGCCCTGCGCGTGTCGCACCTCACGAAGCGCTTTGGCAAGACGCTTGCCGTGGATGACGTGTCTTTCGGCATCGAGAAGGGCACCATCTTCGCCCTCGCCGGTTCCACGGGCGGCGGCAAGAGCTCGCTGCTGCGGTGCATCCGCGGCGAGGACCTGTGCGACACGGGCCGCGTCACCATCGGCGGCGTGGACCTCGACGAGCAGAGCAACGCCGCGCGCGCAAAGCTCGGCTCCGTGCCGCAGCACGACGGTCTGGACCTCTCGATGACCGTCGAGGAGCACCTGCGCTTCTACGCGCGGCTGAAGGGTGTCGCGCGGGCGGACCGCGCTGCGGACGTCGAGACGCTGCTCGACCTCTGCCAGCTGCGGCAGTACCGCGCGCGCAAGGCCGGTGCGCTGTCTGGCGGCAACAAGCGCAAGCTCTCGCTGGCCCTCTCGATCATGGGCAGCCCGGCGTGCGTCATCCTCGACGAGCTCAGCAGCGGCGTCGACCCCGGCACGATGCGCGCACTGTGGAGCGTGCTGCGGCGCGTCGTGCACGACGGGCAGCGCTGCGTGCTGCTCTGCACGCACAGCATGCAGGAGCTCGCCATCAGCCAGCGGCTCGCCATCCAGGCCAGTGCGCTGCTGCTCATCGGCGACACGCGCGCGCTGCGCGGCGCCTACCCGGGCCTGTACGAGCTGCAGATGGACATTGAGCGCGGCGCCTCGCAGGAGCAGGTCGATGCGTTTGTCACGTCGTGCGTGCCCGAGGCGCGGCGCTCCGACCTCGGCCTGCGCTACGAGATCGACCTCGGCGCCGCGGCCGCTGAGCAGGCGTCGCTCGCCGAGCTGCACCGCCGGCTCGCCGTCTCGCCCGAGCAGCGCGCCGCCGCCGGCGTCAAGGGCTGGCAGCTCGGGCCGATTACGCTCGAGGGGCTCTTCATCCGCGTTGTGAAGCGCAATGCGCAGAAGGGCGACGGCGAGGGCGACAGTCCGGCAGTCCAGAATGACTCTCCGGCGGCTAGCACGCCTGCCTCCGACACGGCCCGCAGCGCCTCGCCGGCGTGATGATGCAATGATAGACTATAGACTGCACCCGATGTTGTGTGAAGCGGACGACGAGGCCGAGAAGCAGGCATCCCCCTGCCGTTCGCCGCACGCGTGGAGCGCCAGCAAGGGTGGCGGCAAGGAACATGTTCGGCCGGGTAGCGTCGGCTCAGCATCGACTGCGACCGCCATACCTCTCCAGCCATGGTCCTGGTCTGGCTTTGCGTGCCGCGTGGGTGGGGGAACGAGAACGCGCAAGCACGCGGCGCTCCGGGGGCACAAAAAGACTGCCGAGGAGCGGGCAAAAAGTGAATGCTTGGACGGGGAATCGAACCCCGGGCTCCCGCAACCGTCGCGATTGACTCGCTCATGGCAAGCGAGAATTTTACCACTAAACCACCCAAGCGCCATACTTGCCGTCTCAACTAAACAATATATGAACCTGTTGCTGGAAAGACTGCGCTCACCAGCAGATCCCGAGCATTGAGAGGCAGCACACAGGGCAGCTCCTTGTCAGGAGCTAGCACACAAGGCTGATCGACAGCAAGAGTGCTGGTTGGGCTGATGACTGCTGCCTGAGCTTGTAAAGCATATTGCAGGAGGTGCTGATGCCAAGAGTACACATGTTGTGTCAGCACAACTCACTCTCTGCATCAGAGAGGTGACTTGTGCCTCAGAATGCTTGATGCACTTTCTGTCTGAGCAAAGGGTTCATATACTGTTTGGTTGAGCCGGTGAGTATGGCGCTTGGGTGGTTTAGTGGTAAAATTCTCGCTTGCCATGAGCGAGTCAATCGCAACGGTTGCGGGAGCCCGGGGTTCGATTCCCCGTCCAAGCATTCATTTTTGCTTCGTGCCCACAGGCCCGGCAACCCGTTCTGTCTTCTCACAGCCGGGGCGCCGGCGGCTCTTCCAGCGGACAAGCAGGCGACGGCGGTGCTCGCCTCCGCATGTGCGCCACGTCCTGACCTTGCATCGCTCACGAGGGCGACGCTGAGCGCCGCTCGCTGTCACTCACGCCGCAAAATTGCCCCCCCCCCCCCCGAGGGACGGATGCCGGCTGCGGGTGTGCTTGCTCTCGACATCGCAGCGCCGGATCTCTCCGTGCTGTCCATGGCCCGAACCGCGCCCTGCAGCTGTACAGCGGTATGCGCGCGATCGTGTGACACGGGAGTGTCCTCACGCACCCCGTCGCGTCGTCACGAGCCCCCAGCCGGCTGCAAGGGCGAAGCGACGACAGGCGTGCTGTGACGCTGAACAGCGGCGTGAAGATGGATGCCTCTGCATGCTCACGGCAGCGCCGCGCACGTGCACTTCTCGCGCTACCGCTCTGCACTGCTCTGTGTGCACCGTATCAATTGATCGCGTGGAGAAGGGGCAAGCCGAGGCGCAGCAATCACTGACTGCGTGGGCGTCAGCATGGGTTGGCCCGTCGGCCTCCTCGCGACTCACTCCGAGTCGAGCTCAAACGGACACTCAATCGAGTTGAGCTGCGTGCTGGCGCCTTTCCGGCCGATGAGCCCCGTAATCTTCATCGTGAGGCTGACGGCGAGGTTGAGCGTCGGGCGCGCCGTGCCGGGCACTGCATGGGGTGGTCAGCACTGCCGCTGCTGCAGGCACGCGCGCGACGCACCCTTGTGGCCGCACGCCTGGTAGAACTCCTGGAACGTCGAGTCGCCCGACGCGGTCGCGTTGAGGCTCGTGTAGCTAAAGTCGATGGGGAAGAGGAACTGCGTGCGCTTCTTGCCCGGGAACGTCTGCGAGTCCATCTTGCCCTCGCCGACGAGCTTGCGCGTCGAGAGCGAGTACACCTTGATGTCGAGGTCCGTCGCCGACGAGGGAATGTAGCCGCCGCGGTTGTCGCCGGCGAGCGAGATGTTCATGCGCATGCTGGCGGAGGGGTCAGCAGCGGCGATGGCTGCCACACCACGGCACTCACGCAAACGAGCGCGTCGGCGTGTACGTCGTCGACATGGAGCCGGCGTTCGGCACGGCCAGCAGCGGCTGTGCGCTGAAGAACGCAAACGCTGCAGGGGAAGATGAGCAAGCGCGAAGCACAGAAGGACCCAAGCCCACGCACTGGGCACGCGAGGGATCACAAAGTATAGCGTGATGCCGAGCCTGCCGCAGGAGTCAGCCCTCTGCCGCACTGCGAAACCTGAAATCTACTCACAAGATCAGGATGCCAAAGGCGAGGAACACCGCCAGCCGCGGACTCAGCCAGCCGCACAGCTTCGTCTCGCCGCGCGCCCACTTGCCCGTCGAGCGCCCGATGCGGTTCTTCTTCTTGGCGAGCTTCGACTTGCGGCGCTCGCGGCCCTTCATCATGCGCCGCTCCTCGTCGGTGTACTCGGTGCCGAGCGCGGGCACGGTGATCAGCTCGATGCCCTCGCCCGTCTCCTTGCCCGCGTACGAGCCAGGCGTATCCGGCGGCGCAGCCGCGTAGCCGCCGTAGTTGCCGCCGTAGGCGTACGACGGCGACGACGGCATCGGCTGGTCGCCCACGACGCGCGGGTCCGACGTCTGCGCGTCAAAGCCAAACGCCGAGGCGTCGAGCAGCGCCGAGCCGCGCGAGTTGCGCGCGTTGCGCGAGCCGCCCTGCGGGCCCCAGTAGCCGTCGCCGGACGGCCGGCCCGCCGAGGCGGCGCCGCCGCCCGCACCCGTCACGCCGGCGATCATGGAGCGCGAGCCGGCGGCGCTGAGCGGCGCGGCGTTGTTAAAGTCGTCGTAGACATTCCAGTCCTCGTCTGCGCCAAGAGCGGCGTCAGCCAGGGCCGGGGTGAGAGGCCGAGAGGTGCGTGGAGAGCGCGGCTCGCAGCCGCATCGGGCGGCGCTACGATGGCCCAGCTGGTGGCCGTGGCAAGGGATGCTGGGAGAGCACGGCTGCATGGCATGCCCCTCGCCTACGCCTCTTCTCGCAGCCTTGCGCCACTGCGCCCCTGTCGCATGTCCTCGGCCCTCATGCACATCTCGCCTCACCACGCTGCGCCCCTGCGCCACTCACCCTCGCTCTCGCTCTCCTCGCGCCACGCCTGCGCCGGCCCGCCGGCGTGCTTGGCCATGCTGCTGCGGCTGGCCGTGCCGGCGCGCGCCTCGTAGTCGCCGGCGTCAAAGGCACGCGCGCCGCTGCTCGTCGAGTAGCGCGGCTGCTGCACGGGCGCGGGCCGCGTCGGCGAGGCGGGCGACGGCGCAGAGGCGTATGCGTCGGCAGCGCTGTAGGACATGGCTGCGGTGATGGGTGGTGGTGAGGAGGAGAGAAGCAGCGCGGCGGATGCAACACCCGGCGGCGTCTGCGCTGCCTGCTGCACCCTGGCACAGCATCAGGTGCGGCTGCGTCCCTCTCGCGCCGTGCCCGCTGCCGCCGCCGATTTCAGATTTCCTCGCCGCCGCGCGCGCCGCGCCGCCGCGCTGCCGCCCCTAGCCTCACGCTACCGCTCGCGTGGCACGAGCAGCCCCCCCTGGCACATCTCGCCGCCGCCGCAGCGCAGCAGCATGTGCGCCTGACAGCGAGGTGAATACGTCGAAATCAGGGCGCAGCGCAGAGGTGCTACGTCGTGTGATCTGAGGCTCCAGTTGCTGGCGAGATGATGGCTGGGCGACATTGAAGCCATGGCTTCGTCTCGGACGCGGAGCCCCGACGCGCCTCGGACGCTGCAACCTCGCTCTCATCGTTCACGCCGCTCGTGCAAGAAGCTGCGACGTCCAGACCGCCTACTCGAGACGCCCTTGGTGCCTGTCCCCAACCACAGCAGCAGGCCCTCTTGAAGACGAGCGTGCCGACGGCGTGCAAGACCAGCTGCCCTCCATGCGTCCTCAGCGCAGCTGCGTGCAAGGTGCTGCACGCGCCTGCACGATGAGAGGCCGGCCTGCGCTGCTCTCACGCGCAGTGCTCCCACGCTCTGTTGGTCAGCTTCCTCCACCTCGCCCTGCTCCGCCTGCCCGAGGCACTTGCCGATGTCAGCCCCTCGCAGCGCACCTCTACTTCCCACTTCCACCTCCCAGCACCCCCTCACTGCAGCTGCATCCTGCATGCGCGGCCTGCCCCGTGCGCCGCCGCGGCCCGCGCTGCTCTGCGTGTGGCCACGCCTCGGCGTGCCGCCGCCATTGCGCCTCGCCTCGAGCTCCTCGCGCGCCGCTGCCTCCAGTAGCGCCGCAGCTGCGCCACCACCAGTCGCACGGCGTCGCGGCACTCGTATCGTCTCGCTGCTCGTCGCCGCCGGGCTGGGCGTGTATGCGACGGACCGCTGGCTGTGGCACCGCGTGCTGGAGCGCAACCTGCGCACGGCGTGGTGTGCGGCGCAGATCGCCGTCGACTACAAGTGAGCATGCTCGAGAGCAACACGGCCAGGAGTACGGGAACGCAGCAGCGGCAATGGCTTCCCTGGTCCTGAATGGGCAGAGCTGCGGGCGATGATGGCAGGCGTTCGCGGAGATGTGCGGTCTTCGCGCTGCAGAGAGGGGCATTCCCTATGAGCATTGCTGACGCCCTGGCAGATTCGTCTGGGACGGCAGCCTCGAGTCGAGCCATGCGCTGCACGAGCGCTGCGCCGCACGCATGCTTGCAACATGCGAGGCAAACGCCGGCCTCTACACCAAGCTGGCACAGGCGCTCGGCAGCCAGGGCGCCGTGCTGCCCAAGCCGTACCTGCAGCTCGCCAAGCTGCTCGACGATGCCGAGCGCATGGACTGGGAGGTGGTGCGCAAGGTCATCGAGAAGGACCGCGGCGCTCCTGTCGAAGAGCTCTTCCACTCCATCGACCACACCCCACTGGCGGCTGCGTCAATAGCGCAGGTGCACGTCGCCCGCCTCAAGACGCCCTCCGGCGAGCCGGGTGCCGCCGTTGCCGTCAAGGTGCAGCGGCCCGAGATCATCGCGCAGGCGGGGTGGGATCTGCTGTGCTTCCGACTGATGCTGCACGTCTACGAGCGCATCTTCGATCTGCCGATGTCGGCGTTCGGCCAGTACATTTCGCAGCAGACGCTCAACGAGACGTCGTTCGTCAAGGAGGCTGCCAACGCCACGGCGCTGCGCAAGGCCGTGGAGAGCGATCCCATGCGCCTCATTCGCGAGACGGTCATGGTGCCGCGCATCTACGAGGAGCTGAGCGGCGAGCAGGTGCTCGTCATGGACTACATCCCTCACGCGGCCAAGATGACGGACGTGAAGCGCATCGAGGAGATGGGGCTCAGTGTCAAGGAGGCGACGCGCAGCGTCTGCGAGGTCTTCTCGAGGTGAGTGGCGTGGCAAGGGCAGCCGAGCTCTGGGCTGACACCTGCGCCGCAGCATGATCTTCCAGTATGGTAAGCCACTTGATGCGCGACCACTGCAGCGTCACTGACCCGTCTCCAGGCCTTGTGCACGCCGATGGACATGCCGGCAACGTGCTGGTCCGTCAGCACCCCAACGGCAAGAAGGGCAAGCACCAGATCGTCATCATCGACCACGGCCTCGTTGTGCGCCTGACCGACGGTATGTGGCGGTGTCGTCTGCACTTCGCGCCGCTTGCTCACGCCTGCTGCAGACTTCCGCAAGCAGTACGCCCAGCTGTGGAAAGGTGAGAAGCAGCGATGAGTGCTCGCTCGCACATGGCTCACCACCTCTCACAGCAATCTACGAGGTCGATATGCGCGGCATGAACCGCATCATGTCGTCCTGGGGCATCGGCGAAGAGGGCTCGGAGCTCTTCGCCAGCGCCACGCTCATGCGCCCGTGGTCGGGCAAGAGCAAGGAGGAGAAGCAGCGGGCGCGCGAGGAGCGCCGCGCCAGCGGCAGGAGCGAGGCCGAGGTGCAGCGCGAGAAGATGAAGAAGTTCCTTGACAACGTCGAGCTTGTGCCCAAGGAGCTCATCTTTGTGGGGCGCAGCATGCGCATCGTACAGGTGCGTGCTCGCGCACTTCGCTCGCCTCGCCTTGCTCACCCTCCACCCAGGCCAACTGCCAGACCGTCGGCTCGCCAGTCAACCGCCTCAACATCCTCGCGCGCCACGCAGCCTCTGCGCTCGTCTCCGAGCAGCACACGACGCTCGCCGACCGCGTCGCGAGCCTCAAGTTCCGCACGGCCCTGCTCGCCATCGACGTGCTCTTCCAGTCGAGCCGCCTCGTGCACTGGGTCGAGCTCTTCTTCAAATACCCGCTCGGCGCGCTCGGCCTCAAGCCGCTGCCGGCAAAGGAGCGCAAGCGCGGCTTCGAGGACGACCTCGCCGCCGGCATGTCCGAGATGGCCGCCGAATTCGGCGTCGAGATCGACGAGGACGCCTTCAATGGGTAGTGCCCGCAAGCACACTCGCATCCTCTCGGATCATGCATACCTCTCCGCCGTCGCCTCGCCTCACATAGACGCCTCATTCCTCGCACTCGCACCAGGGCATAGCGTAACGGGTATCAGTCCGCATGAGTTGGCGTGAGGGCGGTGCGCGTGAAGTGTGTGTTGCGCATGCCGCAGGTCGTGCGAGAGAGGGAGTCCTCGAGTATCGTCATCTAGTGGAGTCAGGAGTCGCGATGAGGTCCGTGCTGTGTTCTGGGTCGTGGATCACGACATGCCGGCGTTCTCCCGGGCGCCCGTCTGCGCGCGCTCAGAGTCGTCCACGACAGCATCGTACAGCAGCTGCGTGCAGAGCTCGTACGCCGGCGGCGTGTGGTCGCGCAGCATGGAGCGCGCAAAGAGCGGCTCTCCGAAGCGTGCGCGCACGTCCTCGCACTCGCGCAGCACCACGCGGTGTGCCTCGCTGCGCTTGGACGACGACTGGCCGGCCTGCATGAACGGCGACGAGGCAGACGTGCCCGACGAGGCAGCCGTGACGTAGACGGCGAAGGCCTCGATGCAGAGCACGCGGCCCGGCGGATACTGTTTCCGCATCAGCAAATGAAGCCGCCTTCCCTTCCGCGGCCACTCACGAGCTTGTCGTTGGACATGTCGGCACGCATCGTCTGCAGCAGGTCCCAGAGCCAGTCCGCCAGCTCCTCGTCCGTCTGTGGATCGGCCTTCTTGCTCTTGTAGCCACCACGTTCCGGCTTCGCGCGCGGCAGCTCTTCTGCCTCGGCATCCTCGCCAGGCTCAGCCGAAAGACGCGGATCGGTGTAGCCGGCCTCAGCTGCTCGATTGCGTGTGCGGCCCTCGGCCAGCTCGCGGAGGTCCAGACGCTGCTCGCGTTCGTGAAGCGGCACATCGGACGGACGCGTGCCAGCGGCGCCGCTGGACTGCTCCGCAAGCAGCTTCGAGCCGCCCGCGTGCTGCCGTTGGTAGAGGCCGATCACGCGCCCGACGATCTCCTGCGCCATCACGCTGTCCTCCTCGCTAAGGCTCTTGGCTACTGCCTTGAGGTCGTGCAAGACGCCAAGCGAGAGCGACGGCACGATGTCGAAGCCGTGCACGAGCGACGTGCAGAGACCCTGGCTCCAGCGCGACAGGTCGGCGCTGAAGACGGCCGGCACGCCGAAGCCAAAGCAGTGGATCGGCCGGCCGGGCGGCAGCCCAGAGTCGAATGAGGTGACAAAAGGCGTCTCGATGGGCGGATGTCGGACGCGCGGCTGCCCGTCTGGCTGCGCAAGACTGCGGTCGTGAAAGACGTGCGCCGGAGAGCTCCACAGGAGCGCCAGGAGCGATGCGACACCGCCGCCGAGCGAGTGACCGGTCAGCACGAGACCGTAGTCCGGTCGAGACTCGAGCGCCTGTCGCAGGGTCTCCAGCACCGTGCTGCCCTTTGCGAGGCGGCGTGCAGAAGCAGCCATGCCCGAGTGCACCTGATACGTGTGCTTCGGATCGCCGCCGTCGACCCAGATGTCCTCCGACAGACACGTCAGGTCCACGAGGATGTCCGAGAGGCCCATCGTGCCGCGGCAGGTGAGCACAATGGCGCGCGAGGCGTCGTCGATCGAGATGAAGTTCACGATCGGCGAGAGGGCCTTGGAGAAGGGCAGGACCCCGCCGCCCTCGGAATAGCTGCTGAGCAGCATGTGCTCGGCGGGGATGCCGACGTGATGACAGCTGCTGGACGCGTCAGCAGTGCGCCTTCGATCTCAGCGCTGCGAACTCACTATGCGTAGACGTTGGGGTGGTGCTGTCGTTGCGTGAACATCACATCGGCCTCGCCGATGCCGAGCAGACGCATGAAGTTCTGGCCGTACGAGGCGCTGGCGTGCCGCATGAAGCGCCGCAGATTCGTGGCCAGCCGCTGCTGCGGAAACGCTCCTGGCGCCCCGTGCGGCCCTTCCGCATGGGCGGACGCCTCGGCGCGCGTTGTGGTGGTGGTGCTGCGCATGTGCGACTGCGACGTGATGGAGCGCACAGAGCTGATGCTCCTTGTGCGTGGACGGCGTGTCTGCGACGAGTCGGGCGGATAGGCGCGAGACTGCGGGTCTGGCGGCGGGCGAGGTGCCGGAGGACGAGGCAGCTCTTTGTGCCGCGAAGGAGCACTTGCTGAACCGGCCGCCGGCACCCCAGTGCGGCGCGATGCGCGCACGGGAATGTCTGGCTGCGCCCGCTCGTTGACGACCCTTCGAGGTGTGCTGGCACCGGACGAAGGGCCGGGAGACTGCAGATTGGAGATCTCCTTGAGGCTCGCGCCCGTTCTGGCCGACACCGCCGAGCGAGAGGCACTCGCACTCGATCCGCCCATGACCGACGATTTTGCCTTTGCAAAAGCTCGCTGGATCCCCTCGGCAAGCTCGCTGCCTGCCGAGGCCGATCGTCCCTGCTCCGTTCGCGCGGACGTCGGCGCATCGCGACGCTCGGTCAGTCCTCGGCGACTAGCCTTGGGCGAGCGAGGCGGAGAGACTTGCGGCGAAGTAGCGGCGGTGCTGGCTCCGGCGTCATCAAAGTCGTGCACGCGACGGACCGTGCGCCGCTTCTGCACCAGCTTGCGGGTGATTGTGCGCAGCGTCATGCGCTGGCGGCTCTCCTCGGGATCCTCGAGCGCCTCTTGCCGCGCGCGCGCCGCAACGCTCTGCTGTCCTTCGCTGCTCGGTGGCAGCGGCAGCGGCTGTCGTTGCTTGTCCTCGTGCAAGAGACGGCGCAGGTTCGTCTCTGCTTCGCCGCCGCCGTGCAGCAAGGCTGCCTGCTGAACGCCACTCGCCGACGCGGAGTGCGAGACCTCCAGCCATTCGTCGTCCTCGTCCTCGGCGCCCACCCTTGGCGAGGTTCGGCTTCGCGAACTGCCCTCCAGCGAGCGGCTGTCGGTCAAGAGCGCGCTGAAGGGATTGGCGAGGCGGCGGCCGAGACGAGAGGCGCCCTGGTCAGGCGCTGCGGCGTCCGCCTTTCCCTTGCGCCGCCGTCTGACCGGCTCCTCGCTGGTCTCGAGCGTCGTTGTCGTCTCGACCACCTCGATCGTCTCGGTGACCACCTCGGACAGCTCTTCGCGACCGCCTCCGCCGGCATAGCGGCGCACGATGCGCCGGGTGTCCTCCGCCGGGGAGTCTAGCGCAACGCCCTCCCGCAGCTCTTCGTCATCCGCGCCACGAACAGCGCGAAGCACTTCCTCCGGCAGCTCGTCACGGCCGGCCACGATGGTGGAGCCTGTGTCGCTCTGCGGCAGCGCAAACGTCTCATTCGGGTCCTCGTCATCCGGAGCGGTGCCGACGAGATACTCGAGGTCTTCCAGTACCGACGCACTGCCGTCGATGCTCGACTGGTACGGCGAGCTGCTGCCGTGCGCGTCGCCGTACTCGACGCTCTCCAGCGCTGTCGGCTCGTCCAAGCCGGCGAAGATGGACTGCGAGCGGCGGACCGTGCTGAAGCCGCTGTGCATGCTGTTGCGCGACATGCGCCTGCTGGATGCATGCGACGCCGACATGTCGGAGCGGCCTCCGAAGTGGCTCGACGCGCGCGGCGGCACACCTAGCGGCGGCGAGCCCATCGGCGAGCTCGATTCGAGCATGCGCGGCTGTGCAGCGGTGCCGCTCTTGGTGAAGTTGCCCGGGCCGACGATCATTGCGGCCCACGACCGTGTCTCTGCAGTGCCCAGCACCGTGCAGTCGTACACGACGCGCATGCGCTGCGCACGCGCCGTGCGCTTGTACGTGGCGTTCTGCAGCACCGCAAACGTGGTGAGTGCCTTCGTGAGCGCCGCGAGGCCCCACCAGCTGCCGCCCGTGTGCGCGGCATACTCGGCATCCTGCGTGAGCTCGCTGCGTACGAGCGTGATGAAGCTGGCAAGCGCCCGGCTCGTCTCGTTGGAGCCAAAGATGCCATCGATCAGCTGCACAGACTCGTCGGCAGCTGCTAGGCCGCCGCGGATGCCTGCGTCGGCGAGATGGAAGCTGCTCATCGCGAGCAGCTCAGCCATGGTGAAGGTCGAATGGATGAGGTAGATGCCGAGGCTGGTGCGCAATGTGAGCGAGCGCACGCGGGGGGCCGTCGAGAACGCGGCTCACCTCGTGTAGCGGTCCAGCACGTTCAGAAACGCATCGCTGTCGCCACTCTGTCAGCAGAGATCGTCATCTCACGTGTGCCACACTCACCCTCCGGTGCTTCGCGCCTCGCCGTTCTCGAAGCTCCACTCGTTGTCACCGCCGCGAATGGCATGCACCGCCCGAGCGGTGCCGACGGCGGTGATGAGCGCCCGGCGAGTCAGGCCGAGGCCCATGCCGGTGCCATGCTTTGCAGCCTCGAGGACAACTTCGATGAGGAATGCGGTGCTCTTCAGCGAGACCCGCGCCAGGATGGAGAGGGCCGAGACGAGCTCAGCGACCTGGGCGGGCAGCAGCGCTGCGGCGAGGGCTCATGAGTACCGCTGCGTGGCACACCCTTCGCCGAACGACTCACTTCTTCCGGCTGCGGCAACGAGACCCCGGTCTGCCTCATGCTTGGCTACGAGTCGCAGCGCGCGCTGCTCCAGCTCGCGGCGCTGCGTCTGGCTGAGCGCGCTCCCGCCGTCTGCAGGCCCGAGCGGCGGCACGGGCGGCGCCCCCTCGACAGGCGTGCTGGGGCCGCTGCCGCCGAAGAGGTAGGGCCGCAGCAGCGCGGCCATTTCGACGAGCGAGGCGGCTCAGCGCAGAGCCGTGGCGTGGCTGCAGATCTCCTCCTCGACGCCCGCCGGCGCGTGCACGGACAGGTGGCGCACTTGCCGCTGCAGCGCCGGCCACGCGGCGTGCGTGCTCTTGCTTGTGCGGACGGCGGCAGGTGCCGGCGGGCGGCGTGTGGAGCAGGGCTTGTGGCGCGCACAGATCTGCGCAGGGCGGTGGTGGTGGTTGGGAGGGAAGCTGGGTGCTTGCGCCAGTTGCGGCCCGATGGCTGCTGGTGTGCTGCTCCTGTCCTGCGGGGCTGCCCAACGGCCCGGCGTTCTACCTCCAGCCGCGCCGCAAGCCGCGGCTCACCTCGGCTGCAACGCGCCTCTCTCGCACGATGCACTGAACTGCACTTGCACCCTGCTCCGGCCGCTGCGCGTGTAGCGCCGCCATCTCGCCGCTCCCCGATCAGGCCCCGAGGTATGCTGTGCCGGCTCTCTCGAGCGAGCGAGCAGCAAGCGGTGCTGGGGCGCGTATGAAAGTGACACGCGCCTCGCGCCGCGGAGCGTGAGAGCAACACCGGCGCCGGCGGACAGCTACGGCTCCGCGGACGCCGCGGCGTGCCGCCTGCGAAAAGAGAGCGGCGGCCCAGATTTTGAGGCGCAGCCGAGGCGAGAAGGATGCGCTGCGCTGCTCGAGCTGCACCGCCGGCATCAGCCTGCTGCTCCCTCACGGCCTGCACCCACCACCACACCGCCCACACCATGCCGTCCAAGCGTGCATACCGCGGGCCCGCCGCATCCTCCACCGCAGCTGCCGCGGCCGCCGCCGCAGTGGGCGGCGCCGCAGCCGGCGCCAAGAAGCGCAGAGGGCCCAAGACGACCATCGACCTGCCGCGCGGCAACCGCGCAAACGGCGCACGCAGCGCACCCGCCGCCGACGGCTCCGACATGGACGAGGACGAGGACGAGGAGATCCGCGCGGCGCTCGAGGCGCAGGAGATGGCCGGCGCTGGCGAGAGCAGTGAGGAGGAGGGCAGCGAGGAGGAGGCCGCAGGGCAGCGGCAGGCCAAGCGGCGCCGCGAGTCAAAGGGCAAGGGCAAGGACGCCGAGCAGGTCGACTTCCTGCTCAACCTGGACAGCCAGGCCATTGGCCGGTGAGTGTAACGACGGAACAGCACGCCCGACAGCTCGCCGCTGCGCGCGCCCCGAACTGACACGCTTCCGTAGCTCACGAGCGGAGATCGCACGCATCGCCAAGGCAGAGCGTGCCGCCGAGCGCTCCGAGCGCAACCACGCTGCACGACAGCGTGCTGAGCGTGCGCAGGCAGCCGAAGAGTCCGACGCGAGCACAGACATGGAGGGCCTGTCCATCGCCAGTGGGTCCGACGTGGCCAGCGGCTCAGACATGAGCTCGCTCGAGTTTGACTCGGACGAGGAGCTCGACTCCGACTCGGACGATGACGCGGCGCCGCGCGCGCCGGTCAAGGAAGTCGACGTCGAGGCAGAGCACGCAGCGCGCATCCGTGTGCAGCAGAAACGCAAGGCGGCCAGCGATGCGGCCCTCAGCGCCGAGCGTGCGAAGCGGCGCCTGCCCGTGCGCGCCGCGGAGGGCTGGCAGTCCGCCTCTGATGTCTCGGGCGACGAGGACGAGAGCACAATCAGTAGTGACGACGCCGATGCAGCGGCCAAGAGCCGCGCTGTGCACGCACCACTGGAGGACGACGAGGAGTCGACGTCGAGCGAGGATGAGGAGGCGAAGAGGAGAGCCGCTCAGCCCACGTCGACCATCACAACCGGCGCACGCTTCGGCATGCTGGCGCCGTACGCCATTCTCGGCCTGCCCAAGCGGTCCGAGCGCGTTGCTGCTGCCCGTGAGCAGATTGCGCGCCTGTCGACGGACATTGTCGGAGACCCCGAGGTGTCGCTCGGCATGCTGCGTCGTCTGGCCGTCTTTGCTGGCCGCGCCGTTTCGGCACCCGAGGACCAGCGCCCCGCCGGCGACGGCAAGGTGCCGAAGCGTCAGGTCGACGATGCCATCCGTGCGGCGGCGATCATGAGCATGTGTGCCGTATTCGTCGATATTCTGCCCGGCTACCGCATCCGTGCGCTCACCGACGCTGAGCAGAAGGAGAAGACCAACCAGGAGACTGCGCGGCGGCGAGAGTGGGAGCAGGGCCTCGTCGACACATACCGGAGCTTCCTGGACATCTGTGACAAGATCCTGCGAGGTGAGCTCCGGAGACTGCCGGGTGTGCGCATGACGCTCACGCGCCCACCTACAGTGAAGATCCCTCTGTCGGCCGTGGCGCTGCGCAGCATGTGCCTGCTGCTCACGCGTGCGACGCACTTCAACTACCGCACGAACCTCATTCGTGCGCTGGTGTCACAGCTCTCGCGCCGCGGCTGGAGCGAAGACAGCGCCGCATGTGCCTCTGCGCTGACAGAGGTCCTGCGGGCCGACCTGCGCGGCGACGTCTCGCTCGAGGTGGTGCGCCTGCTCAACCGCATGATTAAGGAGCGCGGCTACCGCGTCAATGCGCGAGTGCTCGACCTGCTGTTGCATCTTCGGCTGCGCGACGAGCTTGGCGGGCGGCGAGGCGACATGCGCTTCGTGGACCGCAAGGATCCCCGCGATGTCGCCAACGAAGACGCGCGGACTCCCAAGCGCGCCAAGATCGGCAAGGGGAAGGCGACGCCGAAGGAAGTGCGCAAAGGTCTCGGAAAGCACCTGAGCAAGAAGGAAGTCAAGAGCATGCGAGAGCGCAAGGAGATTGAGGCAGAGCTGCGGGAGGCAGACGCAGAGGTCGACGTAGAGGAGCGCACGCGCAACGTGAGTGGGGCGTGCGTTGCGGACCGAGCCATCACTGACACGTCTTGATCAGCAAACCGAGACTCTCAAGCTGCTCTTCGTCCTGTACTTCTCCATCCTCAAGGCTACGTCAGTGCCTGGTCCGCTGCTCGCGTCTGCACTCGAGGGCCTGGCGCGCTTCGCACATCGTATCAACGTGGACTTCTTCCGCGATCTGCTCGCCGTTCTGCGCACGCACGTCGGCGAGGCACTGGCAGTAGCGGAGACGCAGCCTCGCGCCTCGCACGGCGGCGCAGAGCTGCTCAGCGACAACGAAGACGCAGGCGATGACGAGGAAGACGCAGGCACGGCGGCTTGGGGCGCGGACGCCGTAAAGACGCGCAGTCAGCGAAGAAACGGCATGCGCGAGGCACTGCTCTGCCTTGTCACTGCTTTCGAGCTGCTCTCCGGACAGGGCGAGGCGCTCAACATCGACCTGGCTGACATGGCTGCGCACCTCTACGGCATCATGATCCCGCTGAGCCTGTCGCCCACGATTGAGGACGCGCCGGAGCTGCTCTCTGGCGGCCCCAACACCGAAGCTGGCGGCAAGGACAAGGGCGTGCATCTGCTGCGCACTGACGCCGACCTGCTCCTGCGGGCGCTGGAGCTTATTCTGCTCCGGCCTCGCGCTGCGACGCTCTCCTCGGAGCGGACGGCAGCATTCGCCAAGCGCGCCCTTACGTGCGCGCTGCAGCTGCCGCCGGCGACTGCGATCCGGCTGCTCGGCATCGTCCGCGCCTGCGTGGCACGCGACGCCCGCCTCGAGGCATTCCTGGACACGCAAGACCGCGCAAAGGACGGGCGATACGACGCCACGTCAGACGACGTCGATGCCGCTCGACCCCTCGGCGCCGGCGAGGCGGCGTGGGAGCTGCACCTGCTGATGCGGAGCGCGAACGCCGACGTCGCCGCCGAGGCGAAGCGTGTTGCATCTTGGCAGCGGTAGTGACATGGCTGCTCAATGTCACACATGCAACGGTCCTTCCCGACGTGCAGCAAGGGCAAGGCCAGAGCAGGTCTGACTGACACTCGCAGCATCGGCTAGAGGTGATGTCATTCGTCTTCCTCGTCTTCGCCACCCTCACCGCCGTCGCCGCCGCCGCCCGAAGGGCCCGCCGAGTCGCGGCGGCGCTTCTTGCGGTCGGAGCGTGTGGCAATCTTGACGCCCTGCGCCGCCAGCTTCTTCGACAGCTCCGTCGGGTCGTGCATGCCCGGGAAGCGGCGCGGCGAGTAGACGGCTGTTGCGCGATGGTCAGCACCGCGGCTGCGAAGCTGTTCACGGCGCAACTCACTGAACGGCTCGGTGTACGCCTCTGCGAGCGCGTTGGAGACGCCGTCGTTCGTCTGCCCATCCCTGCGCTCTCTCGTGTCAGACCACGCGCGCGTGCTAGCAACGCCGAGCCGTGACTACTCACTGTGCGAGATCCGCGAAGACCAGCTTGATGCGGTACGAGCCCTCTGTGCGCACCGAGAGGTCCTGCAGCACGAAGAAGATGCGGAACACGTCCTGCTCGTCCTTCAAGACGTTGGCGCTGGCCACGGCGGCGCCGACGAGGTTGCGCGTGTACGACTCGGTGGTGATGGTCGTCAGACTGCCGCTGGCCACGCCTGCGGGGTCGAAGTGCTCGCCGGCGTCGCCGCGGCCGTCGGATGAGGAGCGAGAGCGACCGATGTTGAGGGAGCCCAACGACGGCAGGCCACTGGGCGTCACGCCGCCCGAGCCGCCCGAGGAGCCTGCTCCGTCGTGCGGTACTGGGCTCAGCACAGAGGCGGAGAAAGCTGCGCCGTCGGATGCGGAGCCAGCAGGCTGCTGCAGGCTGGAGGCCGGCACCGTCGCCGCGTGGTGATGGACGAGGACGTTGCGCGGCGACGCCATGAGCTCGTCGGGATGGCAGAGATCGGAGGCGAGGAAGAAGAGGGAGGTGTTGACGTCCCTGCAGGAGAAGGTCAGCCAGAAGGCCGGCCGTGGCTGCACACCAACGCTCACCATGGAGGCACGTCTTTGCCGGTGGCCTCGTCTGTGATGATGAGCTTGACGATCAAGGTCGGGCTGAGCGGCCGACGGTCCTGGCAGCAGCACGCGTGGTGAGCTACAGCTCGATGTCGAGCGCATAAGCGGCACACACCTTGTCTCCGAAGCCGCACATGCGTGCCCGGCTGGGATGCTGCACGACCACGAGCCTGTAGCGCCTGCACGATGCCGGTCAGAAGGCGCAGGCAGCAATCTGGCGCGGTGCTCACCATCCGTTCCTGACGCGAGAGATGCCCTCCAGAGCTGCCTTGGGCGCAGTGGACTCAGGCGGCCGAGTCGCAGCCTGGCTGCTGCTGCCAGCGCCGGAGGCTTCGGCGCTCTGCGAGGGCCGCGGCACGGCCGGCATGCCTGTCGGGATCGCAAAGGGAGCGCCCATGCCTGGCGGTGGTGGCATGTAGCCGCCTGCGACGGGCGCCGACCCCTGCCCAACGCCGCCGGGCGCAGAAGCGTACGCTGCGCCCGGCGCTGCGGCACGGCCGCTGCCAGCACTCGTCATCGATGCGGTGCCGTGCGGGCCGTACGGCCCCGGCACGACGTCGCCTCGCGAGCGACGCCTCGGCCCCGTCCCGCCGGCGGTGCTCGGCGACGCGGGCGGCGAGCGACTTGGCTCAGGATAGGGCGCGTACAATGAGCCGCTGCCGGCGCGCCCTCGTGACTGGAATCGTGGCGCCTCCTGGTCAACCCTCGTCTGCTGCGTCACTTCATGCGGCCACTCACCGACGGACCGGGCTGGAGCGAGCGAGCGCCGCTGCTCGACGCCTGAGCGCCTCTGCCGAACTCCTCCCGCGGCGGATAGGGCTGGCCCGGGCCTTGGTACGGCTGGGCGTATCCGCGGAACGCGCCCGCTGCCTCCTGCGCATGCGGAGCACCGCCTGGGCCATGCGCCTGCGGGTACCAGTGGGGAGCGTCGTGTGCAGACGGCGCCTCAGCCGCACCGGCCGGCCGCGCGCCGAGAGAGGCGATGCCCGGCAAGGATGTGCCAGGCCCAGACGAAGGGTGGTGCGGCCGTGCGGAGGCGGGATAGTGCGAGGATGCCTCTCGCGACTCGTCGGGAGCGCCAGCGGCGTCGCCCTGCTGCGCACGAGCAGGAGCGCGCGGAGCGCCGTCGCGGCCGTCGTAGAAGGGCGTGCGGCTCATGTCGCAGGGCAGGCAGGTGAGGAGGCGCCGACGGACCTATGCCAGCATCAGATGCTGAGTGCCTGGCGTAGCGGTGGCCTGACGAGGCGGCTGGTCTGGCGTGCACCTTGAGGGCGAGGGATGGTGTCAGTGGAGTGCAGGGAGAAGGGAGCGGCATATGGCAATGGGACATGGAAGCAAAGAGGAACATCGCCGAGCGGATGCAGTCTGCCCCCTTCGGGCCCCATGGTCGAGCTGGTGCGGACCCGTCTCGGTCGCGTGCGTCGCGGGGACAAAGAGGTGAGCCGCAAGCAGCACAGCTGCAGGTGGATCACCGTCCGTGCGTGGCCTGCCCGGCATTCGCTGTGCTCGCACGCTGCGGCCAGCGCACCAATTTCGTCCCTGAGCTGGCCGTCCACGCGACGACAACATCACAACACGACCGCGAGTGACGCGCGGCGCGCGTCGAGCACAAGGCGGCACGCTGGGAGAGGCCCTAGCTGCCCTTGGTGCTGCTGCCGCGCAACGACGAGTCGGATCGCGCGGCCGGAAAGCGTTCGTCTGCGACGTCGACGCTCCGTGACGCCGTGCCAGGTGCAGGCAGGCCACGCCTTGGCACCTCTGAGGGCGACGGCCGCGCGAGGAGAAGCACTTTGCGGCGAGGACAAGGCACACCACGATGCCGACGCGTGCGAGACGAGACGAGCTCGTGCGGCGGCCTGCCGCGCCCGCAGCCCCTGTCGCTCCTTGGTGCTGCTGCGGCACCGCGACGCGACCGACGAGGTCCGACTGGCGTGCGATGAAGGAGCAGACGTCGCGGCTAGATTGAAGTCTATCCGCGACGGCTGCTTGGCTGACACTCCTCTGGTGCCGCAAGTGTTCGCCGCTGGCGCAAGTCATCGCCGAACAAGAGGGGTACAGACGGCCGCGAGTCGAGAGGCCGGAGACGGAGCTGCCTGCGCGACGCCGTATCGATCGAGAGCTTCGTCGGCCAATATAGCCGCGCCGCGGCAAGCACGCTGGCGAGACGGCAAGCTCTCTGGCCTCGTGGCCAATGGTGACGGCTCGCAGCAGCTCGGCTGGCCACTTGGCTTGCTGCGCTCGCATGCCAGCTGCTGGCAGGAGATGCGGATGGACGTCCTTGCGGCAGATTGTCACGTCGGCGGCAGCGCTCGCGCGCGCGCGGAGCCGGCGCCGGCCGGCGCGTCACGCCCTGAATGCCGAAGCGCCACGGCTCGCACGGACGCGACTTGGCACTTGCACGCGTGTCCTTGCCGAGCAGCCATTGCTGGCGAGCGGCACCGACGTCTGATGCCGCGACTCTGACTGCCGTGAGCGCGGGCAGGATGACTGGCCAGCCGGACGTGCCGACACGCGCCAAAGTGCCGTATCGATGCGGGTGCCGAGCAAGTGCGCCAGCCGAAGCGGGCGAGCGGGACGTGTGGCTGCGGACTGGAGCTCAGCCGCGACTCTGCTTACCTTGGTGTGGGTGGAGCAGCCCGTTGGGGCAGCACCTTGTCGGCGCTTGTCGAGAGCGGCCGGCGAGGCGCGGGAGCACCGCACAGGAGGCCGGACGGGGCGTGCCGGTGCGGGCGGTCGAGGGAGCGGACGGGCTGCAGGCACGGGAGAGGGGACGCCTGTTGGAGGACGGCGCGCCGTGGGCGGTGGAGATGTGGACGTGAAGAGGGCCTCGAGAGGCAAGGGCGAGGCCGAGGAGCGAGAGCGCCCTGGCGTGCTGCTGCTGCGGCGGCGGCGGCGGCGGCGGCCACTCGACTCGCGACCTGTCTGCTGCAACTGGTGCGTCTGGAGCCGAGAAACGGCGCCGAGCACCCAGCATCAGGCGCCCGCAGCAGCGCCAGCCGCAGGCAGCCGCAGGCAGCGAGCATGCGCATGCGCAGCTGCAGCCGTGACATGCGTGGGCGGCGCCCTCGATATGGCCGCCGCGGCCTCCAGCATGCGATGCGATGCGGCGTGCCGAGCCGTCCTGCGCCTCCATCCTCGGCGCTGCAGCGGGCCCGAAAGCAGCGCTGCTGCTGCTGCTGGGGCAAGCGCAAGCATGAGGAGCGAGGGAGGCGCGCTGCCGCTGCTGCAGCATCGCAGCCGCAGCACAGCGCGCCCGCACGCCGTGCAGCCTCCAGCCGCCTCGCCTCGCCTCATGCACGCTCCGGCTCCGGCGCCGGCTGTGCGCCAGGTTGCTGCCATGCCGCGAGCGGCGTGGAGCGGCTGTGGCTGCACGCTGCAGCAGCGGCGAGGCCGCGGGTGCGGGTGCGGCAGCAGCACAGCAGGCAGGCCAGCATGGAGATGCATCTGCGGCGGAGCTCGGAGTCTGAGCCGCTGCCCCTGGGCTGACGCTGGGCGCGCGAGTTCTCCTCTGCTCAAGGCGCCCGCCGCAGCCTGGCAGTCGAGTGGATGCTGCCGCCATGGAGGCCGTGGAGGGGCCGGAGGGCCAAGCTGCGTCGGCTCGGGCGTCGAAATCTGAATTTGCCTCCTCTGCAGCAGCGAGCAGCTGCCCGCTTGTCCAGCGGCTGGCCTGCGCTGCGCTGCTACTGCGGCTGCGGCTGCGGCCACACTGCGCTGCGAGTTGCGACTTGCGAGCGTCAGCAGCGCTGCAGGTGCAGATGCAAGTCTCAGCGCGGCCGCATGGCACCACGCTCTGGGGCGGCAAGCTCGGCCGTAGCCGCCCCCGCCGCCGCAGCGGCCGACGCCTCCTTCTCCGGCCCCGGGCGTTGCGTCAGACGCAGATAGACTCAAAGTCAGCCGGGGCCGCGGGAGCCGACGGCCGTGCGAGCGCCATCATGCATGCGCCGCGGCCCGAGCCGGCGTTGCGCCTCTCAGCAGCCCCAGCAGAGGCAGGAAGAGGCGACCGACGCTCTGCTGCGTCCTCGCCTGAGCTGCCGGCGGCTGCGCGTGTGCCCCCTCCGCTCCTCTCACGTCTGCGCGATGCAGCTGGCGCTCTCGTCTCGCACTCGACTCGTCTCGCATGACGCCAGCGCGGAAGAGACGATCTTCTCGCGCCGGCGCGGCCCAACACGCCCGCCGCTGCATTCCGGGCTGCGGACATGCGTCCGGCTGCGGGAGACGGCACATGTGGCGGCCAAGCCTATGTGGAAGCGAAGGTGCCGTGCTGCACGCTGCATGCTGATGCTGCCCGTCCCGAAAACCACGAGAGTGCGCCGAGAGCGCCCAGTCGGCAGGCCGACGGCTGCATGTTGCTGCCGCTGCTGTGCGGCTTCTGCGCTGACTCGGCCGCCGTTGCGCCTACGGCAGCACGCAGCAGCCTGCAGACACTCCTGCCTGCCCTCGCAGCTGCAGCCGCTCAGAAGGCCCAGTCGCCCATGCAGCAGCAGCATTGAGCGTCGGCAGCAGATTCAGCCTCGGCATCGGCGCCGGCGCTCGGCCCCGGGTGCTGGAGGTCGCCTCCTCCTCGCCGCCCTGCGCACGGCCGCAGCGAGGCCGGCAGCCTCCGCGGACTCACACCATGGCTGCCGCTCCGTCGCGCTTGCCTGGATGCTATGCTGTGTTCTGCCGGCGGCGTGCATCTGCTGCTGCGCTGCATGCTGCAGCAGGTGCATCGCATCTCAGGCGCGCAAGCTAGACCAGCCGGCTGCGGCCGAGGGCGCCTGAGAGATGCTGCCGCTGCGCCCCGCCCAAGCTCCGTGCCCTGGCGTGGCCCGAGAATGTGCAGGTGCGCAACGCCAGTCTCGCCCCTCTGCGCTCTGGCCGCTCGGGGGGCTGCGTATTGCAAAATGGACACATCGTGCATGACTGGTGGCGCCTCCGCGGACGCAGCGCAGCTCGCCAGGCAGCACGTCCTAGGTCCATCGCGGCAGCCTGCGCAGCGTCGCTCAAGGCCGCGTCCGCGATCGCCAATCCAGACCTCACGTCTCCTCGCCCCGCCTGCCTGCCGATGCCGGCTGAACACGGCTGTGCTGCAGCCCTGGCAAGAGCTGAGCTCAGCCCTCGAGTGCACCAGCAGCGTGCTCAGCCGCGACCGCACTGCGGCTCGGCTCGTCGACCTGCTCAGTGCGCGTCCCTCCACCTGCGACGGCAGCCCAGCAAGCGCTGGCCGGTCTCTCGGCGCCTACGCCGAGAGGCGCCGACGGCTCTTGCACGTCAGCGAGCACAACTCCGCTCCCCAAAGCACAGCAGGTTGCGCGGCACACCGGGGCCAGCGTCGATGGGCGAGGCTCAGCGCCGTGTGCGAGCTGCTCTGCGCCGGCGAGAGGGCCGGCGCCCAGGTCGCCGACGCACGCCCGAGCGAGCCCACATGCGGCGTGCCTGGGCACGGCTCCGGCGCTCGCCTCGCTTCTCGCTGCAGCACAGCGACGAGACGGCCGCGGGAGGCATGGCGCACGCATGAGCGCTCGTTGCTGACGGTCCGACGTGCGGTACGGCCCCCGAGGCGCTGGTCCGAGCCTGGCAAGCAAGCATGCAGCGGACGCACCCGGCCAAGGCCCGCCGACTGCATCTGGGGCCGCGTCCATCTTGCAGTGTGCAGCCGGCGCACCGCTCCTCGGGCCAAGGCGACCGCAGCCACCGTCGGCTGCTGCACTTGACTCGCCCGCAGCCGCTCATTTGGAGCGTGCAGCCGACTGGGTGCTGCACCGGCGATGCGGCTCCGGTCTGCATCGGCCAAGCGGCGTGCGGATGCTCCACAGATGCTAGCACGACGAAGCGAAGCAGCGGAATACCTCGCCTCCGCACTGCGCAAGCCAGCGCCATTTCCGCCGTGGCTGGCCTGAGTCCATGCTCGACTTGCCACTCTACTCAGTCTCTTGCAGCTGGGCACGGCGACGAAAGGGCCACCGAGGGCTTTGCAAGTGGCAGCAGTCCCGCGCTGCCCCCCCCCCCCCCCCTGCGCCGCCCCCTGGCGTCACGCTCGCTGTTCAGTGCACTCGCCGTGCTGCTGCAGCACGGCCATGGTGGACGCCCGCCGTCTGCGGTGCTGCATCGCTGGTATCCCGCAGCGCAGAAGGAGTGGTACCTCGCCGTCCAGCGCCCGACGAGCGGAGCAGAGGGCGGATGCAGGTCCCGGAGGCAGGAAAGCAACTGAGGCGCTCCTCATCCCCCAGCCCTGCCGACTCCGACGCTGCGTTGCCCTCGCCCCAGCGCGGCGGCCAGTACCTCGAGTTGGCGCGCAGCTCTACGCTCAAGCCTGCCGTGCGTCTGGCGATCGGTGGCGCCTCGCTGACGCTGCTGCGACCGTAAGTGCGGGGAGCTTCGTGCAGCGGGTGCGATGGCGCCGCCCTTGACAGCGGGAGAAGCGCGCCGCGCCCCTCTCGCGACTAGACTGCTCGTGCAACAGCAGCAGGCAAGCGAGCCACCCCGACCCATTCGGCTCCGAGAAGGGCGGGGCGGCGGCGCCGCGCGTGCCGCAGTTGCATCCCGTCGGACGCAGCGGAGTCTGGTCTGGCGAGGGCAGGAGGCGCGGACGCAACCCGCGGGCTCGCGCAGCGTGCAGAGCCAGAGCCAGAGGGCCGCGCTGCTGCTGCTCTGGTGCTGCGAGAAGCTGGCAGCGTGAGAGGGAGCACGAGGCTCTGGCGCTGATTCAGCGAACATGCTGCACCTCAAAGCCTTGTGCGCTACGTGCGCTACTAGGTGCAGCCCAAGTGAGTGTCGGTGCAGGTGCTGCTGCCTCTCTCGCGGGCAAAGACGGCGCAGCTGCACTGTCCGCCCAGCACCAGTCGAGTCTAGTGACGACTGACGAGCGCAGGCCGCAGCATCAGCAGCCGGCAGCGGTGCTCGCCGTGCAATGGACGTGGCCTTGGCGCTCCAGCTGATGCAGCGTTCAAGGCCGATGTCCGCATCGAAATAGCAACGCCGTGCCCGACGGGCACGGCCGCGTCAGGATGCAGATGCAGACAGAGAGAGGCGCTGTGCTGCGGCGGAGCGTGGCTGCAGCGTCTCGGCTCCGAGGCGCCTCGGAGCCGCGAGCGCCCTCGCGCCCCCGCGCGGCGTCGGTGCGGCGCCGCAGCCCGCACGACGTCGCAGCTCGGCGGCGCATGGGCGGAGCGAGGACAGCGCGACGCCGCCGACTCTGCATCTGGGGCATCGCGCCAGGCGCGGCACACGTCCAAAGCAGGCAGGCAGCTGTCGCTGCTGCATGCTGACACTGCACGCTGTGAAACTCTGACTCGACGTTGAGGCTGCTTTGGCCGCTGCAGCGCGCACAGCGACACGCACGCTGATGCTGCGCGCCGGGCCGCCCGAGGCGCACTCTGCGCATTGACGCATCCTGCAAAGCGTGGGTACGTGGAGCTGCGGCCGTGTCGCGCCGAGGTGTCATGCAGCCGTCGCGGCGATGGCGTCGTCACGTCTCGCCGGGAGGCGCTGGTGCTGGCAGCGCAGGCTGCTGCATGCTGCCCGCTCTGCATGCTGCTGCTGCTGCTGCTGCTGCTGCTGCTGCTGCTGCTGCCGACGATCATCTGTTGGGGAGCGGCAGCCATGTTAGCGCAAGACATGACGCCGCAAAGGCCTGGACCACGCCGCGGCCCTCATCCATCCGCTCTCGGACGGCAAGGACGCTCTCGGACGACACAGAGAAGCGTCAAGGTGTCTCTATTGATGGCTGCGTCGCCGGCGATGCGCATCCGTGCCTGCGGTCAGTGCTTCCTCTGTGCCGAGGTGCCCCACTCCTGCTCGAGCGCGTGCAGGACTGCGCCCTCCACGTCGTCGACGATGATCGTCGGCTGGTGCGCCGGCGGACCCTCGACGTCGCGGAAGACGCCCGTGCGGACGAGTGCAGAGGCCCAGCCGTAGCCATTGGCACCTGGCGCTGGCGTCAGCGAATGCACGCAAGAGCCTCACCGCCGCGTCTCTCTCACCGGCAATGTCAGACGCCGGATTGTCGCCGACCATCCACGTATTCAGCTCGCCAGCCTCGTGGCCCAGCTCAGCGGCGCGGGCGCGCAGCCGCTCGTGCGCATACTCGTACGTGCCCCGCTCGGGCTTGCCAAACGTCGTCGCCACGAGGTCACGGCCCGAAGTGGCCTTGTAGACTGCAGCGACGGCGTGCTGGAAGGCGCCCTGGCCAAAGCGAGAGGCGAGAAAGTCATTGCCCCAGACTGCAGGGTGCCAGCGTGAGCTCAAGCTCTGGCAGCCGCACCACGAGCCACTCACGCAGGTCGCCGTGCGAGAAAAAGAGCGGCACCTGCGGGTGCGTGTCGTCGCCGACATTGCCCACGACGCCGTCGCGGCTGCGCAGCACATCGCACATCAGCTGAATGTCCCGACCCCAGTCGCGCGAATCGTGGAAGACCATGATGGCGGCAAAGTGCACCTGCGAGAAGTCTGCTTGCTGATGCAGTGAAAGGCAAGGCCCACGTCAGCAAGCAGACGTCGAGATGCTCCGGCCCAACTCACCCGCACAGCGCCAGCCTCGTGCCACCTTGGGTCCAGCTTCGCAAAGGGATACACCGGAGGCGCCCAGGCCTGGATGTCCTGCGCCGTGTACACATCGCGGAAGCCATAGCTGCGGCGCGGCGTCGCGTCAGTTGCGCGTCACTGCGGCCGGGCCGACGCCGCACTCACCCTTCCATCACCGCACGGCTGGCACCGGGCACGCCTTCTGGCCCGCCAATCATCAGCACCGGCTTGTCGCCAAAGTCCTGCACCAACGACTGCATCACCGTGTGCGCCTGGATGACCTGCGTTGGCGACACCTGGGGATCGAGAGTCAGCAGCGGGGCAGGCTTCACGCTGGACCTCGATGTGAACATTTACGGCGCCCTAGTGGTGCCTCGGGCACAACTGCTGCACCCTTAGAGCCCTGCTCCGCCCTCTGCCGCGCTTGTAGGGCAGCCCTTCGCCAATCCTGCGCCCCAGTCTTCTACCGCTGTGATGCTCACCGGAACGCCCAGCTCGCGCTGCAGCAGCGCCGCGCGCTCCGTCTCGGACGGCCCGCCGCCGTTGGTGACGTAGACGTAGGGCACGCGCACGGAGCGTGCATTGTTGCCCTCGAGCAGCTGCAGCGCCCGGCGCGCCGGCTCGAGCACCGTGGGCCCGGCCTTGAGCACGCCGTCGATGTCGAAGGCGAATGCGACGCGGCTGGTCGAGGAGCCGGGCGGCGGCGCAGCAGACTGGCGCAGCGTGCGCACGCCGAGGCTGCGCGGCAGCGAGCGGGCCGGCTGGAGGAGCGACATCGGCAGAGGTGCACGAAGAAGTGGAGGCAGGCGCGTGCGGCGGTCCGCGCTGGACGGCTCGCGGGCGCTCTTGTCCGTGGAGGCGCCGCTGAAGCTGGTTTGGCTGCGGCAAAAGCTGACAGCAGCGATGTGGCGCCGGTCAAGGCTGGTGTTGGCTGGTGTAGAGGTGCTTGAGGTCGTCTGGGAAGATGCAGAAGCAACGCGCGCTGCTGGCTTGAGTGAGTTGGCGTGCCGCGAGCGCCGCCGCGCGGCAGGTGCAGCAGCAGATGCAGCGCTCGAGCCATCGCGGCGAGCGCTGCCGGCCGCGCGTCGCCTGGCCTGGCTGGGAGACGCGCGCCGCGCGCACCTCTCCTTCCTTCCACCACGCCACGCCTCACACCACACACACACAGCATGTCGGGCAACACTGCACCGCCTGCAGGCGGCTCCAAGGCGCCAGCCGGCGCAGCACCGGCCGCCGCCGCCACCCAGGCCGCCGAGCCGCTGCCCGCAAACGGCGTGCTCGACGAGGACGACGAGTTTGAGGAGTTCGAGGCGCAGGGTCAGTCGCACCGGCGCAGGCGCACCGCGCCGGGTGTCTGCGTGCCACAGCTCAGCTGCTGACACCTGCTGTCGCCTCCTCAGACTGGCACGACTCAGCCACGTCGCTGGCACATCTGGCAAAGGCCGATGCCGGCGCTGCAAGCGGCGCCAGCATGAGCGGCGACCGCGCCGCCGGCGCCGACCACCTGTGGGAGGACAACTGGGACGACGATGACATCGAGGATGACTTCAGTCTGGCGCTCAGGTGCGTGCGATCAGCCTCGCCAGCAGAGACATGATGGACGGCGCTGGTGCTCGAGAGTGTCGCGCCCTTGGGCGGCGTGATGCTGCCCCGACGGTGTGGCGTCGACGTTGCTGCCGGGGCAGAGCATCAAAAGTTTGGGTCGAGGCAGAGAGACATGGGCCGTTTTATCGCCCGGCTGCTGCTCGCTGCACGGCAAAGAAGTTGGCGGCAGGCTGGACCGCGCCACGACGCTCACGCTTTGGCCCACGCGCTGACGCCCTAGGCCCCCTGCAGGGCCGAGTTGGAGAAGCAGGGCGGCGCACAGGCGATGTCGACGTGAGAATGCGATTCATAGCTGGCACAGATCTGCGTTCGCAACGGACAGAGGTACAACGGTATACACATGGAGGTGAGGGATGGCTAGGACGACACTAGCGCAGCGACTGCATCGGCCTGCCGATCGAGCGCGCCAGCGGCCCTCGCTGCTCTTTGCGCGGGCTGCGAGAGAGGGCCGCCTCGAGCCCCGGCATGTTCTCCTGGTCGCTTCGCGTGCGGCCTGCGCCACGCTTGGCGCGCGGGGACACGGTCGCCGCCGCGGCAGTCTTATGCGGAGTCGATGCGCCCGCGGCCCGCAAAGTCTGCGGCGTGTTCCTCTTGGGCGTGCTGGGTGGCGAGGACCGACGAGGCGTCTCGCCGTTGCTCTCGTGCAGCACTCGCCTTGGCGCACTTGCGGCTTCGCCTTGCGCTTGGTCCTCGCTTGCCTCGTCTGTCCAGCCGCCGTCGGCGGCGCTGGGAAGCTTGGGCAGCGGAGCTTCGAGGCGGAAGCGCATGCGCTCGGTCAGCACGACGACTTCTGGCCACCCGGACTCCACGTCAGTGGCCGGGGAGATGGTGCGAGCGACGTGACTCACTCAGCTGTGCTGGCCGTGCGCCCTGCTTGGCACCTGCTCGCCGCGGCGTACGCTCCGTGCGGGCTGCCTCGAGCGCCACGATGCGCGTTCGCACCGAGGCCGCCCAGGCCTCCGCGTCCTGCGTGCCCGGCAGCGTCCTGGGCGAGAGCCCGACTGGCACGGGCTTGCGGCGCACGCGGCGGGCTGGCGTGGCCACAACGTGCTGGATCGGCGAGCGCGTCGCCGCAGGTGCAGGCGCAAACGCAGGACTCGACAGCGTCTTGACTTGGCCGCTCTCGTTGATGACCTGCCAAGGCGACGCTGGCACCGTGGCTGCGGACGCCTGGTCGCTGCTGGTCAACAAGGCGCCCGGGCTCGCCTGACTGGTGCGCAGCAGCGTGCGGCGACTCGACGGTGTGCGCGGCGGGAGGGAGTCGCGGATGCCTAGCAGCGAAGCAGACGAGCGCCACTTGCTCGACGCAGCACTGCTGCTGCCGACCGGCGACGAGTGCCGCGTCATGACAGACGTCGTCGACAGGAAAGACATCATCGAGCGCCGCTTGCTCTGCCGCTGAAGCACCGAGGGCTCGCCGGGATGAGCCTCCGGCGCGTCTTCGTGTACCCATGAGGCCTCCTCGCCGTCTGCCCGAGGCAGCTCAGCGGCCGCCGCCGTCTCGCTTTGCCGCGCGTGGATCGGCGACGGTGCGGCCAGGGGCAGCGGTGGCGGCGACGAGGCCCAGAAGGACGTGTTGAGACCCACGGCGCGCGCCGGAGTGGCAATGGTGCTGTCGCTCCTCGTCGACATGGTCCGCGTCCGGTGTGCCAGCTCGCAGAGCGGCACGACGACACGCGGCATCGGCTCTTCGACATGCGCCCAGCCAAATGAGGTCGACGAAGGCGTGCTGGGCGGCTGGTTGCTGGCCTGAGAGACTTCGGTGAGGCTGGAGGCGGGAGCTGCGTCTGCTCGGCGCGGGCTGGAGGAGGCGAGTCTACCTCGACTGGTGACAGGCGCGCTGATGACGCAACGATCGGCATCGCCGAGCGGGCCGTGAGCATGCTCGCTTGTCCACACGCTGCTCAGACTGCTCTGCTGGCGCTGATGCTGGCCGCCGCGCCAGATCTGGTCCAGACTTGCGTTGACATGCGCGTCCCAGCTGGCGCTTGCATGGCCGGTCAGATCCTCTGTCACCTCGTCGAGCGTCTCAAGAGGCAGCGCAGGGTAGAGGTGGCGATGCAGCGTGAGCGGATCCATGGCGATGGAACCGAATGCATCCTCGCTGAGGATCTCGGCCGGCGTCGCGACTCCTTCGTCGACCCCGCCGAAGCCGGACAGGGACAGCGACGCCTCGATGTCAGCCATGAGCTGCTCGGCGTCGAGGGCCTCTGCGTCCTCGGCGACGCGCTCGAGGGCTAGGACATTGTCGGGCGTGTCTTCATGTGCAGACTCGGACTCCACGTGCGCCTCGCTGCGGAACGTGTTGTCGGGCGAGATGACGATGTCCTCGTCGAGCGTGAACGACGAGGACAGGATGCTTGCTCCCGTCTCGCGTCGAGAGTTGGCGTCGCTGGACCGGTTGGGCGACATTTCGGCCGCGGATCTCTCACCCGCGAGCGCGTCGCTGATGAACTGGTCGAAGCCCATCTCCGAGCCGAGACTGCGGCGTCTCTGCTGCTTGGCCGCGACATCGGAGCACGAGACGTCGTGGCGCTTCGATCGCGATGCTGACTCGGGAGCGGGGCTTGCGCGCACCATGCCCATGTGACCAGCAAGCGAGCGCTTGACATCAGAGAGCCCGCCAGGAGCGGTGCGGTCTGGGAGATCTGGGGTCGTCGAGCTCTCCTGTACGGGAGTGCTGCCCTTCGCGGGATGCGAGGGCGAGTGCTGTTCGGCGACGGGCGTGGTGCAGCCGCTCCTCGGTCGCGACACCGGATCGACACGGATGGACGTGAGTGCAGACGATTCCTCAAGAGCATAGACGGGTGGCCGCGTGAAATCGACCAGCTCGACCGGCATGAACACGTGCGAGGAGGCCACGGGCAGGCTGCTCTCGCGGGAGTGCGACCGCGCCGGCGAGAAACGCGATGTCAACGAGCCCGGGTGGGCGTAGTGAAGGCTCAGACTGCTGCCCCTTCCGCTCGAATGTGACCGCGGGCTCGACGAAGCAGCTCTTGCTGACAGCGGAGAGGGGCTTGAGGAGACCTCGAGGCGAAGCACGGACGCACGACGACGCAGAAAGCTCTCGGACAGCACGGCTGCGCTGTATCCTGCGGGCTCGTCGTCGGCTTCGCCATCAGCGTCGTCGTCTTGCATGCCGTCTTGAGCGCTCGAGAAGCTGTCGTCGCCCAGCGAATCGCTGGAAAGCTCATCGGCGGTCTGAGTAGGGAGCCGCGAGTGGCCTTCCACCGCTGCTTGCTCGTACGTGTCGCAAGTGTCTGAGCCACTGCGGACATCGGGGCCGTAGTGCCCGTCGTTCGGCAGCGCTTGACACTCAGCGGTCGAGAAGGGACGCCATGTGGGCGAAGCAGCTTGTTGCCGACTGGGCAAAGGTCAGCTGGGCAATCCGGGTTCGATTGGGCAGACGTGGCTCACCGATGCGCTTCATATTCATCCACGAGGGTGCGCTCATCGTCGTCGGCGATGCGCACGTTGGGGCCGATGCGAATGCCGGGGACGAGCTTCGGCAGCAGCATGGCGCTGAGTCCGTCGAGCAGGAAGCTCGAGTGCCGCCGCAGCGAGCGCGCCACTGACTGTCTCAGGTCATCGGGGAAGCGTCCAGGTGGCTGAGGAGTGCTGCCCACAGCCCTCGCCGGGCTTGCGTCGTTCGCAGCGCAGTCGCCAGCTGCGCCAGCCTGCTGCCAATCGTCCGCTGCACCGTCGTCGGTAGCGTTGGCGCAGTAGTCGTCTCGTGGCCTCGACCCAAGGCTGGATCCGCGCGAAGAAGGTGGCAGCACCTCGAGCCGCGGGTGCGGCGCCCAGAGCAAGCTGGCGATGCGGCGGTACGCAGGTCTGGACTCGACGACCTGGTCTCCCACGACTGTCTGCGCGCGCCAGTGCTGAGGCTCATACGCGACACTGCCGACAGCGGGCGCCTCGGCCAGCAGCGGTGCTGAGCGTCGCCGCGTCGTCGCGAGCCGCGGGTCTGATGCACGGCGCTGATGCTCGAGGATGTGAGATGCACGGCCCACAGCACGCGTGTTGTCGAGAGGCGTGCCAGGGCCGGTGATCTGGGCCATGCGTGCTGAGAGAGGCGTGGGAGGGTACGCGCCCGCCATCAGAGGCACATCGTAGCCGTTGAAGCCGCCAAACCCGTTGCCCGCGACCGGCGCAGGTTCAGCGTTGAGGTGCAGCGGACGGAGCTTGCTGAAGGACTCCGGCGTCGGCTTCGGGCAGATCGGCATCGAGCTGGCGAGCGTGTCGCCGAACGTGAAGCCTGATCCGTCGGTCAGAAGCATCTGCAGGGCGATGAGAGGACCTGTCCGGGCGGCGAGTCAGTCTTTGCCTGAGCGGGCGTGCGGGACGGACCTCACCCGTGAGTGTGACAGCCAGCGCAAGTAGCAGGTGGAGGATGTACGGCGCGGGTCGGCTTGCGGGTTCGATCAGCGCGAAGACGATGTACGGCAGTGCTAGGCCCTGTGGGTCAAAGATGAGCTCCTGCGCGGCCGCACTAGCTTACTCGCGGCTCTGAACTCACGAAGGGAAGTAGGACACCGGCCAGATAGCCACCGATGCGCACAAGTGCCCGCCGAGCCTCCGCCTCGCTCAGGCGCTCCTGGTCGTCGGCATGAAGAGCCGAGACAGCACCCTTGTTCAGCATGCGTGCCTCGGCGGCATGTGCAGCCTCGATGGCAGCCCACACGGCGCCGCTGGCGCCGAGAAGATCCTCTCCGCCGCCTTGCACGCAATGCTCGATGCGTGGCGGCACACCGCCCGACAGGAAGCTGCGCAGCGACCGCACAGTCACGTAGCCAGGCTCGTGCGTCTCGAGTGCCGTGCGCATCCGGCTGCGTGTGCCGCTGCGCGACGTCGAGGGCGGAGCAGCGAACGAGACTGGCGTCATAGACCTCGCGGGCGTGTCTGCAGCCGTCAAGCTGCGCGACGCATCTGGGCTGCCGCTGCTCGTGCCAAAGGTGCCGTCGAACTGCGTGTAGGTGTGCGGCACCGGGGCGCCCGCGAAGGACTTGGCTGAGCCGGCGGAGCGTCGGCCCCTGGTTGCGCCGACTGGATGGTACGAAGCGTCCAGGTCGAGGTAGCTGATGTCGCCTCCCTTCTCCGGCGAGCGCAGACGGTCATCGATGAAAGCCGAGAGGCTGGGACTGGGCGGCGGCGGCGAAGAGCGCTGCGTCTGTCCGAATGCCCCACGATCGTCTGCGGGCAGCAACGCATCGCCACTGCTCTGCGCCGCCCAATGGTGGTAAAAGCCCGTCGTCGCCAGTTCCGAGGTTGCAGCTGTCGGTGCCGCGCCTGCATGATCGCCTTGCGGATGGGTACCTGCCCCGGCACTCGCGCGGCGCTGAGAAATAGCGACGGGTATGCGTGAGCTACCGCTGGGCCTGCGAGAGTTGGCCGAGCCACGCATGCTGTTCGGCCCGACTGGGACGAGCAGGTGGGGGAGAGCTTGCCGGCTCCCGGCCTCGTCGCGCGCAGTGTCGAAGCCGTAGGCGTCCATGCTCGAAGGCACCGCGCTAGCTCCCGTGCCATGCGTGTTGATCGTGAGTCCCGTCGCCGCCTGGTGCCGTGGCAGCGCGGCCTTTGGAAAGCCGCCATCGACTTCAGACCGGCGGCGTCCGAACGTGTCGAGCTCTTCCTGCGATGCCTTGAGGGCGCCAAACTCGGTCATTGCGCCGGCGGAGCGCGGCCACGCGAGCTTGTCATACTGAGAAGCGCCCAGCACGAGCGGCCGTGGGACGGGCTGGAAGTCGAACGGCGTGCGCTTGCCTGCGGCGCGAGGACTGGCGCTCGACTGCTGCGCACGGCGGGCCAGCACTCGGGCGGTCCAGACCGAGATGCCCAAGGAGATGAACGCGACCGAGGCGCTGAGCACGAGGGCACTCCAGAAGACGAGGAGCAGAGCGCACGCCGTGCGCGGCGAGACTTGAGCCAGACCGTAGATTGTCGCAGACAGCGCAGCGGCCACGAACACGGCCGCCGCGATGAGGCGGTGATCGAAGCGTCCGAGCGCAGGCGAGTGGCCAAGGGTGATGCGCGACCACGACGAGGCTGCGAGCAAGGAGAGAAGCACCGGTCGCAGAAGGACGGAGACGGAGAGGAGCGCCGCGTCTGACGATCCGCCGGCGCCGAGGAGATTTGAGGCAAGACTGTCGATCTTCATCGAGTACACGATGCTGCGCGAGAGACTCAGCACAGCACACAGGTGCAGTACGAGCATGACACTCACAAGATGGCCAGACTGGCCTGGTCTGCGAAGGCAACGTACGCCAGGAGCCGCTGCGCGGAGTGCAGCCGGGGCCGCGCCACGCTGCGGTCTGCTGCGTCGAGACCCTCGCGCTGCCAGGGACTCGAGGCGCGCTCGACCAGCGTGATACTGCTGCGGGCGGTCTCGCCGCTGGCGCGGACGTTGGAGAGACGCGCGGACGTGGGTGTGGTGGTGCTGAGAGGATGGGCGGGCAGCGAGGGCAGGAGGATGCGCAGCAGCACGAAGATGGTGCAGAGCAGCGAGACGAGCGCCAGGGCGAGCGTCGGGATGAGCGTGGCTGTCAGCATGGTGGCGAGCAGACTGCGCGGTCAGTGTCAAGAGAAGAGAGGTGCTCGGATGGTGTTGCACAAGGCGCGCACACGGGCCGCAGTTGCGCATCTGCGGCAGCGACGGTGCCGCTCGGGCTGCCACCTTCGCCTAGAAAGCAGAGCAACACAACACACCACTTTGTCTCGCGCAGATGAAGAAGCCAGCTGATCGAGTGCTGCGCGCCGCGGCGTCCCTGCCGCAGCGCGCTCAGGGGGCTGGCCGGCCCAGGAGCAGGCACGGCGCGCGGAAGGCGCATCGCGCGGAAGGCTGTGTGCGCCGTGCGCAGCGGCGTGAGCCTGCCCGCGCGCGGCTGAGCTAGACACGAGCGAGAGAACGAAGAGACGTGCCGCGATGAGGCCGTGCTTGTGTGCATTCCGTAGCAGTGCGAAGCTTTGCTGTGATGGGCGCACTTCAGGTTGAGGTGGGAGTCAGGCAGCGCAACCGCAGCGCGCACGGCAAGGCGGCCGCGGGCGCCTCGCGCGCACAGATGAGAGCACAGGGACCATGGGGAGCGGCGCGGCGACGCATGACGTAACGCCGCGCCTCGTCGCGGCGCCTCGCCAGCCGCCAGCCGCCAGCGCGCGCACAGGCATCTCCCTGCGCGCCGTGCACCCTTGCTTCCCCCCCACCACCACCCTCGTTGCCTCTCTCATCATGCGCGCCTCCGCCCTCCGTCTGCTCAAGGCCGTGCCCGGCGCACGTCCCATGCCCGGCCCCACGCACGCCTCGCGCACGTCGCCCGCGACGGGCAAGGGCGCGCTGCACCAGCACCCGGGCTACACGCGTGCCGACGAGCCCATCACCAGCAAGGATCCCAGCCAGATGAGCGCGCCGCCTGAGGGGAGTGCCGGGAGTAGGTGAGTGCAGAGTGAAAGAGGTGGAGATGAGATGAGATGCTGATGAGATGATGCAGCGTGGCCATGCACGGTAGCACGACGTCGGCGCCGCACCCCGAGGCGGCGACGATGGCCGAGGGCGCAAAGATGTGAGTACCGTGGGCTACGTGAGGCGCTGAGTGTGGGCGGCGCCAAGGAGATAGAGGACGAGGTTGCATGCTGCTCCTCGCAGATTGCAGTGGCAGAGCTAGTGAGCGCGACTCGATCGAAGACGAGCCAAGAAGCTTGAGAGATGCGAGCTGGAGAGACAGACGAAGGCAGGCTTGCGGCAGATCCGTCGCGCTCACTTTGATATGGACCAGGCGCGAGCGCTAGAACTCGAGGACATGCCTGTCTTTGAGCTCTAGCGCTCGCGTGTGGCTCGCGTCAAAGTAAGTGCGACGCATCATGTTGCCAGCTGCCTTCGTCTACCTGACGGCTCCTTCGGTCGCGAGAGCCAGCTGGGAGAGGAGGTCCAAGGGACCCTTTGCCATGCCATCCTCGTCGTTGTCCTCTCTGCTCCAGCGCATCAGACTCCGAGCGCTGTGCTCACGCTGGTTGCGCGCAAGATGTCCTTGCTTTCGCCGCTGCGGACGCAGGACATCTCGCGCGCGGTCGGCCTATACGCTGCGTTCCAGAGATGAGCGCTGTGAACAGTGGACAGCGTGCGGAGATCGGCGAGGCAGTAGCAAGCTTGTCTTGCTCGCTCGATGAGGGCGCGACGGGGGCACATGGCACGCTCTGCCTGCCTCTCACTCCTCTCGAGCTTCTCCTTCTCAGCGCGTCATGCGGGACCGGCACAACTTGAGAGCCCTGCCAAAGATTCTGCTTCGGCATGGCGGTCGAGTTGCGCCGGGAACGACTGACGCGCTGAGAAGGCCAAGCGGGCGACGAGGAACAAGCGGCGCGCTGGCGTGCTTGTCGGCCCTCTCATCTCCTCATCGCTTGCTCTTCATGGCGCATCGTGCTTGGAGAAAGTGGACTCGAGTGGTTCGTCGAAGATTCTCTTCGATGAATCACTGCGTGTCCATTTCTACGTGCACGCTGCGCTGTGGAGAAGCGGGCGATGCGGGGGAGATGGGCGACGCTAGTCTCCCTGCGAGGGATGCAGAAGCGGCTGCGCAACATGCTTTCTCGCATCCGGAGCGCTCGGAGCTTCCGAGCGCTGCTCCGAGCGCTCCGGATGCGAGAAAGCATGATGCGTTGCTGCTTCTGCCTCGCTTGCAAAGAATCACCGCTACCTCCCCATCCGTCAGCGCCAGGCGGAGCGCTACTAGCGCTCCCATCCTTCCCTGCGGCTGAGGGAGGAGCGGTGCAACTCGTCGACCTTGCGCAAGGATCTTGCGCAAGGTCCTCGAGTTGCCTGTTCTCGTTCAGCTGCAGCGAAGGATGAGAGCACGAAGCAGCGATAGATGCGCCTCTTCTCTCAGCAATTCATGCAGAAGGACCTGTGCGGCGAGCTTGTTCCTTGACTCAGAGCCCTTGGATGCCTCCGAGCAGCTCTGAGTCAAAGGAGGAGAGGATTCGACGCAGAGCTTTCTCTGCATGGATGGCTGAGGACACTGCAGCTTCTCGCGACCACCTTCCTGCCCGCCGTTCCCCGCGTCCTTGTTTCGTCGCTCTTCAACTCGCAGTTCTTGCGCAAGCATGCTCTTGCGCAACAGCGGCGAGTTGAATGATGGCGCACGTGGACGCGGCGAAGGATGGGGAGGAGCGTGCTGGATTCTCATCTCCTCAACTGTCCGATGGTGCAAAGAGAAGCCCTTCGACAAGCACAAGCATACGTCTCGGCTCTGAGCACTTGGATACCTCCGAGCAGCTCCGAGGCAAGGAGTTTGTCGAAGAGCTTCTCTCTGCTATTCGAGCATGGAGTTATGGCTGCTTGCTAGTCCTCATCGTCGCGCTCCTCCTCTCGTTCTCCGCGGCCCTTCGTCATCTTTCAACTCGCAGAGCTTGCGGAAGAGTCTCTTCCGCAACGCTCTCTGAGTTGAGGGATGACGAGCGGAGCCGGGAAATGATGGAAGGAGCGCTTCTCTTCATCCGTCCAATCGTGCAGCGAGGCGTTCCTCAACGAGCTCTCGCCTCGACTTGTAGCCGTGCGCTACGAATCGAGAGACAAGCTCGTTGAGGGAGTCTTGCTGCACGGACGGAAGGCCGAAGCGTCGAGGAGATGGTGCTCTGCTTGCTGCTCTGCTCGACGCTCTCTTCTTCAGTGTGTCCTTCGCCCTGGCCAAATTCGCAGGCTTGCCGAAGATTCTCTTCGGCCAAGTTGCGAGCTTGGACGTGGCGCGGAGTGTACTGAGGGAGAGAGTGCCGAGAGCCCTCGCGGAGGAGCGCAACGTGAACGTCTCCTGTGTTCTCCTCTTCTAGCCGTCTCAGCCCCTCGTCTTCCCTCATGCCGTTCCCTTGCTGCTCAAGCGCCGTTCAAAGCGTGGAGCTGACGCACTCCCTCCTCTCCTACCCACGACACACACTATGTGCCCTCAGTGGAGGCGCAGATGCCGTCACGCCCGAGGAGCGCTCCACGACGGGCTGGGGCCCCAACCGTCGTTCTTCGCAGTTCAACGAGCACGGTGAGTGTCTGCCTTTGTATCTCCTCAGGCTCGGCCTTGCTGCCTTACGCGCATTGCGTGCCTCCCTTCGTCCTCGAGAGCGGGAGGAGAGCTGATGCATGCTATATGCTGACCTTCGCCTTCGCGCGCAGAGGGAAAGCGTCGCCCAGTCATCGATGGCGGCTCAAACGAGGGCGGCAAGAAGGCCGATGGCAGCAGCCGGACGTGAGCTTGCCTTTCTCTCCCCTCTCCATCCTTCTCCGCACCGGTTCGAAGGGCAGTGGCACGTTCTGCAAAGGCTTGCATCGGGCCAAGGGGAAGGGGGAGGAGACAGGTCCGCACTCTCTCTCCCCGCTCTCAGCCCACTTCTCCCCGTCTGTTCTCGTCTGCGCAATATCAGAGCATTGAAACGCATCCGTCCCCTTTCGCAGTGTCTCCTCTTCAAGGTCCTCTTCCTCTTCCGCCTCCTCCACCTCCGCCTCCTCCTTGTCTGCTCCGTCGCCGCCGCGTCGGCGCAAGCTGCCCGACCTGCCCGGCGGCACGCTGGAGCACTTCCTGATGCGCAACCGCGGCATCTCGCTCTACCGCAGCTTCCTGCGCGCCACGCGCAACATCCCCAACCCGCAGGCGCGCTTCGAGACGGTGCAGTGGCTGCGCGATGACTTCGAGAGAGCCAGAGGAGTCACTGATCTGGTGCGTCCCGCCCGCCCGCCCGCCTTGGCACCCCTTCGCGCCGCCGCCTTCTCCTGCTGATGCTGCCCCGCCGCACAGCAAAAGCTGCATGACCTCCTGATGGGCGGCCACGTGCAGCTGAAGCGCATGCACGGCCCCATGGAGCTCGTCTCGGCCTCGGAGGTCGGCGGGCCCGCACACGGCTCGTTTGCGCCGTTGCGGGGAGCGCGGAGCTTCAAGTGAAGGGAGCGCGAGGGACGTCAAGCTAGGAGCAGTAGAGACGGAGAGCGGAGAGCGTGAATCGTTGCTAATTGCATTGAGCCGTATCTTCGTGAGCGTGAGGGTATGGCAGACCGAGCGAGGCAGAGTGCGAGGGCGCCGGGAGAGAGGCGACCATGAAATGTGAGGGGAGCGAGGTCGAGAACGTGGCAATGTGCGGTGGCCGCGAGGAGAAGCTGTAGGATTGATCGCAAGGTCTTGACGTCGACGCAAGACGTGGAGGGGAAAGGCGGTCTATCTGCGTTTGCCAACGAGTGCGGCCAACAGATCTCCCGCACTCTCCTCTGCGACGACGTCCTCCTCTTCCTCCTGCCCGTCGCCCATCTCGGTCTCCTCCGCCAGGCGCGCAAGAAGCCTCTCTACGTCCTCGCGACTCTTGGCTGCCGCGCCTCCTGCCGTTTCGGCCTGTGCCGCTCCGTCCGCATCGTTCGACGACGACGCCGCGGCGCTGCTGGACGAGGCGCCCGTGTTGGAGAGAGAGCGCTGTGCTTGCAGCGCATTTGCGGCGCGAAGAGAGATGGCGCTTACGTAGCGAGAGGCAAGGGCGGAGAGCTGGACGTAGGAATGAGAGAGCGAGTGCAGCCGATCCACCTGAAGGCACAAGGGTCAGCTTTCCACAGCGCCAAAGCAAGGGAGAGAGCAGCAGCAGCAGCAGCAGCAGCAGCAGCAAAACTCACGTTGAACTCGAGCTCTCCAAACCTCGCATCTCTTTGCGTGCCCTCCACCTCCTCCGTCGACGAGCTCGACGACGACGCAGCCAAACGCCGAATCTCGGCTTCCACAGCCTTGACTTGCTCACTGATCTGCGTCGCGCCGCTCTTCGATCGTTTGCGTTCCTCAAGCCATGCTGCCTCACTCGCCAACGTCTTGTTGGCCAAGTTCCACGCTTCCTGCGCTTCGCCATCCAGGTCCGTCTCTTGCCACTCCTCCTCGTGCGTCGAGTCGGCAGAGTCGAGCGAGGAGAGAAGCCTGGCAGTCTCGGCCTCGAAAGCCTCGATCGAGCGTTCTTCGGCTTCCCAGCGTGACACCTCACGCGCCATGCTGCCTACCACTCCTTCCAGACGAGTGGCGCTTGCAGCATTCGTGACGTTGCGCGGATGCACAGTGGCGCTCGAGTAACTCGTCTTGAGAGGAGGGAGATCTGTCAGCGCGACCATGCTGTGTGACGGCCGCAGAGGACGAGGCAACTCACCCGTGCGCGCGTATTCCAGTCGACGTCAATCCTGCCCCTCTCAAGCTCCTCCAGCGTCTCCTCCATGACCTTCTCCAACACGCTCTCCATTCCCTTGACCTTCTCCCTCTCCTCCTCCTTCATCCCGACCTTCTTCTTTCCCTTTCCCACCTCCCACTCTCCGCGCTTCGCCTTCTCCACGCCGCGTCGCAGAATCCACGACACGAGGGTGCGCATGCGCTGCGCGTCCGCGAGCGACGTCGAGGCATGCCGAAAGAGCTCGGAAAAGGGCACGGACTCGTGTGGGTGCGCCATTGCGCCGTTGGAGAGCGACGACACTCGACGTGTAGTCTTGAGGCCCATTGAATCTCGACGTCGATGCTTCGGCGCCGCACTACTGGGCTCACTACTGCCTTCGCCCACTCGTGCGGCTGTGGAGGAGGAAGAGGCAGCAGCGCTGGAGCCGAGACCGGCGCGCAGTGCTTGATTGCGACGAATGATGGGCGTCTCTTCCTCCATCGGCATGGGCTCCATGCGAGTGCGAGACGTGAAGCGAGAGGCATCACCGGCGGAAGCTGCGTCGGAAGAAGGCGGTGCGCCGAGAGCACCGGGAATGCCGCGCCGAGACGAGGAGGTGCTCTTTGATGGAGGCGCGAGAGCTGCATTAGAGCCGATGGCGGCAGGCGCAGAAGGAGCGGTGCGAGAAAAGATGAAGTCGTCTTCGCCTTTCTCTTCGCCGTACGCTAGGTGAGAGAGAATCAGCACCTGCGACGCGCGACACAACAGCGGCTGAGCATGATCGATGTGCGGAAGAAGCGCTGTCGATGCGCAGGGCACAGAGCAACACGCCCTCTGGCCTGCCCGAGCAAGGTCCGGCTGCAGAGGCGAGCCGGGCTGCCTCTCTCGTCGCCCGGGCAGCGCCAGCACCCGACCCTCTCTTTCTCTCTCCTCGCCCATCTCTCGCGGGCCGACAGCATGCACTGCCCGCATCCGCGCTCCGCATCCGTCCTGTGCTCTCGCGCAGCGCATGCGACACTCACTTTTCCTCGGTCTCCTGACCGTCGCCTTCTCCTTGCGCGCCGGCTCCTCAGCCTTTCTCTTCGCCGGCGCCGCAGCCGGCCGTTTTGGCGCTTCCTTGTGCACGTGATGCACAAAGTCGCTCTGCCCGCCTACGTCTCGCGTCTCGTCGCCGGCACCGGCGAGGATGTCCTCGAAGCGGCGCTCCTTGCCCGCGCCGGCGCGGCGGCGCGTAGATGTTGCCGGCAGCGCGCCGGGCGAGGAGCGCGAGCCCGAGGCGGACGCCGCAGACGACGGGCCAGAAGAGGAGAGCGTGGCGGAGAGACGGGTGCTGCGTCGCGACATGGTGGGCGTGTGCAGGCGCCCGCGGACGAGGCGGCGCGCGCGAGAGAGGAGGGCGAGGGGTATGAGATGGAGGCGGTGGGGAAGCAAGGCCAAGGCGCGCGCCGACGCGTCGCGTGTTGCTCCGCCAGCCGCGCCGCCGCCGCCGCTCCCACCACACGCCCGCGCGGCGCCATGCATCGCCGCCTCGTGCGCACAGCACTCGGCACCTCGCCGTCATAAGCTCGCCATGCCCAGCCACTTCGCCTCAGCCGGCCGCCATGCGCCTCACATGCTGCCACTCAGTGGCCCCGCGCACCGGCGGCCCGATGGCGGGCGCCCCGGGCAAGCGCGCCGCGTGCACGTGACCACGCCGTCCGAGCGCTGCTCCCACGCATCTCTCGCCCGCCGCACCGGCCGCGGCGCCGCTGAATAAGCGCGTGGCGTGGGTCCTCGAGTGGGCCTCTCGCCTCTCAAGCATCGCTCGAGCCGCTCGCTCCGCCCTCTTCTCCACGTCAACCCCCATCACACATCCCGCACGATGGCCTCTCGTCTGCTCTCCCGCTCCCTGCCCGCACTGCGCCGCGCAGCGGCAGGCCCCAGCGCGCTGCCCGCCGCCGTCGGCGCCACGCGCAGCTATGTCGCACCCACGCCGCCCGCGCACCTCGCCACGCACACGCCGACGCCCATCGAGGAGGTCAAGCCCGTGGTGCAGAGCCGCGGAAGCGCCCAGAGACGCTCGCCTGGTAAGTCGACGTGCGCGAGAGTGGGAGGCTGGGGTGTGAGGGAAGAGCGAGAGTGGAACGGATAGCGCATGGAAAGACGCCGGTGCGGAGATAGGCATGGCGCGCACCGACGCAAGGCAGCACGGAGAGCGAGATACGGTCGCTGCGCCATCACGCTGCTGGAATCTGCGCGACGGCTGTGGCCGCTATGCGTCTCTTGCGGCACCATGCCAATGGCCGCATCTGGCGGCACGTATAGGTGGCACAGGACTCGCCGCTCGCTTCGCGCCACTGCGGGCGCGGCTCGCTGCAGCGACCAGCATCTGCCTGTCCCGCAGTCACTCATGAGCTGCTTCACAGACTTCGATGCGATTCTGCAGACGGCCTCAGTCGGCGACTCGGCCACGCGTCCCATCTATCTCGATGCGCAGTCCACCACTCCCGTCGACCCTCGGGTGCTCGACGCCATGCTTCCCTTCCTCACCAACCAGTACGGCAATCCTCACTCCAAGACGCACGCCTACGGCTGGGAGTCGGAAGCGGCCGTCGAGACTGCGCGCGCCCACATTGGTGCGCTCATCGGAGCCGACGCAAAGGAGATGATCCTCACGTCCGGTGCCACGGAGAGCAACAACATGTCGCTCAAGGGCGTGGCGCGCTTCTACGGCGCAAAGAAGAAGCACGTCATCACGACGCAGACGGAGCACAAGTGCGTGCTCGACTCGGCGCGCAAGCTGCAGGAGGAGGGCTTCGAGGTGACGTACCTGCCGGTCCAGTCCAACGGCCTGATTAGCATGCAAGAGCTTGAGGCGGCTCTGCGGCCCGACACGTGCGTCGTGTCCATCATGGCCGTGAACAACGAGATTGGCGTCATTCAGCCTCTTGCCGAGATTGGCGCGCTGCTGAAGACCAAGGGTGCCCAGCTGGCCAAGTCTGCCGGACTCTCCGGCAAGCCGCTCTTCCACACCGACGCAGCGCAGGCCGTGGGCAAGATCGAGCTCGACGTCGACAAGATGGGCATCGATCTCATGTCGCTCTCGAGCCACAAGATCTATGGCCCAAAGGGCGTGGGCGCGTGCTACGTGCGCCGTCGGCCGCGTGTGCGCATGGAGCCGCTCATCAATGGCGGAGGCCAGGAGCGCGGTCTGCGCAGCGGCACGCTGGCCCCGCATCTCGTCGTCGGCTTTGGAGAGGCGGCGAGGTTGGCAAAGGTCGAGATGAAGGTGAGTCAAGTGCTACCAGCTGCCATTGTGGAGGGAGGAGACGCAGGAAGATGAAGGGGCAGGGACGAAGATGAAACAACAGCATGCCCTCATCGCCGATGCGCGCGGGAGGAGAGTTCGCTTGCTCGCTCGAGCTGCTCAACGGCGGCGTCGAGTGAGCATCGAGCTCGTCACTCGCGCGCGGCATGAGTGGGAGCGTCTTTGCGGCGCGATGATCCCGTATGCAGGGGTCTTGAGTCCCTGCAGTCTGCTTTGGTTGTCGCTGGCAGCTCCTGCTTTGCTCATCGTGCCCTAAAGCTGACATTGCGATCCTCACGCGCAGTACGACCACGCGCACATCTCCTACCTCGCCGACCGTCTCAAGACGCGTCTGCTCGGCGCGATTGACCACGTGCTCATCAACGGCGACGAGGCCTCTCACTACCCCGGCTGCACCAACCTGTCCTTCCAATACGTCGAGGGCGAGTCCTTGCTCATGGCGCTCAAGGACATCTGTCTCTCTTCGGGCTCCGCTTGCACGAGCGCATCGCTGGAGCCGAGCTACGTCCTGCGCGCCCTTGGCCTGGACGACGAGAACGCACACTCGAGTCTGAGATTCGGCATTGGACGCTTCACGACGCAGGAGGAGGTCGACTACGTTGCGGAGAAGATCATCAAGGTCGTCGAGCGGCTGCGCGAGATGAGGTGAGTTCGCGCTGACGTGGGGCCGCTGTGGTCGTCGAGCCGTGCAGAGTAAGCCGCTGACACGAACGTCTTCCAAGCCCGCTGTACGAGATGGTGCAGGAGGGCATCGACCTCAAGACGATCCAGTGGAGCGGCTGAGCCTCTCGACGCTCGTTGATCTTGATCTGATCGCCGCAGCGAGGCGTCGACGACGAGGCGTGCGGAGCGGCAGGCGATGGGGAGCGAGTCTTACTAGGGTAGAGGGCAGGGGCGACGACGTGTGACGATTCCAGCTTGTAAAATGATCTTTCTCAGCAGTGGCTCACGCTTCTGGACTTGATGACCCGCGCGCGTCTGGGCGTGGCTCATGGCAAACAGCCCGGCTCCGTTGCGAGAGGAGCGGCACGCTTGTTGCATGCCTAATAAGGTTGCGCACTCCATCGATCTCCTTCACGCTTGGCGGAGCGGCACGAGGCAATCGGGGCCTGCAGCAGCTCACAAGCCGCACAAGCAGCTGCAGAGGTGGAGCGAGTGCAGAGGTTGCTGCTGCCTCCAACGGTGCCGACACGCTGCAGCCCGCCATGGAGCAGGAATTTGAGTGCCATCACACTTGCTGCACTACAGGCAGCTGCAGCAGACACGCGACGTGGCCAGCCAGACGGCTGGCACATCCAGCCGCCTCGCGCAATGGCCGTTTGGAGGTTGATCTGGGTGCCACGCTGCCGCGCACAGAAAGATGCGCCATGGCGTCGAGGGACGCCATCAAGCCTACTGACGCAGCCCCAGGCTAGCTCTTTGGCAATCGACGTGCAACATCGACCTTGAATTCTTGACGGCTGGCAATGTCTTTGTGGCAACTCGGCTCGGTGTCGCAGAAACCTGCAAGCCGCTGCAGTGCTGGCTCTGGCAGAAGGCAACAGTTGATGCTGTGGACGCGCGTGGCCTCATCTCTGCCCGCGTGTGACGTTGCTCGAGACCCTTTACTGCAAGCAGCCAACCACGCACGTCAAAGACACGGACCATTTTTTCCAGGCATGGCTTTGAGCGCATCATTGCCCGCTACGTTGCTCTCTCCCCTCCAGATTGACAAGAAGGACCAGCACGGCACCCCTTGACGGGCCACACTACTCCTCCTCCTTGTTGTGACGATTTGCGTCTCTTACACGGGCTGTGCCTGGCGTCGCAGGCTTGGATGATTGACGCTGGACTGGGAGCACGTGGCGCGTGGATGCGCACAGGGAGCACTCAAAGGCCCACCCGTGAGTCAGAGACGCACAAAGAAGGGCGGATTGAGCAACGCCCGACGCCACCCTCTTTACTGATGCTTTGCCCCCTTGTAGAGTGTCACGTCCATCGTCAATCGTCAGCCACTCCATGCCGTCGCCAACGTCGTATCTCGAGAGAGCTCTCTCCCTCTCTCTCCGCTCCCCGCCGTTGCCCTCAACGCAACCCGCGCTCTCAGCGCTTGCGACGACGCGGGAGAGGGTAAAGCAAGAAAATATAGCGTGACTATTGGTAACCCTCTCTCTCTCCTCTCCTCTCTCTTTCTACGTCCCTCGCCTCTTCTCAATCAACCCCGTTCTGTCGACGCCTCATGCCTCGAATCCGACCCTCCCATCCCGCTCGCCCACCGTCCACCGTCCACCGTCCACCGTCCACCGTCCACCGTCCACCGTCCACCGTCCACCGTACGCCTTGCCAATCTTCCAGCCGCATCGTTGACAGGCTCAGATGAGCTCGTAGATGATGACCAGCACGTTGACGACGATGAGCGGCACTGTTTGGTTTTGTGTTCGTCCCCGTGGAGCGGGATATCAAGCGTCAGCGATTTTTGCGAAATCAAGTCACGCGGCTGCCTTGCTTGCGAACAACGGCGATTCGGAAGCGCGGATTGCGGATCTGCGAATGCGCAATGCGGCCCACGGCCGCCGGAGGGGAGGGGGGGGG